ATTGAAAAAATTTTGGTAATGTTAGACTACTTTTAAAACTCATTTTAAGCTTTGTGCATCTTAATGTCAAATTCTTTCAAATGTCAGCAATATGATGTAATCAAAGTTTTATAACAAGTCAATAAAAAAACTCATGTATCTGTAGATGTTTACTATACTCAATATTGCATTCAAACTGGACAAGATGAAGAAGTATATATAAAACCTAGAGAAATTGCATTGAAAAGTGCAAAATTGATTCTCAAGAACCTCAACAGTAATACAAAGTATGCTTTTGAATTATTTTGAATCTATATATAGATATTAATATGATAGATATATAATATGATATGAATAACAGATATGAAAACAGTTTTCTTCATCAGCTTGAAATTTTAAGATTTACATAATTCATCTTCTATTAACATCTTCATCAAAACAAATTGCAAGATACATATTAATTTATCTTCAAATATTCTAAAAAATCACTACAAATGATCACGTGATAAAAAATTCGGCAATCGTTTATCCACCTTGATATGAATATAGTATTAGGATATTAAACTCGGATGATGCAACGTGGTATATATTTTATAAAATAGAGTAACTCGAAATATGTAGTTGTAAAATCCAGTGGTTTTTTTTGCAAAAGTTGATAGAGATTGGTTGTATGAAAAACATCGATAAAGGATCAATAAGATAAAGAAACATTCATTGGTGAACTAATAATCTTGATTTGAAACATTCAGCTAAGGAGGTGGATACTGTAGTTTGGATATCTTAATTACTCATGACACAGTTTTTCAACGTCATGGTATTGACCCTTGGTACCCATTTGGGTTCCACGACGAACCAACTTGACGGGTCCGTCCTATCCATTTATCCTCATCTTACTAGTTCCTTCTACTCTTTGACTTTTCCAGTCAAAGGGTAGAAGGATTCCACTGTCTGTCTTTTCTATAAATGTTTTCGGACGAGTGCACCAAAGAACAGTGTAATGCTAAAACCTCAATCAGAAGAGCAGAAGGTCGCTCGAGTTTCGGAGCAATTTCCACTCACTGGTGGGCCGACTTTCGTGTTGGATTGGGCCAACTCGGCGTTCGTTACAGCAGAAATAGGAACTGAGAGGAGAATCTGTGGAGGAGCTATTAGAGATGAAGAGTTTCTACCATCCAGGAGTATGCCCAGCTCCCTCAAGCCTCAAGCCTCAAGCCTCAAGCGTCAAGCGTCAAGCGTCAGCGAGGCAATCCAGTTCAGATGTGGATGCGATTGACTTCTTTTGTACCGAAGGTGGACGAAGACGGTCAATGGCTATCAATATCAAGTGGGACCTGAAGTAGCAAGAGAAGCTCGTTCTGTCTCCATAGAATTCTGCTGCGGCTGCTGAAGGCAGGCAGATAATGCTCTATCTTCCTCTCTGTCCAGAAGTACCGCACGATAGAGCTTGTGGGTGGATCCGAGGCCATGGCACACACCACGCTAGTCTGGACACCATGGACTACCCGGTCCTGCCTGATCCAGATGGGGCTACTCTAGCGCCATCGAGCTCATACTCCAGCTTCGAAGTAGCTGGAATCCACGACCGCCATTTATGATCCGACCGTTGGGGTGCCGTGGACCAGACGAGAAGGTCTGGTCCACCCTCTGGCTGGACGAGCAAGCAGCTAATGTCTAGGCTCTGCTCCTCTACGCAGCAGCAGAAATCCACGCAGGCTTGACTGCAATCTGATTCAGTGCAACTCGCGGAGATGGCTCCTGCAGGGCTCAGCCAAATTACGAAGAACACGGTGAATGGCCTGTTGGAGCTCGGCTTTAAGCGGCATTTATTTGGTCTGTCTGTGTTGTGCTCTGGAGTGACTGCCATGGGTAACTATAGGGATGGGCACTCTAGCCGGCTAACTTTCGGCTAGTCGATACGAAAATTCCGAAATATTCGGTCAATACAAATATTTATTGAATATCTGAGGACATAATCGACCGAAAACGTAAATTCGGTCCTAGTTTACGGTTAGTTGTCGGCCTCGGATAGAGGTGGCAATATTTATCGGCTAGCCGGCTAACGAAAAATATTAGCCGGCTAGCCATTAGCCGAGCGTGCCTCATCCCCATTTGAGGCTAATTCCCGAATCTGTCAACCGTAGCCCTGACGAGGCTTTGGTCGAAATTTTCTGTGAGACGTTTGGCGGTCGGGTGGTGGGAGAAGACTCTCCAGCGAGCAACATTTGACCTGAGTTTTCTTTGATTTTGTTATTAAGCAGTGAAGTGACTGAGTAATTCTATACTAAGTAATTTTGAATACTGATTGTGGAGTGATTGTAAGATGGATGGATATTCAGATGTCATAAGAAGTGAAAACAGTACGATGTCGTGGCTTTGTGGACATGATCTCAACAGATACTGACGAAGTTTCATACTTGATTTGTAAAGTCCAATTGGAGATTCATGGTTCTTTTCTCGCTGCTTGTTTCAAAGCAGTTGGAGGTTTGAATGGCACCACTTTGAGAAGAACGCAAGAAGACCAAACAAAATTAAGTTTTCGATGTCCTTTCTGCAACATTCACTTCAAAGTTTCATGTGGTTCTTCACTGAAATCGTCCTTGAAAACGATCTAGATTACAAGTTAAAGGAAGTAGGGGCCAAAACAACAACAATCAACAACGCAATCCTTTTTATTTGTATATCATTCAATACAACTTCTTTACTTCCCAAAGTTTCAGACTATCCGCAATATACAGATAGAAAGAAGAGTATGCCAATGATCCTTTATGATTTGAAAACGTCAGATCAATGAGTAGGAGTCAATTCAAACGAAAATAAAATAACACACAATGGTACGTGAGTTTCACATTTAGCTTAAACTTTGGATCAGTAACTCTTCACATTATTTCTGTAGCACTGGTATAATGGATGGGGGACCTACGTATAAGTCAAAACTTCGTGTACCTAAGACTTCTCTATTTTTGAGAAGCATGTGTGTAATAAGAAGAGAGAAAACCAACTGATCGGAGAACTCAAGTAAGATTATTGCAGTTGCGGATTTTTCCAAACATGTAATGTACTCGAACATGGGGCTTTCTTCGAAACTTCATTTTTCAGAAGATGTAGGTAGAGTTGCTAGTTAGTAAGATGTAAGCCTGTTCGATCTATTCATCTCATCCCTGCATTGATGCGGGAAATTTTCAACACACGCTTATTTGAAAGAAATGTTGAACTTTAATGCCGTTTGTTAAAATCTTTAATTCGATGTGACAATTTGAAGGCTGAAGGAACTTGCAGTTGTGAAGATGGTATTACTTTCTCAACACAGCAAAACAATGTGAACGCAGTACATCGGAGAAGCAAGTTATCTTCATTGGAGATGCGGGGTATCGATCCCCGTGCCTCTCGCATGCTAAGCGAGCGCTCTACCATCTGAGCTACATCCCCTCATGCCACCGTCAATTGAAAACAACATAATATTAATGTTTAAATCTTTCTCATTTCATCACATAGTCGTGTATGCTTCCCCAAGGGTGGACTCCAGGTTCAAGCCCTATTTTATGTACACACAATGATCAAGACATCTTCATAAATTTTCAGTGTAATATGTAAAAAGATCTATACACTGTATGATTTATCCCGATTAAGAAAATTTACGTTTAAAATATAATATAACTCATATACTCAGGTCATATTAGGTTTCATATATATGTTCCAGAATACCTTTCTTCAGAATATTTAAAATGAGCTGACCGGGGAGAAAAATTTCATGAAGAATGTAACATCAGACAATAAAGTCATAATTATCATTCCAATTTAAATTTAGTGATTTACAAACATTCATCGTTAACATCACACTAACTAGAGATAACCTCTAATTATGTCGAAAAAGGTAATCAATAAAATCGAAAAGGAAAATGCTAGAGAAGATTAGACTCTCTTCAATCTTACCTAGCTTTAAACCCTTTTTCTGTACAGGGAGTGAGTATAGGACGAACTTGAATTCTAGCATCTCGTAGAGCAAGTGCTTAGTGAAATGAAACTTCGTTCACAGATCTTCCAAATGCCACTGGTCCTAAACCTGCAGCTACAATGACGTTTTGTGTATCTATGGAGTTGGCAGTGGCAAGAAGGTGTGTAAGATTGCTGTCCTGTGAAGGACCAGGTGGGATGTAATGCCTGCCGTGTTATCTGCGTCGTGACATGTCAGTTCTAAATTGTGACTCACAATCACTGGACCTGTTGATTTCAAGGGTGTTGATGTGGACTTTTGCTAACCCTTCGGTGCTCTTTGATGACACGTAAACGTCAGAATAAACAGAAGTCGTTATTCTCACCACGACGAGGCTCCAACTCATGACCTTGAATTGATATCTCCGCGTGTGAAGTCATCACAGCAGTGACGGTGCTACCCATAGTTTACATCGACTTTTTATTTGCTCTCCGCAGTTGATGGACTTTCGCGCTTCACGCGAGTGAAACGTCCTCAGTCTGGGTTTGGGCTTCAGTCATGCACATTGCAAGTGCGAAACTTGAGGATGCGAGGCTGTAGAACGATGAGTATTTCACCAGCAGTACAGAAAACAGTTTGCTTTTATCTTGTTCAGATTACTTATTACTCAACTTCGAATTTTTGGACGCGAGCACAGCAAACGCCACTCTGTTGCCGGAGAACTCTTCCCTGGACAGAGCAAGCAGCGAGAGGGAGCTAAGCTCACGTATATATCAAAAGTCTCGTATTTATATTTTTCCGGATTGCAAGCATCGATTCTAGCCTAGTATCCCGAAGACTTAGATGTACTTTCAATTGACCGTCTTCTTGAAATCCAAAGAAGGACAAATTTCTTGAAACCGTCTTTCTTGATTCGATGCTGAACTAAAACTTACGACGATGAGTGATGATTTACTAAATGGCCAATGTCAATCTAGAAAACCCACATAGCGAAAAACTGCAGATATTTGTCTCTACAACCTAAAAGAATGTTCTTGCATCAGGAGTGTTCGTAAATAGAGGTGCATGAAGGAAAACAACTTCAACTTACATCCGAAAGAAGATGAACTCGAACGAATGACGAGTCCGAATATTTATTATCCAGCGCACTGAAAGTTGAAACATATGCCCTCTCTCCCCAGATCTAATCTCTGGAGACCACAGAAAGGGCAACCTGTAGGTCATTAGCTGTTCCACTTATATACATACGATGAGAAGCCATCCCTTTTCCTCCAGTTCTTCTCCCATTTCTGCTTCCGCTAGTCTTCTGCAGATCATCTTCGTAGCACTGGAGCTTAACTTCTCGCACGTCGGGTTCATAACCATTCAGATAGTTGCCCATTCGAAGCCTTTTTCCAAGATCTATGGTCGAGTCAGGAGGGGGAAATAGTTCGGCAATCTGCTCCCTCTCGTCTTTTGAATTGCTCGAACCTCCCTGAAAGTGGAACTCCGTGGGTTAATAAGTAAAATCGCTGGGAGTCCCTCAGAGCCTGAAATCGACCAAAAATTTGCTACAAAATTTTCAGACAGCGAAATATCTTGTCTTCTACTTGATCTACAAGTCCTTCCACGTAGACTGCATGTCACATGGAGCGAAAAACGCACAAACTCGTTTCCTACTCACCACAGAAACTCTGGCGAGACCCTTGCCATCCCTCAAGAAGCTGTTGTATAAACCTTCTAACGATCGTGGAGCTAGCTTCAGTTTTTGGTAGAGGGATGCTGCAACGAAGACGTTCCTTTCTGCAGTCCTAAATACACCGCAGAGTTTAAGCAAAGCCTTGTTCCAGACTTCCACATCCTCGTTCGAAGGCAGGTCTACAAAGAACATACAGGCATTCCCACTGTCAGCGTGACCACCTGAAATTGTTTTAATTGTGGGACATCACCGTACTGTCTGACTATAACACATCTTGCCATCAATGAACTTGAAATATTTCCAAAGTAACAACAGTCCATTCCTTTGCTCTTGATGAGAATATGCTCTTAGCAATTGAAATAAATATTTCCACGATTACCAAACTTAGGAGGGTATCAGGTTCTCCTCAAATGTCACGCAGTAAAACTCCGTCATCAGGAGACAACCCTGACACTTGGATATCATGAATAGAGCTCATTACTTTGTTTCTTTTCATTTGAGATTCATCATTGGATAAAGTTCACAGACAGGAAAGGAAAGGGAAGGAATAGTTTTAGTACCAGATTTTGACAGGGTTGAAATAGGTTCCAGAACTATGTCAGCTGAGGAGTAAAGTTGCGCCAGCTCAGACTGCAATCGTGAAAAATCACCAGTTTTGGTTCTCTTCAAAACGTCTGTACAAGTCATGAAGGCTGTGCAAAGCATCTGTCCAATAAGCTGTTGTGGTCTCACTGTGTCGAGATAATGCATCACCTGTAAACCAGAACGGTGCTTCAGCTCAATAGACAGTCCCTGAAATTGTGCTTTCAAGTTTTCAACAAAAAAAGACTCTGGTACATAAACTTGATGATCTTTATTCATGAGCTGGACATACTTGTCAGAGGGTGAGCACAAGTTAACACAGGAGAGTTCCAAGAACTTACCTTTTCACCTTCTCTCTTATAATCAAAAAGAGGCCTTTGTTCATATGCAGCTTCAGGTAAGATTTGATCCCATATCTGAGCCCACACGTTGCCGGGTTGTGACATCTTCTGTGAAAGCCTTCCTCGCGGTGGCCACGGCTCTCCATTGTTTTCTGTCTCTGTGCTGATTGAGAGGAATCTTGAGTACGAGTATCCATCTTGTACATACTCGTGGTCGTCTTCTATCCAGTCATCAGGAAGATGCCAACGCACAAAGTCTTCGAAAACTGCCCCAGGATTTGCAGCTTTAAATGCTGACATATCTGTTAATTCGGTTTATCTGACATTCGGTTAATATCCTTTACAGCATGGTGATAAAGTGTATACACAAACTGGTGAAAGTTCTCTCTTTCATCTTCCAAAACACGATACATAGGAAGTTTCAGGACTAAGTGGCAGAAGCTAACAAACCAACCTGAGGCAAGGATATCAGTTTGGAGACGAATACGCGCTTCTTTCTCCTGCGAAGTCGACTTTATCAATAAATTGACGTTAAAGAAATATTTATTTATTCTTCTGAAGCACCATCTAGGAAACGTAAGATCATCAGGCTACTTATGACAGAACATTGCTAGCCTATAAAACAAGTTCAAACTTACATAAATACATAATATTTTCACGTAGAATGCATAGACAGGTAGGTCTTACGGAGTGAGATCTGCTAAGCGCAGCAATTGCCTGTTTGCGCTCTAGTAACATGTCTTCTGTCATCACTGGCAGTCTCTGCAGAAAAACGAGATGAAAGGAGTGTCAATAACATGACCAGAGTCAAACATGATTAAGCTATCGTATACTTGGTCAAGAGAACAAGAATCGCTGAAGTCTAATTTGACCACAAAATAACACAACTGAACATGAAAAGAAAATGGATAAAATCTTGATAATCAAACACTTCATATGCATTAAAAGCAATAAAAGACCGTATACTTCTATAATCTGCACTGCCATGTGTGAGATTCACCGTATACACGAACGAGGTTATGCTCAAAGTTCATAAAATCTACAGTCACATGTCATAGAGTGTGAACATATAGCTCAAGTATGTAATCATCGGGTAAAAGTAAACTTCTGCTCACCTGGGTGATCGGAACATGCAATGGTTCATATACATTGAGTAGCATCATATTTCCCAATGGTCCAGCAGATCCTTTTCGTTCATCCTTCGACTCTGCTTCATCATCCCCTGTAGAACATGATTCCCACTTCTCATCGTCCTCGCTGGAATGTACTGACGGACTCCTTTGCCCATGTTCCACGATAGCATCTTCGCCCGGGTGTTCCCAAGCTTCAATCTGTAAAGGAGGCTCAGGACTTTTGGACCCTGGATTGAATAAACTTTCCATCTCATCTTCAGGACTGCGGAACAAATTCCAACCAGTTAGCAATCCTTCCAGTCCCAGAATCTTTAGAACGTGTAACCTCACAGCTGCATAGCTTTGACAATAATAAACTATCTAAGATGCGTTTATAACATGTGAATCAAAAGATCCAGGGATAAAGAGAGTAGGCAGAAGAAGGAAGATTATTTGTGAGTGAAAAAAGTGATGAAAAACAAAAATTAAGCTAAAAACTAAACGTAGAGACTATAGTCATCCGCAGGAGAAACTATATACATTCAAAGCAAAACAACATTCAAACCAAAACAACACCCAGAAGCTAAAGTGCTAGCATACGGTACACACAAAGAAGAGGTTGTAATCCATAGGCTAGACAAAGGATCACCTCTTTGAGTCAGTAAAATGTCCATCAACTTCCTTTAGGTTAAGCTCCTGTAACTTTGTGTCCATGTCTACATTATGATTGACGTCCAAATTCGGAACATTTAGCTCATCGTTTTGCTGCACTCACTTGCAAGCATACAGAGCTTTAGTACTTGAAGTATCTCCACACGTCAATGTCTAGAATAATTTTCTTAAGTGAGATAGTTTAAGGGCAGTAGGAGGCATCTATTCTCCAAATATACAGCTTTCCGCAAAATAATTTGATTTCTTGAATGTACTAATTGATACCTGATGATTATCATTTTGTTCCCTCTGAGATGCTCGAGTTTTTTCATCTTCTGTCTTCTCCGCACTTGCAGCGAACTTCGCTGATTTGTTTTTCGCCTTCTCTTCTGATTTCAGCTTAATGCAAACTGCAAGCTGAACGTGCAAGACATAAATATTATTGAAAGAAAAATCTTTACAAGAGTGAAGCAGGCTTCTATCACTCAAATAATAAGAGCATGAAATCTGGACCAAAAAGTTTAGCTCCTAACTTATATAGGATTATACTGGAAATCTGTATTGGATAATTTACAAACAAGATTCCTTCCAGTCATTAGAAACTGTCTCCCACATTTCTATTGAAGATGAAGGACGATAATACTTTCTTCTCGACTTCTGAATTACGTTTTAGTACATACCATTTGCAACTTTTGATGAAGTAAGCAAGTTCTAAGATCGGGAGATTCATCAGGTGATACTCTTGGCAAGGTTTGGCATTCCTCCCAATACCATCGAATCTCACGTACAAACTCTAACCATAACTCTGATATAGCTGACGAACAAAATTTCAGTGTTAGAAGGAAGCAAAGCTCAACATTTGACGTAATACATGATCAACCGCAATGGCTTGACAAGAAAGGAGACCGACACGCGAAGCTCAACATGGGCACGAAGGACTAGCATCAGCTGATAATTGAAAATTTTGTGCTGATTTCTGTCGATAAGAAGTACTGATCTCGTACTCACCCTTTATGTTGCAGGTACCGAAAAATAAAGACTGCATGACAAATCGGCCAAAAAGAGAGTCCCGAGGAGCCCCTTTGACAGAGTGTCCACGTGACTCATAGGTGAATCCCTCACCAGTAGGTGTAACAGCTGCAAAAATAAAATGTAATTATTTAAAGTTCAATCCTATGGATCAATATATCGACTTTACAGCATGATACATAATCCACAAAGCTATGAACACTTGTATTTCCTCATTTTCTTATGATTAGCCTCCGCATGCAATGAGACTGCAAAGAGTTTCGAATTTGCAGCATTGAAAGCTTCAAGTTTATGCACAATGTCCTTAGGCAGATTACAACAAGGTATAAGATACGATGAATACTTCCCTCGTGAGGTATACCAAAACTACTGAGATTTGTACTTTCAAATAACATTGTATGTCTTGATAAGCATGTTATTAAACATCATGGTACTACTGTAAGTGACAGAGCTAATTACACGAATGAGACCAAGGCCAACCTTCGTAAAACAGATCTTTCACAACTCGTTCAAGTACACCAGGTGGTGGCACGTTGAAGGTCTCCAGTAGTAAATCCATCTCCGGTTTGACGACTGCATGCAACTTCAGATAATAAGATCTTCATTGCATACAAGAACAAAACGGTTAGAACTCTTAATTAGAAATATACTTGAAAGGATTCAAGGGATGTGTGATATGGACCATTAGCAAAATCCTCCAAAAATTGCGCATTTCCGGCAACATGAAAAGCCTTTGCAAGCCCTTCGAGACGCACTGCAAATCCCTCCTCCGGCTGGTCGTCCTCCCTAAGTACATCACATTATAAGGCCTTTGTCAGGACGAACAAACCTAACAATGATAAAGAGAAGGACAAATACAATATCATTATATGAACTCCAGCCATCACTTAGACAAGTAGGAAGAAAGTGCATGAAATCAATACAGTAACGTATGATGTATCTATCCCACATACTATGATCCTGATGGGCTCATATATCTTTCTTGTAATGCAATCACAATCAGTTCCAAAGGTTGAAAAGGATAACAAAAACATTGCATAAGAAAAACGCTGATGACACGTAGGGGGCGACAAATACTTGTCCATGGCAAAAGTCGGAATGAGAAACCATTCATCTGCATTAAACGTGGACGTGTTCTCATACTCGGACATCTCCATTGAATCATTTACAAACCTCTTGTTCCATATTGCAATCAGCTCAAAACCTGAGGGTCAACACCCATATGTAATCAGATGAAGTCAAGAAGAGAGGGTCATCTTTCACTCTAGCGAGTCGTAAGACATGGTGGCACTTAAACATGCCAAAGTAGTAAAATTACAACATCAACTATACAAGGCAAAGGAGATCCACATAAACATGAATAAAATCACAGATTGTTCTTTGATTACATACTCCTCACAATTATCAGACCTACCTTTGATTGGATCATCGACACTATGCCACTCTGCCCAGGGAAGATCTTCATCCCAAGTAGGTTCATTGGGAGATTCTCCATCATAGTCAGGCTTAGCCTCGGCAACTGAGGAAGGGCCTCCTTTATTCTGGTATTCATAGCCTATCATAGGAGCTTGATAAGTCAACCGCATGGTAAATTCCACCCTTAGTGAAGGAACTGCAGCAGTATTTGGTGCTGTGAATGCCTTCAGAGACAGTAACGTGATGCATCAAGATAACTGCATCAAGGGACAGAAGCTTGGTTGACAAAGAAAGACCTGCTTCTACACATATAAAAAATATGGCAGCATTCTCGTTTCATTATGACCACCTGCTCGTAGGGGCTCACGTACAAAAGAACTTTCTACTGCTACCAATTTCACAGTTTTTAGAATGGAACCTACCACTTTTGACACAAAAAGTTCATAAAGGCCTTCCAAATGCATGAACCTTACTGGTACCCAACTACCAATCCGGTCTGCTTCAAATGTGATGGAGTATGAACTGCTTGTTCCTTGAACACCCCTGTAGGCTTTCCGTGTGCGGTCATGCACAGGCACAAACGCCGGCCAATGGCTGTTGATACAACAGAGAGCATGACGCTCTGATGTCAAAATGAATATTAAATGACAACATCTAAAAAAAAAATCTATCTGAGAAGCCCTGCTATCTGCATCACGACCTTTTCGTTTCGCCTAGTTTCACACCTATAAGAAGTTGATCTTTAGTTCGTTAGGACAAAATAAAAGAGACTAAATAATGAAAGAGATGCATAAGAACGTTATGCGGTACCTGCCACATGATGAAAGAGCAACTGCCACCGTGCTGAGAAGTGTTGTGGCTTCTGGAGCATCGAGAATGACTCCACTCAAGGTTACTGGCACAGCCACCTGCGAAAGAAGGGTACAAAACTTCCAGAAATTCTCAACTGTAATCTCGACAATAATCTCGACACGATACTGGAATATGCAACGGACGGTTTCTCTCGCTATTTACATCAAAGAAATAGGAGTAAAACAAGACAGACCAAACTGTCAGCGTTCTTAAAGTCCCTTGTTAAATAAGATCTTATCCTCTGAAACGTTGGAACTAAGAACGTATCGCTTCAAAGACTCACATATCTCTTTGCAAATGATTTGGTGCTTGTAATGGAAGTTTGTAATACCTACCTATTTCGACTAGAAATTGTGTCATTTTCACTAATGATGAATGGGCAGTCGGTCAAACCAACCTCATACTCATAGTGAACATCTTTTGCTTTCTTTGGTAATATTTGAGGTTCTCGAAAAAATTTGCAATTGCTTCCTCAAAATAATCAAATAACGAAATGAAAATCTCCACTCCCTATCCCTCATCGGGGGTAGCCCTTACAGTGATAATTTTTCGCTCCACACTTAGGTGTCCCAGTAAAACTTAAACTTCTCTAAGTTTTACTAGGTCTTGTCTTTTAAGTTTTACTAGTGTCTTGTCTTCACAAGACACTGGCCTATTTTATTTGCAAAAAAAAACAGAAAGATGACATGTTGCACCTTATCATCTTCAAAGCTTGGATTTAGCAACAAGTCTAGATGGGATCACATACCAGAAAATCAGTGACACCAAAATATAATTGCAGATGATGCAAACCAGCGGGCCACTCCTCTTTGGAATCTGCGATGAAGAGTATACATTTTATTAAATATTGGTATATTTTGAAAGTTTTAAATATCAGATCTGTAGAACGAACAATCATACTCGTACACTTTAACACCACGCAGGAGGCGGAAAAATGTGAAGGTGAAACCCTTTCATGTTAACATTCATATTCACCCTCGGGCTAGTAAGCTCAGGGTGCTCAGAGTACATACATTTCTTTGACGTACACAACTCAGATAACAATTTACAGAACCCACTTCCTTTGTTTTACATCAAAACCTAGAGTTGTAAAGAACATCCAACATAGCCAACAGATAGAGCAAAAACAAACCAACAGATTGAGGTGCATTACCATCTCCAGAACCCACTTCGAAGAATAAAATTAACACATACAACTTCTTTCCAAATGGAACCTGCTTGTGAATGCGATGTAAATTTCTGGAACCTTGCACGAGAGTTGCACCCAAGTTCTGTTTACAGGTCAGAGAAAAGGAAGTGAATCTTCGACTTAACAGTGATGTACAAATCTGTAGCCATACGCTAATAGACTGTTGTCCTATAACGCATAAACAGTCACCGTGACCTGTACATCAGCCTGTACCTAACATGAGAGATCACCGTGCAATAACAATAAACATGCTCAAAACAGGAACGCTAGGCAGCAAATGGATGAGAAATTCCAACATTTTAACATAATAAAACGGTGAGTCTATGCAACATGTGTTGAAGAAAACTTAGCACTCCTGAAACATACCAAAAGGTCATACGGACCAGCGGCCTGCCACTCACGACAGATCTCCTCGACATTGGCAATAAACCTGAGGTCATAAATGTACAGATTAGCTTAAAACGAAAATACTATCTCTCTAGAGACTACTCATGATACGGGTATTTATTCATGAAGTTTACTTTTCCCATGAAGAAGCGATGGTGTAGTCGTCGAAGCCCTCCAACTGTAAAATAGATGGATACAGAGTTAGTGTTTGTCATCCAGACCGCCGTAAATAATAGCATGGTCCAGATTTGAAAAGTGAGCATTCCACCAGCACTTCATAACCAACTACATGTCAATTTCCTCGATCTTTAACATCATTTGATGCACAAGCATTACGAAATGACGATTTGACAGAAACGAGATTGCAAGTCATAGCCATGCATTTCTAATCATCCATAGCTTTCTACCGCTCAAGTGCTAATTGGCAGAATATCTGAAGGGAATTTGTTCACTTCTAAAGTGATGACTGGACATGCCAAAGATAATGAACATTCTTTACTTTCCAATTCTTCACTTGTAGAAATATGATGATATCATGCTTTGCGATCAATTTCCAACTCCATCCAAGTGCATGTTGTACAAGCCCAGATGGATATGTCCACGCAATCTCGGTGATTTACGGGGCATTTGCCTTCTCCTTTCCTCCGAAGATACGGAAGAAAGTAAGGAAGAAGATATTATTCACATATTTGCAGGACTTACATCATCTGGCTCAACATCACTGACAGCTCCTGACGTAGAAGATGTCGACGGAGAGCCCATGAACCTATCACCAGGTGCATTCGCCATTTTCTCCACTTTCTCCATTTTCTCCATCTTCTCGACCCTTTCAGCCTAGCTCACCATCGAATAATCTTGAAAGCACAAAACAAAGCCAACGGAATTAAGCTCTGTTGAAGGACTGGTTTGCGCCTTTCATGCTCTATCAAACCTTACCTCTCTCCCTCCCTTTCTGTATGTTTTCTCGAAATTCATCATGATCACATTCGGCAGCGTCTCACAAATTGCATCACCTCCTTAAATGCTGAAAGAAAAATAGCGATACATTCACTGAGGTACAGCAAGGGTACAAAAGGAAGCAATTCTGCATACCTTGTGAACCATGATAATTATCAGCTCTTACCACTCCCAAAACCTCTCACTTACGGTATGGCTTCGTTCCTGTCATAATTACGCCAGAGCACAGAGTCACACACACACAAGAGGTGCCTTGAGGCGATCGAGCTTTGGACGGGTGCACGCAAACTCGTCCGCATTTAACCACTTTGCATCCATTGCCATCGACGGACTAACAAGGACAGCGGTGGTACTGACTGAACTGCTCTGCTTCGCTGTTCACTAGTTAATGAGCGTAATGTACAAATATTCGAAATTATATTCGACAGACAAACAATCCCGTGGAATCACATGTAAGGTGACCATCATTGCTGATTACAAAACTCCAAGTGTGTAATTTACTTGGCTCTTCGTCCTATCTCCCACAAATCCCACATTTTCAATAATGGAATGTATGGAGTCTCTCTGCTACATTCCCAAGCACAAACTGACGTGATCGGACTGAGTGGCGTGTGATACTCCTATATGAATCAGCCAAAAAAAAGATGGACAGTCTATTTTGATGCTCATTAGGAAAATATATTTCTGCTCAGCACAATACTGAAACTGCAACGTAATCTTCTTCCCTGATGTTCCATAAATTCATTCAGTCTCTTCTCATTGACTCTCCAACACTTCCGGATTAAAGCTGTACGAACTAAAAAAAAGTTACCCACGATAAAAACTCAAAACCTCTCTCCAATCTTACAAAAAAGGAAACACTACCCGCATTACAATCTCGAGCACACTTTGGGCCCAATATAACCCAGCTTTACCCCTGACCCCGTAAGGAGGACAGCCAGCAGCTCGCCTGAACTGCTGAATTCGACACCTTCAAGTACTCTGACCTTCCAAGATCTACTCCAAACCCAAAGGCAAAAGAACATATGTCGTGTGATTTGGAATGTGCACCTCTGCAGCCGATTCCAAAACAACTCCCAACATGCAGCAAGCTCCCTGATCCTGATTCTTCCTACGCAGTAAAGCCCGCCGTGAGAACATGAATCTTCGGTGGCAAGGTCTCCAACAAATTCGTCCGAGCGTGGAGTTCGTTCGAGTTGGTCCTTCGTATGATCGGGTGGGAGTTGTACGAACCCGGTGACAGTAATCTAAAGGCGATCGGAGAGAAACAAACTCGCTAGGCGCCTTTTTCTAGTGCTCGGTCCCACTGACAGATACTGCGAGAGGGTTCCATTCACTGAACAAGTCTCTGAGCTCCCAAATGCCACTCGCCGGGGGAACAAACATACAAAAATGAAAAGAAAATCCTTTCGCGAGAGATTATTCCTGCAGAAAGGCGAAGTCGGTCAATGCAGATGTCATCGAGTGGTTGAAGGGGCTCCCAAAGCCCAGGCCCCACTGCGCATTGGCCACAACTCGAACACCAGTCGCGCATCTGGGCCCCCGCCTTTTCGTCGTCTTTCTTAACCAAGTGCCGAGTTAACTTGCCCTACTGAGTGAAGTTCTCGGTCACGTTGACCGTGGTTAGTCGTCTTGTCCACTGCCACGGATGCCTCCGACAGTAAAACTAGCGCTGTTGCTTTATCCTGACTGGCTGTCTGACTGGCATTCAATATGCGGTTACGAGGTTCATCCGGTCCGGAAAATCATTTCGATCCAGCGAAGAAAAGGAACTGAGTACTTGGAGTTCTCTGTACGTAATTCACCTCCGACGACCAAATCTCGTGAGCTCATTTGCCTTCAAAGGAGACCTTTTATGAGGTTCTTTTTATACCCTCACGCTTCTGGCCAAATGCTTGGAGAAAGTATCAACCACTCTGGTTCCATGGGTGAGTATTCATTACTCTCAAGACTACATAATGAGTTCAAACCCACTAGAGTTTCAATTTTCTTATGAATTTTGTTTACTACTCTCTGCATTTCGAGTGATACCACAAGTGTAAAATGCAATATATATATATATATATATAAAAAATACATTATATATAAAGAGGGCTATGTATATTTTGACTGTAGTACAATATCTAACATCAATCATTGAAAACTGCCAGCCCATAAGAAGAAAATCAAGAATTCCAAAGAGAATACAAGACAATGAGAGCCTACCATGCCTTGTCTGTAGATCTATGTAGACACGACGGACCTCCTATCACCATTCTGTCAAATTCTAGAGTTATATCAACCCATGCATTGTAATTATGTGCTTATTAGCCTTTCTTTATGTTTCTTTGGCTGGTTGTTGGGTCCCCCGCTTTCTCTATCAAGAACAGGAAAACATGGATAGCAGCCAAAATTTCCAAGGGTCATGAACTTTTTAGAAAACTTGAGGAATGGGTCGTGGTTAGTTTGTCTTACTTTCTAGATATACAATATATTATTTAACAACTTATGGGTTGCAAAAACTTAAAAGGACTTACTCTCCTATCTCATTACACACATTAAATTTTTCCCCCACGTATTGGGAACGGCAAGTTAGGAAATTTAGTTTATGTTTGTATATTTGTATATGGCAGGTTATACTTATCCAATGTCATTAGAAACCTTTCCTAGCTAATCGAATTTGAAAACATGAATGATTTATAAATATCCATTTTTATATGCATAATTTTTTTTGCATATTTTCTCGGATATTCATATTCATCAGTTTCATTCCTAAAATCACCTGTGACAGCACAAATCAAAAAAATAAGATGACGCTTCGAGGAATAAAATTTCGTTTCTCAAAAAATATAAATCTCCCCTCTGATATCAAATTAATGCTTATATTCCTGAGAATTAATTGTTATATGTCGCTGTAATCTTCATTTTATGTATGCAATATTTGTTACCAGTTTAAAAAGAAGAAATGTATGACATGCTATCAGATATTGTGGTAAAGGCGAAGCAGGATGTTACAGAAATGAGGAACCCAACTCATAGTCATGTTGGACCAAGGACTAATTGGAGCAAAGTAATCCAGGGATAGGGACTTCGCCACCTACCCTGACCACCGGTGGATTATTTTTTCCTTCTTGGCTATGCTCATGATTATGTATATGCTGGGAAAATTGCAAGACTTGGGGATAAGCCGTTGTTGGATTTGCTTATGATTCAAAAGTATTGCTACTTGGCACATCACAAGATACGAGTACTGTAATTGTAATAACCATGGGCTCTTATCGTTGTTAGATAGTATAGTCTTGATGATCCGTTTAATAACCATATAGCCATTTCGCCCTTAGCGGAAATCCGACATTCAAGGATCTGAAATGAAAAATTATTTGCACCCTAAGCCCTGATGTTCATGATTTTTGAATGTAAAGAATAGGAAGTGAATAAGTTCAAAGTGTACCATGTAATGTAGAAACTAGGTTCGAAGATCTATTCAAATCATGGAGTGACGAAATCAAAGAATTAAAATGGAGCTAGGGGTTTAAGTATTTACAATAGAATCAAAACGGAAAATATAAATTTTTGTATCTTAGCTTTCAAATATCTAAGTCAATTGTGTGTATGAACATAAGGATTAAATAACAATCACATCAAATGATACGATTATTATAAATTTCAATAGTCATTTCTCTAAGCAGAATTAGAGTCAACTGTGCATGATTTAATTAAACTATAATACGCTTAAAATTTATATTAACTCATGTAATTTAGTATGGTAGATTATCAAATGTCCTATCAAACTTGATGAAACAGAATCTCCCTGTAATTTTAAAGTTCAAATAAGAAATTATTGATGTTTTGTTAAACCATTACACTTGGAGATATTGGTGTTTGTCATTCCATTCACATACCATCTTTAAAAGTGATAAACATCCCAAATTTATTCATGTGCTGTGTAGCAACAACGTTCACCAATAGAGAGAGATCGCGTTATCATCGGTGAAGAGCTTGATTTGATTTGATTTTAACGACTTCTAATCCGAGGCAAATGATGGTGATATTATGTGGAATATCTAAGCTCTCTTTGCCATAGCAGGCATCATTAGCCAATAAAATCATGATTTCATAGACATGTGCTCCAAGTCATATGCAATGTACAATGTATTGATGTAATAAATAGTTCGATATATACTAAGCCTTTAGTTCGATTGATGAAGTCAATGCAAAACTGCTTTGCATTGAAATGTTAAGGAAATAGTTTGAAAAGTCATTATGCATAATAGAACCAGGCTACAAGATCATGCATTCTTGCCAAATCGAAGGGCGTAAATGAAACTAAAATGTACAAGCAATGTCCTCATAGAAAGTAATGCATTCTCAAACTATAAATTCATATACTTTTACGTAATCCTATTGTACAATTGGTGAGGAACGAGAAAAACTTTTGAGAGCTCATATGGTACATTCCGCAATCCAGCATATATAGTACATCTTGTATGTCTTGTAACTGTCACTTCCTCATAATCGTGGCCTAGTTTATTATCAATGACAAAGATTACTTGGAGCCCATTTTTTAGGGATCTACAGTTGATTAAAATACAAACAAATATCACATCGAACGGGCCCTACAGCATCGTAGATCGGCAGAACGCACACATAGGTTGTGACATTGACATCGTTTCTGACAATCTGAGTAGTGCGCATGTGACACTTGTTTATATTTACAAAATGTCTAAGCCAGCAAGGAGAGGAAAACACGGCTTAGTATTTCGTCCATAAGAATAAGCGAGAAACTTAGGGCTACGCACTCTCAAAACTACACCTCTCGAGGAATACAAAATGAGCTCGGCTCATGAAGACAACTCCTGATCTCTCTCTAAATTGCTTTCGTTGGCGCTGCTTTGCTACGCCAGCAGTATCCACCAATGGGCATCATAAAGCATTATCAAGTTTCTACACAACGTCCGGATTCACCTGTATTTGAACCTTGCGAACCCAAGGAGGTAGTATGAAAATTGTATTCGTGACAGTGGTGAAGCTTCACACTGCTAGATATATGCCTCCTCCGTAAACTAATTACCCGTTAAGACAATCTGAGCAGGAATGCGCAAGATACTGCAGTGGTGGGTACTCAGATGGTAGACTACCAGGGCAATCACAAGAACTGGCCAGCGAGTTCGAGACCATCGACCTGTAATGAGGTCTTAATAAAGGTTTAAGGCCGCCCTTTTCCAGGGTTGCCGGCTTGAATTCTCTGTTGTAGCTTCATGACCTGTCACAATAAAAACCACACATGATATACATGTTCTCATAGTCTTCAATACAGAATATACACCAGGTTCATATAACACCAACATTGTAGTGTAAAGCTTAGAGCTTCAACTGAAATGATAGCCGAATCTTCAAGAATATTTTCAGTATTGTAGTACGGTTCACAAGACTCTCAAATAGACAATTTAACTACAATTCAGTCTGTCATTTTAAAAATCAAAATTCTTTTAAACGCTTTAAACGTCTTAAACGCTTGTCCATCGTCTGCACTGACGTAAAACACTACGAACTTCGTGCAAATTATTCATCATCTCACTCACAGAAGGTACTCAGCACTGCACAAAGTAGGTCATAGCTCATAAAATACTAAGAATTTCCAACATCTACGTCCATCTGAGACATAGGTGTTAGAAATGAAACTTTAGTCATCTCTTATGAAACGACTTTAGTTATACCAAAAAACATCGGCTTAAAGAAAGTCAGCAGAAGGTATACAGGAGCCGGGTAGTTATTAAGTAGATAAAGGTCAAGAAAAAACCTCTTCACGTTTCGAAGTTTGTGACTCCTCGAGATTTTTCAATGTTACATCCAAGCGCTTGCTGTCCAAAAATTCGGAAGGTCAGATTATCAAGTTTCATGTGTCAGAACTCGTACGAACTGTCTTGGTGACGGAGAAAGATCTCATACAAATATATGGAGAAAGATCTCATACAAATATATAAACCTATTCAAACCTATTCAAACCTAGGTTAAAACATGGATCAAGATTAAATATATGGCTTGATTATAAAAACCCCAAATATCGGCATGAAAGGTAGCAGCTTACAGCTCTGCGGTTATGTACTCAATTCGTTTGCTCACATTAGCCTTTGCTTCCACCAAATCCTGCTTTACCAAGACTGGGCCGATAAGTTTGAACACGTTTGCCTCATCATCCAGTAACTCCAGTTCCTGCTCGTTTCAAGCCTACTGGTTAGTACTATGTGATCATCTCCAATTAGTACCAGGATATCTGAAAACATGAAAGCAGTTAAGACACTCGAAATGAGCTCTGGGATATACACCGAACCTATAAGACTTTGAGACTGTGAATTGTACGTTAAAACCGGCAAACAGCAGAAGACTCGATATGACCAAACAGTCCGTAGATCATGCAAAGCAGAACATCAAGACTCTTGGTAACTGTAAAGACAAAAGTTGGTGTCCTATAAGGGAGTGTGGTTATAGTGATTAGAAGTTTAGGGTACAAAAAGCGAGCGAAGAGCAAGTAAAGAAGATTTCCAGTAGTAGTGATGGGACATAGCAATAGATTTATGTAGAGTAGTTCAGAGCAATATGATGACTACTTCACTACTGATGCATGTTAAAGATTACACACTATCATGTTTCCAGTTGGCAGTTGTTTGCAACATTCTTCCCTTTGTCCCGTAGATGGTGCTTTTCACTGTATCATACCTGGGTCTAGGCTGCTTAGTTTACATACCATACAATCAAAAATCTACCAACTCAAGAATATGCTGCAACAGGTTTCTTCTGTATGCAGCAAGAGTTTCGCGCGAGAACAAGAACGGCAAACCAATGCTTTTGTAAACTGAGCTTTCATTCAGGAAATAGTGACAGTCGGACACTTGGTTTCCAACAAGGTATTCAAGCATGTGCAACCCAGAAGGTACTGATTATGGTCGAGGGGATCGGTTCATAGGTGAATGCGGGAGGCTGTGCCATTCCTTCCCTTATGTGCTGCTGTAGCACTACCTTGGATACAAAGGTTCGATGTCCTCACAATCTCCTAAACCTGATTCAAACAGGACTTGGCTAGCCACCGTGTATCCACTGGAGAGCTGTAAAGATCAACAAACTTCTGGGGTAATGGTGAGCAATAATTATTTGAGCTAGCTTCTCCGATTCAGTATGGTGGATTCGGTTCTATCATCCCGCGGTTGTACTACAAACTATGATCACACAACTACTCTTGCTGTTTGCAGCTTTTTTACGCCATAAAAATTTCTCAGAGAAAACAGATCCACGAAAATGCCAGATATTAGTCCTCGCAGGATATACCTCCCTGAAAAATCTGATTCCAACATCTAAACAGCTCTTACTGGAAGGAAGTTACCAACCTTTTGAACCATTTCGTTTTCTCCATGCTGGATGGTGTATTGTCGCCGCACCTGATGATTCTTTGTGATATCTGTGATCAGCAAACCACGAGCAACACATTCAAGATATCAAACCCGCTAGCGTAGAACCAACTCCACTCGCAACCGACAAATCACTACCTATTCAACAGGCTAGAGTGAGCAGCTCATGCAAAGGAAATGACCTATATGCGGCCAATATTGAACATTACACATTTGAACTTTTATGAGACTACGATTGCTGGCCTTGCTTGGAAACGGGTGCTCTTTATGTTGCCAAGAATGTACAGGGTTCAATGAATCAAATTAAAAAGTGTCTATTTCAAAAAGATCTCCTAAAATTTCGATCAGACGCGCACGTAGTCACTCGTTCGACTTCAGCATTTTGAACAGAAACATAAATTCCTTCCGAACGTGGAATTTGAGAAACATTCCGAGAAAAAAATCGGTTGCTGACCTTTTTGAATCTTGGACAGAGCGCTCACTTGGGTTTCCAATTGCTGCTGCAGCTCCTTCTTAGCTGCCGCCATCGTGCTCTCACCCGCTCCGCTCTTGATCGATCTCCAAATCAATTGTTGCTGACCGAAGACAACAGATTCTACTCCAGAGACCAGCACAACCTCCTCGTTAGTAAACCCCCGCTTAATCACGATTTCGGTCGAGATTGCAGTTCCCGTTTCCTGTCTTGCCGAACTGGAGACTTTACGCCGTGGAGCAGGAGTTGCAACCACGGACTCTTGTCAACCACGTCACGGTTTGAAAACTCCATTGATATCTCTTATGTCTTGAAACAATATGAGATATTATGAATTGCAGCATGATTTGTCGCTTGGCATTAGTGGACTAGAAAAACTCAGCCCATCAAATTGACGAAAAATGGACAACCACATCTTTTAATGTATGCCTCAACCGTTATACTGCTGGCGTCTACAACCTTCGTTTGGTGAAAACATGTAAAAACTTTACCAGCACTGTCTCTATCTTTCTTTGGTTACATGGTATTGTCTATACTCCTGATCTTAGAAAATAAGAAGGAGATGAGAACCATATTTCGATATTATTAAGAAAGAAAAGAAGATAAGCACTGGATTTAAAATTATAGCTCGAGGACATCAACTATTTTAGCATATCTTTCCCTTATTTTGGGAAACAATATTATCTTGTCCTAATCCTAATTCTTCATTGATGCATTATCTAAAACAATCTATATGCTCGGTACGTTTCATACTTGAAAGATAATTATGCCAGAAGATAAGTGACATTAGTAAAAATTTTACAAGATTGTAGTCGTAAACCTCTAGTTGCGTCTAAAACATTTAGGCATTACATTTGCCAACTGACTGAACTGAATGATAACTATTGATCGTTTAAGTGGTGTATACAGTTCTTCATGGTCTTATGATTGATGATGAAAACTGATGATCTATGTGAACTAATGTTTTTATTTATCCACAGAGGGTTCACTGCATTATTCAAAGAATAAATCTTCAATATTAGATGCGTAGCCGCAATCAAATGTAAGTCTTTAAGGGAACAATTTTCAAACACAAAGTTGTCACACGCACTAACGATATCATAATCGCACCTCGACGTTCACATCTCAAAATATGTACTACTATTCCAGGTGTCCAGATGCATGTGTTTCAATTTCATACCACTAAATGGACTTCTAAATGGTGCAGTCACGGGGAGATTTTTCCCCTATGATTGTACAAGTTAAAGACTTACACTAATGTTTGCCAGTAGGCTTGAGGTGTTGACGGATTTTTCTAAGTGCTTATTTGACACATTTAGCTTTCTCGTTCATATCAATTTGCAATGTCCCTGCCTAAGCCTCTGAAGAAACCGTTGGTTTTTGTTTAACTTAATTATTTCTTCACCCCCAATCGCAAGGCTTATGCAGATGTTATCCATCTGGAAATATCATGTTATAGTTTTCTTACCCGGATCCTATGTTTCACACTCTTTTTAATAATATTCCTCTTGGTTTTAATTCTAATGCAGGTGTCATTTCCTCCGGCCCCAGTCAGCTGGAGGGATGCACTGACGATTGCATCATGTTTAAGTAAGTACAGTGGGTGTTATTTTATCTTATCACTGTTTAACATTGAAGTTTTTGACATTTTGATAATCTTGGGTATGAAGATGCACAAATTGCATAATTGTAGTACAACCTACTGAATGTCAATCTCATCTTTCACACGGATTTCATCTATAATCAATCCATAATAAAGTTTTAGGTCGAAACATGTTTGAAACTTTTCACTTCTTCCCTCCTTAATTTCAAGTGTGTTCAGGACATGTTTACCAGATAGAGGATGAAATCTTTTTTCTTATATTGTCTAAAATAGCCTAAACCGAATGCCAGTACGTTCGTGTTCTGATCATCTGTTGGGCCTCTAGATCACCAATTCTAGACTATAAAACATTATTTCTGTTAGCATCTTCAGCATTTATCATCTATCTTTGCCAGAATATGAGACTCCTGTTTTATATCTCGTCGTTCATTTCATAGAATTGATGTATGATACTTCCATGTATTTTGATCATTACGAATATGGTAATGATCATTGAAAGTAGTTCTAGGTATTTTAGTCTTGTCAAGAAAGAAGTTCGTACCTACGAAATACAATGCACTTTGCGAAGCATGCTTACGTTGTACATACATCCACTTTCTAACATTAGCCACAAGAATCCATCAGCTGGACTACGGGAACTCGAGTTCGAAAGCTCGAAAATATCCAAATGCAATATAGGCCTGAAGTAAGTCGCAGAAATAGCTTCGAGGGAGCATATTCGAACAAACTACTGCAGTTACAAAAAATACCATTCTGGCCAGTACTTTAGGTTAACTTCAATCTTGCGAGCAATCTTTAAATACTATACACTGTAATATATCGAGACGTAAAATGAGACTTTCTTATAAGTTTAGTTTCAAGTGTGGTGTTTACTCATGAAACGGAAATTGGCTTTTGATGCAAACCATTGAACAGAAAAAAGTTTGCAAGAGATATGGCTAAATTTCACAACACCAATGTGCAGAAATGTAAAAAAATCGAGAGTGATGCTATACGCAGTGCAGTTTGTTCACTATATGAATTGTACTTAGACCCTTGGAAATGAAGTGAGTTATGATGATAATTCCATTCGTTAACCTCTCTAATTGTGGTAACATAATACTCTACAATGAACACAAATAAGTTTTATACAAAGCTAATCCCACTAGATTATTTGATAGCAGTAATTCTATAATAAATGTCATGGAGTTTTGTTTATAAACAATTCGAACCCTGCCCCTAGTTATTCGAACCCTGCTCCCTTCGAGCCCTGCCCCGAAGGGAGATACTAGGGGCTAGGTTCAAATAATCACTCTTGTACATCTTAATGTGTCTTCCCATCTTTTTTGTTTCCACTTGGACTCGCAAAGATCACTTTCTGCAATTTTACAATTGGCCGAGAAATAAGGTACAAAATCTTATTTCTCTGGGTAACCTTCAGTCATATTCTGCTCGGAAATTGTGTCAAAACTAAAGCCGTCTTTCAAAAAATCCTAAGTCTATCCTACTAGTACAGAAACACTGTATCTGTAACACGAAACCCCTTTAGAGACACAGGAGATGCCGAAAGAGTCCAAACATAGTTCAACCCGGAAGACAAGGGAGCCATGGGAAGTCCTGAATGTATAGGAAACTGATAATAGCTATAGTGGCGAAATGAGGCTAAAATATTGAGACTATGCTTTGGATAGCTTCTGCCAAGTCACGCTGCAAACAAGTTGCCAATTGTAATGAAAACTCAAAAGGCTTATGATACTAACTGCCTTTACTCTGATATTCGAGCTCATCGACAGTTCCATCCATCTCCAATTTCAAGCATGTCCATGTATATTTACTGGTACACTTTGGTTGCTTTCGCCTTCCTAGTGCAGAATCTAATGCCAGTCTGATCAACAGCAATCACACGATCTTTGTGTAGTATCTGTACCACCACTTGGCAACGATACAGCTTAGTCACGGATCGTAAAGTTGTGTTGTCAAGAAGGCTCCTTATATAAGCACACACCGATGCTCTCGATATAATTGAGATTCGCTATCTCTTGTGTGATGAAAAGAATCACACATGTAATGGGTGACAATTCTTCAATGTTCATGCACAAGAAAATCTCCATAAATCGTAAAATAAGGAGATCAGACAGACGTGAAGAGAAATGCTATACATAGCGGGAACAATTTGAAACTAAGCGCAACGCTGTTGTTGATCATATTCTGGTCACGTCTAATCTATACACTTAATGATCCCGGCTTAGGAGTCTCACATAAACATCTTGAAGCTGGATCCTAAAAGTTACTAAATTTCCTTAGGTTTGAAATGTCAACCTTCATCAACAAGAATATAACAGAAGATGGATATTACCAAGTAGTCAAAGGACAAGACTACTTGTAGATAAACTGAACCTCTAGTACTCTTCACCTACCTGCGTGGCAACTCTCTGCTCATACTTTGACGCTTACATACCTTTCCTAGCCTGATCGGCCTTACTGGATCTGGGTTCATTTATGTTTTATACAAGCATTAGGTTGACTGCAAGAAGTTGATCGTGATTAACTTAAAACAACCCAGAAAACTGTAAATTTTGATGAATGAACGAAAGTACATACCTTCGCTAATGCAGGTTGGTTGGACCTATAGGTGCAACAGCATCCCACCTCCATATTGTACCGTCCTCACAGCAGCACAAGATGATACTGAAGATACACGACATCGGTCAAGGTAGCGAAAAGTCCATGCCTTCCTTTCAAATACTAAACATATTTTGAAAATTGCAGTTATGAATGACAAACTTCTTCGACTTTCATTTACAAGGGAAGTAACTCTAAGGTAACTACAAGACAATTATATGATATGAGCTAGCTAATTCGTGTTGCTGCGTTCTCAACACATACGATATAAATTCATACTCCACATGAACTTCAGATACAATCCTGCTTGGTCATGACTTCAAACTAAAGTTGTCGGAGGGCAATATATTCAATCGCGCAGTTTAATATTCTTAAGGTTTGCAAGAACATCACGAGAGGCATATGTAACTTACCTTCCATCATATGATGTAGCGGTCTGTCGAATTGGGGACTTGCAACCACTGGCACACAACCTGTATATCAACACACTCTAAATGTTGCATCAAAAATAGATAGCGCGGTCAAAGATGTACAGAACACACCTGATTTGTACTGGAAGTACAACTGTGCAACACTGACTTGGAAGGAAAGAACGCAAAACTAACAAGGTTGAGGTCCTCTTACTTCGCGAGCAGATTTGGGGGACTTGCTTGTGGCTCCCAAACATATATTTTGCCCTCTCGATTACCTGTACAAATGGAAATCATTTTCCTTATGCAGCTCGTAGCAGTTTAACTGAAAATATCTACATCAACTCTGTTGCACAAGCAAGATAAAGGATGACGTTAAGTCACCTATGGCGAGGGTGTTGAAAGAAAAATCGCAGGAGAACTTGATAAACCAGATGTCGCATTCGGGAACAGGATACTTTTGAAGTATGTCCACGACTCCCTACAACAATAGAAATGTGTCATAAAAGATTGTCCACTGACACGAGATGAAAACTTCAAGACAGTCACGCCTCCTGAATAGAGCATTATACACACTTCGCATCTGACCGCAATCTTACCTCTGTTCCGTGTTCTTTGAACATAGGCTCCCACAAAACGATCTCATTGTCAACACTCTGCACATGTTAAGAGCACTACTTAAGGAAAGAGGTAAAATATAAGAATTGATATTGCGATGTTTTGAACCACCTGTACTTGAGTCGTTTTCTACATTTTCTGGTTACTTAGGACTTATTGTAGATCATTCGTGTCAACATACCCTGCAGATTACACCGGTACATCACAATGGGTTTAGACCACCTGTTGTAGCTGCTTTCAGATCCCTACACGAAATGTTACTCCAGCTTCATCTTAAGTAAAACCTGACCTCATCTGTACCCACTGGTCTCTTCTTAAAAAGATCTTTGTCAAACAAATATTGACAGAATATTTGCTAATATCAGCAAAAGCAAAGACATACCTTCGAAAGGATGAAATCCCCCAGCCAGCGGGTGCAGTCCACATAGTTAGAGTGAACCAAAGCATTGAAGACCTGTCAAACGATACTTTAGCTATTAAAATGGGGGGCTGCTCGACTGATCTATATGTAAACTCATTACACCTTCCTAGATGCGCTTGTTGTAAATGAAGTTACCAAAATTTCTACTTTATAAACTTAAAGTGAAATAAACATAATAAGAAAGTTCATCACAAAGTCCAATATATTCTGTGTGCACTTCGTTTTCGATGAAACTTTCCTCGAGGCAAGACAAAAAGGATGAAGTTGAACTTACAGGAAATTGCACATATTTAGTGGGAAACGTTGATGGTGAGTCGGTCCACGAGAATGACTTCTCAACATACACCCAAAAATCTGATACATCCAGACATATGCATACATAGTTCTTCAGGGATCTCCATCAACGAGAGATACAGAAAGCCAGAGAATAGCTAGCAAATACACTCTTGGTATTGCATGCAGAAATGATTTGGCAGGCAAATGGTAAATAGTCTTTAATTAGAGATTTACTAATTGATACCTTTAATGTTCCAAATTTTGATGGTATTGTCCATCCCGCAGCTCGCGATTTGATTCACATCAGATGGATGAAAATCCTACGAGAAACACAACAGACGTATAACAGCTGCCAGTCCTTTAAAGCTTTCGGCAAGTAGGAGGGCCAAAACAGCACTCATACACTCATAGCTGTTCCCTTTATGGACTGTTACACTTGAGAATTTTACAAAGCTATCAATGCAGGCTGGAAAGTAAGTGCAAAATTCAAATAGAGCGTACCACACTGAGGACCTCGTTACGATGACCTCCGGCACCAGCCAGTATGAGGATACACACATTGGTGGTAACATTCCAGAGTCGTAATGATTCATCCTGGATATACAAGATATGAAGTTCATCAGTATGGAGTTGCATCACTGGCAATGTAAGAATTTATGGTCAGGCCTTGACTTTCTTAGTAATTTCTCACCTTGCTTGCCGATACTACAAGGCTAGGCTTCATGGACTGTGTTCGAAGTTCATTCACAGAATCGCCATGCCCCAAAAGACTCTGCCAATCAACAGAATCAACGGCAAACTTAGGCAGAATAGAAAGTCACCAGGTTGTATGTTTCCATATCTTGAGAATAATAAAGAGGTTCAAGTGGTCAAGAGGAACTTCAGGCTATTTGATAACTTTGAGATGTTCGTTATGTCCACAAACCCTCAATAGATTCTCTGTGCTACAGTCAATAATTCTAATGACGCCATTGCTCCCACTAGCGACCAACAAAGGAGTCCCTGCGTTGTCAGATGCCCAGCAGACAGTGTAGAATGATTCGTCTTTCTGCACAACAAATTCATCTATATGAGTCAGTGAAGATTGAATTAGTGGAAGGAATTTTCGAAACCAAAACCAAGCACAAGTAAGCAGAAAACTAGTAGCTAGTGAGCAAGAAAATTCCTTTCAGTCGGTTCCAACAAGATCTGTGGCAGCGGAGTCTTAATAAATTGTGAATAAAATTCTTAGTAAAAAATCTTACATCTTCGTCGACATAAGCCTGAAGGATCCCAATCGCCCCTCCTTCTAGGCAATCGTACACAGTCACCTGTAGCAGTAAACAACCGTCAATGAAAATGAAATGTTTTAGATAAAACCCCTGTGAAAGCTATAAGGATCTATTGTCTGCGGATAATTGCACGAGAAGAAAACTCTTATGCCTCTCAGTCCTGAACATCCCAAAACTGAATATGATTACTCTTAACAATAACTTCATACCGGAGTATACAGGAACCTGTCTCAAATTGGAGGGAGCAGAAATTGATCAGGATTGCAAAGTTTCCAAATTCATGAAACGTTTTCATCATAAAGGAGGAAAATTTACGGGCAAAAGCTGATGTCATCGACATACTTCAAGAGTATTGTCATGTCGCGGATGGAGGAACATTGATAGATACTGATGCAATTTTTAGGAAAAGGGTGACAGAACTCTAAATATGCACACTGAAGATCTCCAGCAGAAAACAAAAAAGGTGAAAGTGTTTTGATGAAGAACCAAGCTGACTGAACTAAGCCACTATATTAGATGTTGATATATATCGCTCTGGGTAGTGTATTAGTGTTCCTTCCAGACAGAGAGAGACTTAGACTTTACCCGATTGCCGCCAGCAGTGGCAAACAAGCTGAAGAAACGCGAGTCCAGAAAATTGAAGGTGATGGCATATAGTGGTCGTTTGCCTTCTGCCATACGATTGCAAACTTTGTAGTCTCGCTTCTTTTTCAAGATCGTTACTACACCTTCTACCGGCTCATTTCCGAAAGGTACCGATTTCCCCGCCATTAGCGCACCAGATGAAAGAAATCAGTAGTTTCACGGGGCCCTTCCTAGCCAAGGCCACTTCAGACAATCGATGAACATTCACTCTAATCTTTCTGCGACATGCTCATCCTCCGACCACCTCGCGGACAGCGATCGCTGAAATTCTTCGGAAATCTTCTCTCATTTTCTTCGCTACCTTTCCGATGCTGATGCCGATCCTCGATTTCGGCCGATTCAAATGTTTGATCCGCTGCTACGCTGGCAAATTCAAACTTTCGAATAATTTTGAGGCGATGTTACAGTAACAACAAACCAATCCTCGTAGAGCCCGGGAGTTTGTTCACATCCTCTTCCAGCACATCGCAGAACAAACTAGAATATTGCGCGATTGTCTCCCATCCATTCCAGTCATATTCTTGTGATTCTAATATATGTGGAACTCCGATACCTGATTGCAATTGAACAACAGTACTGTACAGTACAAATAAACTCTTTGGCTAAAGTTGTCTTTCCTCTTCAATTATTTTATAAATTCACTTAAAGAAATTTATACTTCTATAATACTATAAATACTTCATAGTAAATAACACTGTTTGATGTAATTAGATTAAATATATCTTAGATATATTTTGTTCAATTACATGTAAATATAGGATTTTTTATTTTTTATTACTCTAGCATTGTTAAGATATATAAAAATATTTTATTTTTATTTGAGTTTACACTACAAATTATACGAATCAATGTCATCATAAAAAAATATTTAATATAATAAAAAAACATTATACATGAATTTTTTTCATATTAAAATTTGTAGAATGATTTTTGAATGAATCTTTCTTGTGAATTTTCTCGAATGTAATTTTTTTCTTTTCAAAAACTTACGATAAAGGTTATGAAAACACAATATTGAATAAAATGATTACTATAAAATTTTATTTAAGTATCATGATAATGAAATTATTATTATTATTATACTAAATAAAAATCACATCAAAAAATAATTTTTTAATTTTATTTCAATTGTTAAATTCATCCCCGTCCATCCATTTGTCACGACAACAAGTCAGAATTTTAATTATATCTCGTCACGTCCGACTTATCTTTCTTATTCTCTTATTCCTCCCTTGAATAAGCTGCAGTCATTGATCATACTTCATATGCACGTGGAGTAAACATTGGAATTTGCTGCTGTGGAGCTGTGAACGACTCAACCAAAAGGTCATAGTCCAAGCACTTTCGTTTACTTTATAGTTGAAATTAATTAAATTTCGAATAGATGCAACATGGTACTTTACAACAAATTTACATTTAAATTGAGAAACCTTGTTGTTATGACAACTGCTGATAGGGGTGATTTTAAACAAAATATTCAAATTAAATATAAATGTATGGAAAGAATTTGAAAAAAATATTTAATAAATTTAATTTATTAATAATATGTGTAATATATTGAATAAAAAATATAAGATCTCATTCATAATCATTATATTGGATCACAAATAACACATATTATATAGTAAAAAATTGTTATCATTGAAGTTAATGTACATAAACATATGAAAGTGTAAACGTCAATAATTTCATTATCTTCAAGTTGTAGAAGTCAAAGTTGTCACAATGCATAATAAACTAGATCATATTTATATTTTCTGAATTGTACGTATATTTTATTATATTTTTCTTATATGTCCACTTTATTTGTAAAAAATTGCAGCAAAATATGTACATACACATCAATATAGTACTCATGACACATATACACTTGTATAATTTCGAATCTTAATACTAGAGATATTCTTGCTTAGACATTGTTCTATTAAAAAATCATAAACACCTAGTTGTAAATTACTTTCATAAATTATTATTGTGAGATACCACCTCCAAATATCTCAATCCCAAGATTGTAATGCAATCTTGCAGTTTAAATTTGTGTTTAAAATATTAAAAAACCTTACATTCGATTGGGTTAAGCTATGAATTCCAAAAAATTAACAAAAATCAAAAAATATTTTCAAATCGGAGTATAAATAAAAATTTGCAAACTATATTTAAATCATTACAAATTGAAAATTAAAAATTCTTCAACTTCTCTAATTATTTTTACACTTTTTGAGAAATGAAATCTTATGTTTAGCTAATTCTCTTGAACTTGTGACTTTGTCATTCTAGTATCAAAAGTGCAATGTTGACATTGTCAAAATCTTGCAATAACTCAATTATCATATTGATATTCTTGTATTGATATAATTCTTTCAACTCTAATAATGAAATTTCTATTATTAATATTTAATAAATCATGAACTCCAACTCGTTTTGATTTTTATCATAAAAATAAACATATTATTTAGCCATGATATAAATTATATGATATGAATTAAATTGAATGATGTATAATGGAGAATCGTGTTGAATCTTCTATTGTATAGTTTTAAATAAATTCTAAAATATATAACCCTAAAATCACATCAACAGTGTAGGGTAATTTACTGATCCATGATTTAAGAGTTTTTCTTATGCCAATTATTCCTACATATTTTTTGCCTAGGGAAGGTTTAGTGATTTTTAAATATGAGATTCCTCTTATAAGCATATTATAGGGAGTTTAATAATTAATCCATAACGTTGTGTCTAAATTACCTAGTATGAGTGATGGGGACGGGAGAAAAATTTGCGAAATGCTGGAAAAGTAACACTAAACAATGTTCAAAAACCATTTCCATCCGGATTTTTTTTTAAAAATAACTTTTCCCTGTTCTGGTGAATAGTTAATTATTTTTTAACAAAAACTTCAACCCATTTTTTTATCATCATCCATACCATACGTTAAACTCATGGGAACAAAAATGGTTTATGTGATTAATCCATCGATAACCATTATTTTATGGGGCTATCTTGAAACCCATCAAAATATGTGACATGATTGTATTATTCAAACTCTAAGCGTAACTTACTGAAATAAGACAAAAGTTTTTCAAAGAACAACTGAATACATAAATCATGATCCAGAAAAGCAACAAAAAATAGTCTTCTTCTTTTGCAAGCCCATTCTTTGCCTTCAGATATCAGGAACATTGACATTCCCCACACTCTCAATGGGGAAGATGCGCACAATCATTCCCAATATCTGACATTTCTATTAAGTGGCCAAAGACGTTTCCTTATTCTGGAATCTAGATGCTTAGTTAAGTGGTATGATTTTCCTCGTTATGCTTCCTTGATAGCATGAAGTAGTCACTCGTCAAGTTATCCTGAAGAAGATCCTAGTGTCTGCACAAAACAGTCATTCTCAGCAAGTTCATTTCCACGTTTTCTCGTCCATGCTTCACATGCCAGCTTGAAATCATTAAAAGCATCCGAACTGAATCGGGCCCAAGTATTTACTTTGGAAGACCTGATTAAGATTAAGCTAAACCAATATCCATGGGGAAGCCCCTGTTCGGCGCAAATCAAGGTCTTAATCTGCAGTTTTGAGGAACGTCTTCTTCTCCCAATCACAGGGAGACCTTGAGCATTCATTGTCTTCTAACGCCATTGAGCAAGGACTAGAGTTTCTGGTGAATGTGCTGTGATAACAGAGAATTCTTATGATCGAGGAACCAGACCTCAATCTGGACACGATTTCTTATCCAAATAACAGTGATTAAAATCTTTTGTTTATTTTTTATATTTTTTAAATGAATATCATGACAGTGTTATAAGCGAAGCAATAAATGTATCCATTAACTAGCAGGAAAATAGAATGCCACATTTTAATTCGACTGAGTCCAGATTTTGAGACACCAGCCTTGTAATGCATTCAGGTGTCGTGAGTTCATGCATTTTATAATATCAATGATCGGACTCGTCTTTTGGACTCTCAGATTTGCAACTGATCGATGTGACACTTCGTGACCGAGTACCAATCTTGACTCCATCAGGGAGTCTTCTAAGCATGTTTTGACTTCTCAATTACTTCAGACTGACTATTTACCATTTTCCATTTACCATTTACTACATGTCATTGTGCAACTGTAATACTGTCCAAATGAAAGCTTACAATATACTGACGATTCAAGCACAATAAGCCTTCTCCTTCCTAGAGATCTGCTGGATACGGCGAATTTGGACACTCTCCGATCCAAAATTTTTATCAGAACCTTCAGACTTCCAGTAGGCATCCACGTGTGTACACATATACAGGAAATTCAAAAATACCTTTTTTCAGCACTTAAAGTCTTATATATCTAAACTCTGCTGCACAGTTCTTAAAAATATCAATATCAAGAATATGGATCTCACTAGGCATTGAATTGTCACTGACTTTCAGAAGACCTGCAAAACACTTACGGTAACCCGTTCTCTCATTGACTCTTCACTTTTAGTGATCGATACTACGATGCTAAGTGGCTATTTTAAAGTAATTGAAACATTTGTTCCGGTTCTGTAATTCAGCCGTTGAGCTACTCACAAGATCTAACTTCGTTAGATCTTGTGAGAATCTAAATACATAGGGATATGGAACCCACCCTGCAGAAGGTCGAGTATTGTCAACCTCCTCGTAGGTGTGAACCTCTGGGACCTATTGTCTGCCAATCTACACCCCCTGAGCTGAGGACCTTCCCTCATACTCCAGTTAACGAAGTTACCTTTATGTGGACGCAGGGACCGTCGTCGACAGTATGAAATACAGAAAAACACTAACAAACACAGTAAACAGGAATCCAACGTTTTGCATTGGATTCAGGATGATGGAGACAGTTATATAACAGCTTCGTTTAAGACCAGGCTGCTGTACAGTAGCGTGATTGCTCCTGCACCGGTAATCCTGTATCCCTTGAATTTCCATTTTTTGTGTACTAAAATCTAACCGGCCTCGGTTATGTTGGCACTGAATCCAGATCCTGCATTTTGGAACGCCACAATGACAAAGAGTCGTTGCTTAAGCCTCTATCATGCTACAAGAGTAGTGCACGGATGAGATGGGATGCCTGCTGAGTAGGCATGTGATGAAATTTTGCGTCTCGAGATTAAGAAACGTGAAAAAGGAGGAGAGAAATCGTGTCACGTCGGGCGATGTGGACAGATTTATCCAAGGGTTATGTAAGAATGGAGACCACTGAGCCGACCATAATTAGAGTACTTGTTGGCCCTGGGACGGACGAATGTCTGTGAGTCTATTTTCGACCGGGTCTTCCGAGAGAGGGAAAGAGTGAGAGATTTGGAGGGACAGCGATGGAAGGACGTTGACGCATGTCCAAACAAAGTCCTTCCAATAAGTGCAAGCGTGCACCAATCCGAAGACTGGAGGCTGAAACATGAGGTCTCCTGAGAGGAAATCCAGTGGCTTACTGTGCATGAGGCAAGGTGACACACATCATACGCACGATTGTCGTGGTCAAGCTCAGAAGATGAAGGTTCCTGTTCATCACAGTCTGAGTTTTGTCATGAACCAGAAGCACCACTGCTGCAAGCTAAGCTAAGCCTGAGGCCCACTTTAGTGATGGATATACAAATGATCACCAGTCCATGCTTGTAGCCCGGTCCTCCCGTCATTAACGCCCATGCCCAACAAGAGCAGCTGCAATCTGTTAATGAACATGCATGACCTCATGTGTTCGCTTGAGGATCAAGGTATCCATCCGTTGAGAGATCTTTGCTTTCGCTCGTGTTGTGTTCTGGACATGTAGCCATGTTTTCAGGGATTTCGTCATGAACTTGCTGTATCCCTTCCTCAACTCACCACCGACTCAGAATCTCTATGAGGTTGTGAAACACATCTCATCATACATTGGCTACTCTTCCTACTGTTGCACTTTCTTGTGTAATCAACTTCGTGTATGTTTGTGTGTGTGTGGATAGACCTTCTCTCATGTTCCTGTTCCTGAGATGATAATGATTATCGGGATTATTCATAATTCAATAAAGCGCTCCTTGGTCTCTGAGTATTCAGTCATCGGTCCATCGCCGTTGCTTCATTATCTTCGACAAATCTCTCCACTCCACACGACTGGGCCAGGAAGGATCTTCCCCTGTTCCGGGCAGGCTACGGTAGTCATGAAGCGACTCACTGAAGGTAGTGAGGAACAATCACGAGGAGCTGCAGTGTCGAGCGACTCGAGTCGGTATCGTCTGGCCTGCTGCTCACTGCTAAGGTGGCCATAACTTTTATGAGACATGGCTCTACGCTATTGACTCCTTGTCTGATCAATGACGGTACCTTTTACAATCTTTGCCTCAATTCCAAATTCATGAATATGCTTCAGGACCCACTCAGTGCCGACAAATCGGAACGAATGAGATCACTAGAAGAACGTTTCAATGTAGAGGGACCAGACGCATTGTCATATTATCCAGCTCCGGAATTGCGCTCGAATCAACCGACACAGGGACGAGAGAGGCTCAGGACTCAGGAGGGTTGACATCGAGGTACGTGATTTCGGGAGATGCCATGGAACTAGCGCAGTCTGGAGACACCTCAGCATAGCAAGGGTCACGAATCTAATGATGTTACTGCCCCTTAGGGAACTCAAAATGAGTCATATGAGCCCGTTTAGCTCATTCGCCATTTTCGGGCGTCCCTGAACGAATTTGCTCTGACTGTGATTGTTCGTCCACCCATGCCAAAGACTACCAAAAGTCCATCGCAGCACAAGATGTGTCAGGGGGTTAACAACAGTCCTGTCACCATTTATCCGCGATCTGGAAAGCCACCCCTCCTCCCTTAGAGTTAAGGGGATTAAGGAATGCCCGCAGCTCCCGTAGCTTTTGTAAGAGGCAAGTTCTTGACAATTATATTGCCCGAGCTGGGTGCTGCTTCTGTGTCCTGATCTCTTGACTCCGGGCCTGACTCGATCAACAAGAAGCATCTAAACAATTACGAGGCGATCCTGTGAGTTCCTTGTGGTTTGTGATGAGGCGGATTGTGCCGAATGGACTGAACACGAACACTGCTCCTCGCTTGTCGTTGTGACCTCACACGTAGAACAGACAGAATCCGTCCGCGTCGCAATGAAGTGTTCTTGACGTTCACCAATTGCATCATATATACACAATGATTCAATTGAAGAAACGCAATGTGCGCATCCAGCTGCGCGGCGATCTGAAAACTCGGTAGCTGGATCAGCAGGTGTTGGTCTGTCGGAGCTTCGGGTCCAGGCGCTTGGACACATTCATTCGGTATCACAAGACTGTAGTAGATGTGACTAATCACCACTGTCCTCTACTCTACTATACTGTACTCGACGCCAATGTACGAACTGAAGCACGTGGTCGTCGAAAATCTGAACAGTCGCATAGTCCAGACGGGGACGAAGCATTCCCTCGAGTCCAAGGAAAAGTTCCTCCTTGAGATCCGACCGACCGATGCACCGTAGTCAGGTACTGCCAGGCTTGGCCACGGTCCGGTTAACCGGTTCATAAAAAAAGTGGACCGGTTAGCCGGTCCCAGACAAAAATTTGGGACGGACGATTAACCGGTTAACCGCCAGTCCGGACCGGATCGTGGCCAAAAAATGCACTACATTACATGAGGGTGACGAGTTTTCTCTAGGACCGTTTAACCGGTCCCGACGGTTAACCGGTTGACCGCCAGTCCGGACCGGACCGTGGCCAAGCCTCGGTACTGCGTCGTCTTGTGACCGATCGATTGTGGATGGTGAACCCACACCATCCACATACTCGTAATGACTGAGCTGGCTACGTGAACATACATACAGATACTGTACGTACATGGCAGGCCACGTACTGCTCGCTTCCGGCTCGAAGCATAAGTGACGAGGAAAACCATGAATTCGTCTGATCAGGAATTTGAGGGAAGAGATTTTCTTCGGGGTCGGTGGTGTTTATGTGACAGGGACCTGAGAATCTTGTTTTTGTCTCTGGTTGTCTGAAGGCCTGGAAACGCTGAGAGCGACTTTTGTGAGTGTTTACCCGCAGCAGCGTCAAGTATAAAAACCGAGTGTCAAGTTTAGCAATTGAGGGTGAAATTTGCAACATTCAATTCTGATTTGGTTGGCCCGATTAAGAAACCACTGTTGGTGCGTCCCCTCTTTTTCCAGCTGATCTGTACCTCTCCAACCCCATCGCTCCACGTAGAGCTCTTACTGTGCTCGTCAACCCGACAGTGACCCCATCTTCCTGGGCCACGACCTTCGCACGTTCTTTCCAAAGCTCTGTTCGCACATTGGGTCGAGAAAAGTTCGTCCGTGTGCAGTGATACGATAGATACGTAATTCGACGTCGCCCGGATTGCGTGACTGCAATTTGACGTTTTCATCTCGTCCATCTGGCGAAGCAGCCTGTGCGGATGACATAACAACGCCGGCTCTGAAAATAGGCCGATGAATGCCGTACTGAAAAGAACACGCCAATATTCTTCCACAAACTCCCATCCCAATTATTCTATGAATTATACAGCAGTGAATTTATTCCTAGAATAAATTCAATTCCGTCTGGTGACGATCCTAAATCCTACATCTAGGTTTACAGCAGTGATCCTGTCACAACACGTGCTTGAGTTATGCAGATGAGTTCCCCGCCCCTCCCCGCCTTCGGTGGAGTGCTGCTGGTCTCGTCTGACGTGCAATTATGCAAAGCCTTTCGTTTCTGGGCTCAGCATACTTTTCGAGCCTGAGGTGCAATGGAATCACAGATTTTGGTTTCGACAGCCTGCCTGAGCAGCAACAGCTACGGAAGGACTGTAGCCATGCCCAGAGCAGAGCGCTGGTGCTGGGAACAATGGAGCGCAGGACACTGTGACGGACTATAATGTCATGGTGGATGATGAACCAAGGCATAATAATAATATTGCAGGAATTATTGTTTGTACAGCCGGACGAGTATATTATAAAACTGTCACGCGACATGTCACTACTACTACTACTACAACAAGTGGTAATTCTACGACTGCCTGTGCCTCGAGGAAGGCGAGGCCGGCCGGGGGCTGAAGCAGCTGTAGAGATGACGAACATACCGACTGCACTGCACGATGCGCCGAATTCTCCAGTCCAGTCGCGTGCATGACCAGTGCCAAAGATAGTGCTGGCACGATCGGATGAATCTTCTGGCCTCGCTCGCGCGGCTCTGCTGCAAAGATCCCCCGACACGATCGTCCTTGTGAATTCCATCCTGCGTGAATGCTCGCTCCAGCATTTTCTGTCTCATTGGCATCCGGCTCGTCATGATCTGAGGCCTTGAGCTTTTATGACTCCCTTCTTAGCCCTGCTCTCTCTGCAGCACAGCAGTCCAGCCACCGGACTTCGTACTCTCGAAGACATCATCATCATCATCCCCGTCGTACTTACTCGCTCGAGATCTAGGTCCATATTCGTGACGAGAGGGTCATGATTATTGGCGTTTCGCGGTCCTCAAAGTAGACGAATTCTGTCTGAGTGAGTGGAGAGGAGTGGAGTGGATCGAGGAGCTTCGGTTGGACTTAGTGGTATCGATATCGATGCGCGCAAGGTGAATTGTCTGGATCGTGGGAGGGTGGGGTGGGGCGAGCAGATTCGATGATGACTCCGGCGGTGAAGCGGCTCGTGTTGAACGAGGATGTGTGGAAGATTATAGAGGAGGAAGAAGAGAGGCCGATCGAGTCGTCCATTTTTCCGCGAGGCGAGAAGGGCGACGACATCGTCGTCGTGCCCTCGTTCGATGGCAACAAAACGTGGCGAGAATCGCTGGACTGGCTCTACCGCTACTCGCAGTGGGCCAACCAGGAAGGCCTGTCGGATGATAAGGCTCTGCTGTACGCGCTCATGCACATGAAACATAAGGCCGGTCGCTGGGGCCAGCAATTCCCCCGCAGTGGCACCTGGCCCGACTTCCTCAAGGGCTTCTTCGAGCGATACATTCCTACCGTAGGTCAGTTCACCTCTCTCTCTTTCTCTCGATTTTCGTTATGGAGTTCGTCAATTGTTGAAATTGTCGTCAGTTCTGGGCTGCCATTCGAGCGTCCGTGTAGATTGATCAGAAATTCGTTCGTTCAATGTGCGCAACGAATCCAAGAAATGGATTAGGGTGTCGAGAGAGACAATGATGGCTAAGGCATGCATCGTCGGGAACTGCAGATTGCAGATGGTTCCTGCAGTGGTACAGGAATGAGCGAAAGAAGAACCAAATCATCTGGTACACAGCGAGAGAGCTGTCGAAGGCGACGAATTATTTCTCGGAGGGGAATTGCATCGGAGAGGACAGATTGGGGAAAATCTACAAGGGCTCGTTGCCCAACGAGGGCAAGCAACCGTTCGCGGTGAAGAAGTACAAGAAGGACGTGAAGACGGACTCGCTGCTCGAGGTGATCAAGGAGACGCGCAGCAACCGCGATGTGCTGGCCTTCGGGCACCCTAATGTGCTCAAGCTGCTGGGATTCGCGTTCAGCGAGAGGAACCCGCTGCTCATGTACGATCTGGTGCCCAATGGGTCGCTCGAGCAGCACCTGCAGAGCAAGACCGAGGAGCTCTACTGGGGCAGTCGCTTGACCGTCGCCATCGACGTGGCCGACGCCATCAGACATCTGCACTCGAGCAATTACAGCCAGACGCCCATCTGTCGGCGCGACGTCAGGTCGTCCAACATTCTGCTCGACAACAGCTGTAGAGCCAAGCTCGGCGAATTCGGCATCGAGGACGATTCCGGCAAAGATCTGCCTCCCAGCCCTAGCCTCAAACCGGGAGTGTCCAAGATCGTGGATCCTTTAAAGCTCAAAAGCGGACCCACGACCAAGAAGAACGATGTCTACAGCTACGGCGTGGTGCTCATGGAGCTCGTATCAGGCAAGAAAGCTTGGGTCAGCGAGGTTCCGACCGAATTGTTCCCGGACTTGTGGCAGATGAAACAAGAAGCCGGCAAATTGGACGACATTCTCGATCCCTACCTGAAATCCGCAGGGATCGCATGCGTGGAAGCGTTCCAGGAAGTCATATTCTTGGCGGTCAAATGCTGCTCCAAGCGCGTGGACGCCAAGCAAACCATGGCCACCGTCGCCACGGAGTTGCGCGCAATTCTGCGCAAAGGAGTGACATCCGAAATTCAGCGACTGTCCAAGCTCTGGAAAGAGGCCATCGACAAGCCGCAACCCGGCAGCGTGGACAGCTGCATGCGGCTCGTGGAGAGGCTGGAGCGCGTCATCGACCATCCGAGCCTCAAGTCCGATGTTTCGCGACTGCTGGACCCGTTCAAGAATCTCAAGAGCTCGCTCTTCGAGGATTTGAAAATCAAGGAAGGAGTGTACGAGAAGGGCCCCACTCCTCCTCCTCCGCAGGGCTATCGATTAGACAACCCTCCGCCCATTCGACGATCGGGTTTCGACGGCGCCGTCACGCCCAGACCCTCATTCTTCGATGGTCCCATGACTCGTGCACCTCCCACCCAGTTCACACAGGAGATGGCTATGAAGCTGAAGCAATTGCTGTAACTTCTTCGGCTCGTTCGTTCTTTCTCCATTAATCAATCATCCATCTCAGAACACGACCTTCGACAAGTAGTAATTAGTTGCAGACGAAGACGAAGATGTAGAGTCCGGAGTCTCCAGAAGCGGAGATTTCCACCATTTTGATTCACTCGACCATTATACGAATGTATTCATTCATTCACCATTTGTAAATACTTAGTCCACATACAGGACTCTTGCGGTCCTTGAAACCAATATACCAGCCGACCAATTGTACTTCTTTCCATCCACGATTCCCTCTCATCTGTCCCACTTGGCAATGCATGAACTCCAAACGAGCACCTGAAATAATGCCGCTCGATTTGCAAACAAGATGCTGCATCTCGTTCACACTGTCATGGCTACTCAATGCTCGTTAGCACCTCCATGTAATCAAGTTGCATTCTGGCAGCTGGGGAAGCTGGATTTCATTCTTCTGTCGTTCTTCGCTCATTGGACGGTCTACAGACTCCATAAGTTTCCCCTTCGATTGTAACGTGGTGTGAAGTAAGTAAACAACGAGAAATCAAAGCATGTTGTTCTGTAGCGTACTTTCCTTCTTGCATGTGCATCGAGCCAAACAATTGACACTCAAGTTGCATCCATATGATTCTACTGGGTCCTCATTCTCAATGCTAGCTGTGCAGGTCCGCAACAAGAGAGAGAATCAAGGACGTGACACTTGTTGCCAGCATACATAGAATTCAATCAGCATTTGATCCGGAGAGGAATCCAATCATGAATGTCCCAGGTCCCAGCACCAGAGCACCAAACCTGAAAAGAACGCCTGTACTTTCGTTCCTAACATGCTCCTACAGTTACTAGCTATGAAAAGCTTCATGAGGAATTATTGTTCCCCGCATGTTCCAAGAGGTGCTATCTGTAACAGTACTCGAAGGCTAATGTAATCACACTATGGTCAACAATTATCTCACCAGCCCGTTCGTTGTCTCTCGCGCATGAGTTTTATGGAAATTCCTGTTCATAAGAGAGTTGCATGAGGTCTCGTGGAAATCAACTAACTCACCTACTTCATCTGATATCTACTAAATTGTATGCAAAGGAAAACCACCTTTTATTGATTATCATCATAAGACTTCTTTTACAATTATCAGCGGTGGGTGAGATAATCAATTAACTTACCCACCTTTCATACATAATCTGAAACGAGTTGCAGTTTATAGTAAGTGCTATCCCGGAACAATCATCAATTACCATAAATTATTTCTATTTGCAAGTGAATCTCAGCCAGTCGCAAAGCCACTCTTAATACCAACAATCAGATGCCAAACATGAAGGGCTTCTACTCAGACGAGGGTGTTTGACTGCTGGGTTTCCCGAGTCAAAATACCAATATCAAAATAAGAAGGGGTGTTTGTTCAGATCCTTCCCTTTTTTTTCTCTTTTTCTCAACAGCTCCCAGGAATTATTAGTGGGGTACATCTGTAACCTTAGTAATGCATGTTATCAATAGGGGAACAGTGTTTAACTAGGGGAATGTTTAACTTGATGCATCTGTTCCCCATCTTCGTGATTTAAGCAGTGTTATTTTGATGTTCAAACACTTGATATTAAAAGTTTGTATGGGAAAACGTTGCCAGAAAGATAACCGAAGACTTCCTAAACTCTTTAGGGATGTTTCATTACGGGAGAATGCATTAAGAATCACAAAGAATGCAAACCTTCCAAGCAAGAGCATGAAAATTTATAATCGCCATTGCCATATCCATTAACTTTTGAAGGATTTTAATAAGCCTTTTTCATATTCAGATTCAGAGCTATATGTTTAGAATAGAACATTCCACAGTGAAACCACAAAAACTTCATACTTGACGGCCTGCTTGATAGTACCCACAAAATAAAAAATTTCCCACGTTTTTGAGCTTGGAGTTGTATTCAATCTTAAAATCAAGTTCACATGAGATTAGAACACTCTGCATTTTATCAACTTTTTTGGAAAGTAATTTGAATTTTTTCATTATAGATTCCTTATAACACATGATTGTCAGGTTAATTTTATCTTGGATTAATTCCAATTAATGATATACATAGTTAGGTTACCTAAAATGTCTACTTTATTTCCTTGTATAGAAGAGAAAAATAACCATTCAATAAGTAGAGTTGAAAATTGCACTTTGAGAATGAACATAAAAGAGTAGAGTTTGGTTATGAAATCTTGTATACACGTGTATTTTACTAAAGTTTCTACTAGTGCAATTGGACCTAACATGAGAAAGATGAAGGGCGTTATCTCGATGAATAATTTTTGAGATATACATATAGTAAATTCTACATACCCGTCTTGTGCATCTGTTGATATTACCAACCTCAAATATAACGAGAGGGCATCACATAAGCATTCAGTGAATACCGAGACTCATTGATCATAAAGATTAGTAGGCCAGACAATCATGAGGTTCTTGACCCGCTGGGTCTGGCTTGGTCTCCCTATTTAACCTCCCCGTGGGCTTTTCAATTCATGCACCTCGAGGTCACAACGAGAAAAGTAGAACAAAATTAAACAATGCAACACTTCTTGTGAAGAGAGAATTAGTCCTTTAACAATGAACAACTTGGAGTTACTTCTTGAACATGTTACACCCAGTGTTAAATTTTTTTGGACTAATTCATCTCCTTACTCCTTTAATTAGACCATGGACAGATCTGAGTATACTTTTATCATACAACTGGAATAATAGATTATAAGCTTATTTTTCTTGCTTTCCTCGCTATCGCAAGCTGATGACGAGGAGTACATTATAGTTTAGATTGTTCGTCACAGTACATGTCTCAAAGAGCTTGCTTGATATTGTCGCTGACAAGAGCCGAATTTCGAGTTTAGGGTTGGATTTATTCCGAGGATTAGGGCCAATGATGAGGAATATGGAGTCATGGAAAACAAATTGCACGGAAACAAGGTCTGCCAAACTGCAGTGCTGGATTTTTGGCTCGTGCAACGAGAACGATGCCAGAACTCTGCAGGAGAACGTGAAAGTTGTCGTGCAGAGTTCTGGCGTATGGAAGAATGCGATGATGCTGATGCTGGACCCACGGCCTCTTCCAGTCTCCACAGAAAATGGCAACAGGTTCCAGATCTCTTTGCAATTGCAGGCTTGATGGCGGATTGGACAATTTCTCGAAGCCAAAATGTGAACTCGACAAGGAAAAGAACTTTCATTCCGATGCTATTTCCCTGTCACTCACTGTCAGAATTGCATCCGTTGTCAGCCTAACTGGATCGAAGCGCTCGGTCCTTCTGCGACAAAATTAACCGCATTCTACCATATCCACCCTTCCCGGATTTGCTGCTACTTTCTCTGTCTGCCTCAGTGTCACTCGACTTCCATGTGTCGTACACACGTAGGATGCCTTCGGTAGTTTCAGCAAGAGGAAGGAGAGGGTTACTGCCAACCTGGTGGTCACCCGACGATCCCAACATTCCTCGCTCTAACATTGCTGCTTTTGCTGCCAATTTACAATGGTTCAATGTCACGTATGTTATAAATCGGGCTCGCAGATGGGGCGGAGGAACTTTTCTTATTTGTTTTGCAGTCGAAAGAGTCGTGACATTCTTGCTCGTTGCATTTTTGGCTAATTCTTGATTTTGTTGGGGTTTGCCAAGTGTGGAAGTGTCGTGAGATTTTGAACAGTGTGCGTGATGCCCGATCCTGATGAGAGTTGTTGCGAAGATCTGCTTTAAGGCTCGACAGGTGTTCGCAAGGTTTCATTCCGTGAAAATCAATTGGATTGCAATCCTTGCCTGTGACCCCACTGAAAGGAAAAGTCCGAGGCTTACTACAAAATCCTCGCTCTGAAGGTCTCCTTTACGGCCTCCGCGTCCTTCTCTGTCCACCTGCCTCTCTTCGTCCCAAAGAAACCCGCCATTCGCCGAAATCAAGAATCTCCGTTCTCAAAGATCGACTGTCTCGCGCAGCGCCGATGTTCATGGCGAACATCGTTGATTTTTAGCATACAGAACTGTCTGACAAGCGTTTTTCCTCACGCGCTTCCGGATGAAAGTGCATCCTTTAGGCCTAACCTTCCAAGAACCGAGCAAACCTAATGGCAATCTGGGCCATCTTTCGTGCTGCTGATGCTAATCAGACGCGAAACCCGATGAAGTGTCCTGAAAGTAAAGGAAAGGAGGAGGTGGGACCCTCCGGGCTCAGCTTGAGCTTCAGTTACTCCACCAATGTGTGACACGGAAGCTTCTGACCTCGGCCAAAATAAGTTCCTCCAGAGGACCTGGCCTTTGCTTTCTGTCAAAGATCATTTGATTCAACTCTAGAAATGAGAGTCTGAATTGCTGGTCGCCGCTCCATTCAGCTGATTTGATCGATCAATCATGCGCATGCTGTAGGGGCGGGGTGGTGAAGGAAGGGCGCCATCGCGACGATGGAAACAATGCGCCCGACAGATAGAGTGAGAATAGTGAGAAATTGAAGGACATTTGCTGTGTGGCTGACTTGCTATTGCGTTGATTATGGACCAGGGGCAACGTAGTGTCGAGAAGAACATGATTTTTAAGTCTGGTTCCTTCTCTTCTCTTGCTCACCCAGATTTAGGTGAAGCATAAGCTGCTACTATTCACCATCTATCCATGTGGAAGGGTGCTAGCCGGGTGAACGAGAGTTGAGGGAGTCGTGATACAGACGGACCACCTGCGTCGTGCTGAGCACGAGGAACAAAGCAGGGGAGCATGGCGAATTGGAATTTCGTGGCGGAATTGCTGAAAATGGCCGCTGATTCCATAGACCTTCTTGCTCGAGCGTTGGAGTGTCTGTACAACAACTTGAGCGCCAACGCAGTTGCTGCGAGATAGAGCACGCGCGGAATTCTTTCCGTTCTTTTCCAAGTTGCCTTCATGACAGTCAATCGACTGCTGCAGCCAGCTAGCCAGCTGAGGTTGAGAAGAGACCACAAATTTAATCACACACGCGCACACCGGAGTCGAATCGGCGACGAGGGTGAGCAAGTCACTTCCTTCTTCTTCTGAGATCGTCATCAGAAATACAATTGTACGATGGAGATTCAGCCTGTTGTGAAGAAACGCAATCAAATTCAAAGGTTGGTTTCTCAGTGCTTGTAATGAAATCTCGAGGCAAAGATCTTTGACTGTACATGTTGATGGAGCAGGAGAGGTCACATTAAACTCTGTACGCACCTCTTTTTCGGTTAGTTTACTCGGTCCGCTGGGATCTCTTAAATCTCAGAAGCGACTATGGTGGGTGGATGGGAAGGCATGAGGTTAGATAGTTGTGAAATTTGGCAGGGACTTTCGCAAGTTATGGCCAAGGCTGTTTCCAGAAGGTGGTCGAGGCCTACATGCCGAATGCCAAGAAATGATTACGAAACTGGACTAGGTCTGTCTTCTGATGACAAGGCATTGGGGGCAGTCTTGCTCTGTAAATATGTCTTTGACAGCGATCATGGATAATGCGGAAGACTTCCAGCGTAGATTATCAGGCCATTAGTCCACCAGGAAAAATAATGTCTGCAGCATCACCTAGTCCAAAGGGTGAAGGGCATCTTCTCAGCTGTAGACTTGTCAGTTGCAGATAGCAGGTAAAAGTTGTACTTTTATACACGTACTTTATCAAATGTGCAATAGTAGGTTCCATGACATTCTCGGGTGTGAACAATTTTTGATACTTCCGAAGTCGTGATTTAAGGAAATATGGGCTTGCAGAGGGTATGGGATTGCGGAGGAGGTTGGTTTCAGTTTGTAGGTCGGGAACTCATTGGAAGAGCTGGAACTGCATTAAGAGGAATCAGAAACAATGGGAGGACGATATTGCAAATGACGGATGAGATATCCTGGTACGAAACTATGGTAATAACCTGCAATAAACTTGAGATGCAAAATGTGCGCAAGATCTTGCTTATGGGAAGAGCTTCTGGAATTTTACTGTTTACGCCTTCATGTCCGAGTAGCAGACCTGATGGGAAGACAAGATCATGTTCCCCCTAATCGACGCGCTTGGAGGGATCCTGGTGACCGCAGGAGCTGAAACTTCAGTGAATGTAAAAGGGACAACAGAGTTTCGAATTCCCCGGAGATGATCTTTCTTCATCCACAGAGCGAGGTGCGATGGGTTTAAAGAGGAGACTTGTTTGGAGTTCGGATCTCTTAAAACAGTTGAGTGCACGATTGATGCCAAGGGAAGCCGCAGTGGAATGTGGAGGTACTGAAAGGATTTCAAAGAAGCCGGTGCTCAGGTTTTACAAACCCGAAATTCCAAATAGATATACTCCCAAAGAGTTGGATTGAAAGTAGCAGGGACTGTAGAAATTTCGTTGCCAGTTATAGCAGTACCGAACTGTCTGGTAGTCCAGCTCCTACGACATGTGGCTGGAGGTTTTTATGTGTGACTCGGAAGATTTCGCCCATTTTTTTCAGCTCAGGTCCTTGAGCTTCTGGAAGAACTTCGAGGGAGGAGTAAAGGACGCATTCAGCCATTATGCATGATCTGTAGAACAAACTTCAAAGGTGCCAATCTTTCAACTAAAGGTGTCCATCAGGTGAAGGTTAGCTTCAAACTAGATCAATTCTGAACAGTACAAAATCGAGGACTTCGAAATCACGGAGTCGTCAGTGTAAGGTTGGCAGGCAAACTTATATAGTTAAGTTCTGTTACGCTCACCTCTGAGGTCTGCAGTTATAGATACAAAAGCATTAAGTAGACATTTGTGGCGAGCGAAGGTGGAGTTGAAAACCCCGGAGCCAAGTTCTATATCGTAAATCCTCAACTCGCAGATCACAATGTTGTGAGGCCAGACAAGGGCAGTTTTGTAAGAACGATTCGTCATTTAGATGTGTAGCTCAAAACGGTGGAGCAATTTTGCAATTCTCGCAACAGATCATCTACTTATTCTTACTCATGCTCTCTTTATCTCTCACATTGTATGTATGCTCTACTGATCACCTTTCATGCTTGGGGTTGTCGCCCCGTCCTCCACAGCAAGACACAAGGTCCAAGCACTGGACAACCAAATAATTAGAGACTGTCTTTTGGCCCAGCGACACTGCCGATAATATTCTGAGTAAAAATACTTGTCCTCATCATGTCATATAGTCTAGTGAAGCACTCGAGAAGTTTCATGGTTTATATTTCCCCTCCTCCGCCATTAGTCGTGTGAAGCTATCCAGCATGCAACTGTCTTTCTCAATCTATCTAGCAAATCTCGGTTTGATGGAAGAACTATCATTTCTGTCACGTTGAGCAAGTGGACTTCTTTGTCACTTTAAACCTGCGTCTAGATCACGTGTTTGATTTGATGCTAGATAAATAGGGAGTGATACTGGACGAGCATGATACGTATGTGTAGTGGTATGCTGTTGCCATCTCTGTCCATTGTTCGAGTTCCTATCATCATGACTTGTCAGTCATCCTGAACTTGAACTAGTGAAAGCCTTGGAAGAATATCAAAACAATCCAATTTGACAGATGACATATTGTGCGTACCAGTCATATACTGCTGATTTATAATGCGTACTCATTTATGAACAGAAAAGTTAAGTAGTACTTCACGAGTGTCTTTGGCCATCTCGGCCCAAGTTATCATCCGTCTTCTACACATGAATTGGAAAGCTTCGCATGGGCTCCTAGTCGGTAGGATAGGGCTAGATCCCAATAACCCAAAAGAGGAAGCCCATGTCCAACTTTAAGTCCCATCTGTAGGAAGCAGATAATACGTTGGGAACATGCATATCTATCTTGATATAGTAGGAACCAAATTGTGAGACTCCAAAGAGACTATCAGCTTTTTTCCTTGATTAGCACAGAAAAACACTAATTCTAAACACCATACAATGTGACATAAACATATATTGAAAACTGTTCATAATCGCTGACAGACTTGTTGATATTTGGACTTACAAATATAAGTAATAATAACAATTCAAGTCTAAAACCCCTTTTAATTGCCTCATTCATTCATGACTATGACAAGCTAATCGTTTGTTATTTTCTTTCATTTGTTATCAAATTGCTATCTACTAGACAAAAGTTTGAACATTTAGATAGTTTGTCTATTAGAAATTATTTACTGTTATAATTGTATCTTATTCATTTCTTTTCGGACTGCCGCATATAAGATAGACTTTGGTTTGGAAACATATTATAATTGCAAGACCTAGTTATTATTATAATGACTTTCAGTAGCATAATGTCTCATGTCATTTATGCATCTCTTACGTATGAAATGCTTTGATGTATCACACTGTGAAAAATACTATTTTAACTTGTATAGTCTTGGCGAATCATTAGTTTGATTCATCAAGTCACTGCGAATACACCAAGAGTACATTTTAATATAGTCATACTTGTAATAACGAGGCATCATGTTTTGAGTAACTAGACTTTTTTAACATGAATTTCACCCATTTCTCCTTATTTTTGCATGATATTGATAGAATCTTCTTCACAAGTTGGAAACCACACAAATTCACTTTAGTATAATTTTTATGCAACAGATATGTGTATATGATGGATCATTTATGTATATAGAAATGTGCGTTAATATGTCTTGCGGTATATTGTGTTGGTGTATTGTGGTAACCCACTTTTTGTTTTTGTGCGAAATTAAAACATTTTTGGAAATCAAGTACCGTGGTAGCAACTGTAAATAATAATCGGTATATAAAATAGATTAAAAAGGGAGAATCGCGGGTCACGGAGAATCCAGGAGTTGGGGGGGGCTTAGGCCGAGATCCAGGGCCTTGGACGGAGCAGACGGTTCCTGCTGGGGAGAACGCATTTGGCAACATCTCCTTTGCTGAGGTGTCTTTGGCGATGCGCCTTCGGCGCAGACGCCTGTAGAGGAGATGTCGCTGAAGACGTACGAAGCATGCGCGACAGACGCCTTCGTCACAGGAAATACGACCTCGTCGTTTTGTTCGCCTTCGGCGGTAAGTTCCTTCGCCCAACACCTTCGGCACTAGCGCTGCCTTCGTCGATAGGTTTCGCCTTCGCCGTAAGGAAGACCTTCGCCTCTAGCATTCTACTTTGGTGGAAAGATGCGCCTTCGGCGGAGGAAGAAAAGACAAAGGAGTCGGCGGAAGTCCGTACCTTTGCCGCGAGCGCCTTCGACGGTACGCGAGCGGAGAACAGCGTCAGCGGAAATCGGCCGAATCAAGACTGAACGTACACGCGTGGGAGTTTGTGCAACGGCGGAGCGTGAATTCGAGCGTGCGAATTGGGCCGTTACGCCTCTGCGCTAGCATTGCATTCAAGCGGGCCGCGGCAAATCCAAGTGTCGAACGTTAAGGAAAGAACTCACACTCACTTTCACTCTCGCATTTTCAATTTCGCATCCACCGGAACTCGCGACGCGCAACAGAGAGTTCGCAAGGATCCTGCGGAGAGAATTCTGAGTGTGAGGTGAGTGTGCGGATTTTCGAGAGAAGGAGTGCGCAGCGGTAGAGTGCACTGAAGTAGAATCTTGCGGGAGTCTTGTGGAGAATTTGCGGAGAGCTCGCGGAGAGATTGAGTGCATGCCCAAGAAGTGTAGAGAGAAATTGCAGCGAGTCCACCCGAGCCTTCGACGCGCAGTAACGAGTGCAGAGAAGTTGCAAGAAGCTCGCGTCAGCATCGAACAGAGCGCGCAGGAACTTTCAAGAAGAGGGCCAGGTCCACTCAGCTGCGGATGGTTCCGCTGAAAGTGCCGCAGATTGGTCTGCGTGCAATTCTGAACGAGCTGACGGCGGTGAAGCTCAATTTCCTCCTATGGGGATGGAATTGGGTGTGCCCGGAGATGGTCCGCGAGTGGCTGCGGGAGAGGAACCAACCTCCGCGCGGATTCCGACCGCATCCGTAGAGGTGGCAGGTCAGTGATTGGGAACAAGTTTTGGGAAGGTGCGCGGGAGAAGAAGGCCACCTTCTCTTCGTATGCGAGAGTGTGCAGGTCACGTAGGGAGAAGAGATTTCCTTCGGTGCCCTTTTCAAGAACAGCAAGTCCAACAAGAACGGGTACAAGACCCGTGATTGCAAGGATTGCTTGCGGAGGAATGTCGCGGTAGCACTCCTCTAGATTTTGCAGCCGCACCGGACCACCTACATGACTTCTTTGCAAGTGGGGTTTTTAGAGCTGGCGTTGTCTGGAGCTCCGATCCATTGGGCTCGGATTCTGTGGAAGGCAACGCGACAGCACGCGCAGGAGTAGAAGGGGAGGATCTATCAATCACCTCCCCCTTCTTGATTAATTTCTATCGGTCGATGGGATGCTTGACAGCATCGGAGTGAGTTTAGTTTCCATTGCTGTCACGCAGCAATCCGGGCAGGTATGTGAAGGATGTTGATGTCGACACCGATACAGACGATACGCCCGCATGCACACCACCAGCTCGACCGCGGGCAGAGGAAGAACCACGGGCAGCAAGAGTGCCGCGGAAGCGGAAATGGGATGGGGAGGCTGACCAGAGTCAGCGAGGAGCGCCCGCTGCCTCCGCCCGAAGTCAGGCGACCCACGAGTCCTCCAGTCGGCCGAAGCAGAAAGCTCGCAAGCTTGTTCTGCTGGCAAGTAGCGCGGACATTGGACGGGCCGCTAAGAGAAGAGACTCGCCATCCTCGGCGGAGGATGCGAGTGCAAGAGTTCATGGGATGACAGCGGAACTCCCTGCACCAAAGGCACGGACGCCTTCGGGGGAAGCGCGAAGGCCTTTGGGCCAAAGAAGACATCATGCGGCACCAGCCAATGTGCCAACGACGGACAGGTGCTTGGCCTCTGAGCAAGTACCTTTGGCTCAAGCGCCTTCGGCGCAGGAGAAGTGTAGGGAGTAGACTTCGGCTCAGAGGACTTCGGGTCAGATGCCTTCGGCGGAATCGCTTTCGGCGCAGACCCAACTTGAGGAATCGGTGGAGGACGAAAGCCGGAAGGAGGAGACACTTGTGCCTTCGGCACAGACGCCTTCGGCCATAGCAAATCGGGCAGGAGAAGCGGGCCCGCCGGAAGTGAGATCTCCCACCCCATTGGAGATGTTGGCAAGGAGTGGAGCGACGGTTGCGGCAGAAGAAGCGGTGCGATCCAATTCCAAGGAATCGTCGAGGATTTCTGTGGTGACCGAGATCCTCGACTTAGAGGACGATTATGATTTAGAGGAGGAGGAAGTGGAGTCGGTGCAAGCCACGCCGACGGGAATGCTTTGCGAGCAGGTGGTACCGCTACTACGGTACCATGATCGCAAAGCAGCGAAGTACGCGGATCCCCGCCATCGGGGATCCTACGTCAAATTGGTCAGGAACCGGACGCGGATCAAAGTGGCGACAAATCCCGAGCTGATTTCACTGGACCACAAGTACAGAGAGTTGGAGAAGAAGAACGATGTCCTGCAGGGACACCTTGCACTCTTGCGGAGGCTGCACAACACCGTGCTTAAGTTGCGCGATGACGCAGCGACCTAGGCCCAGCGCGAATTTGAGAAGCAGCGCGCAAAGATCGAGGCGGAGCTCCATTCGGAGCGAATGCAGAATAGCATCTTGGCAGAGGAGCTCGTGCGGCAGACACGGTTGTTGGAGCAGTGTCAGATCGCACGCAAGGCGGATGAGGAGTTACTGTGTCGCCTGCAATCGCAGTGCGACGAATTGAGAGCGCAGCGTGCGGATGCGGAGCTACAGTTAGTGGAGTTTGAAGGCGACAACCAGCACGCGACAGATCACACGCGAGAGGAATAAGTAGCGCGAGTGAACCGGTGTTTGAGAGGTTACACTCTTTGGGAGATTGCCGCGCGGGAGAGAGTGACCTTGCGGCGGCCTTGATGTCGGGTGATAGTCGGAGTCGGCGGCGAGTTGCGAAGCGGTTGGATGCCTTCCTGGTGAGATCGCGAGACGCCATTGCGAACCTCGAGGCAGAGATGATCGAGGTGTTGCGGCGGCTGGGATTGCGCAGTAGGGCAGAAGACTTGTCGGGTAGGGAGTTAGTGCGCGGTCGGCCTTCGCACAGGAGGCATAGCAGGTGATGCGTAGTGTAGCGTAGCGTAGAGTGGAGTGTTAGGTAGTTAGGACTTAGAATGTATAAAGTAGTTCAAGGCGTTTTGCCTTGGGGATTTTCGAGTTTCGAAAGTGCAGTCCAAGAACTAGTTCTCTCTGCGCGTTTGTGTCCTTAGTTCTGTCACCCCGCAAGAGGAGCTACAGCTTGACGAAGTTACCGCATTTTGTAGCTGAAGGCTTTCGGCCGAATGCTCTGAGCTAGTGTAGTCTAGTCAGAACCTGAGTAGTTCGGACTTACACCTTCGGGCGATAGTTCTTGTTTGTACTCTTTCGGAATTTTTCCCCCTTAATGCCAACGTGAAGTTTTGTTACTTCGAGTAAGCCTTGGTTGTCAATTCAGGTTGTGTGTTACGCTGGTTGAGGTGCCTTCGGGGGTAGCCTCCGCAGTATTTCTGGGAATGACTAGTGCCTGAGAATTTAAACTCGTCAATAGACTGTTAAGTGATGACACTGGATAGTTTCTCAACATAGTCTCTAAGTTCGGATTTCTGTAGTCTCTGCACGTTTTGTGAGTTGAGTGTGTTGTTCACCGCGTGAGAGTGACTTCGGCTTGACGAAGGTACCGCATCTGAAGTAGGAAGTCCATCCCGGATGCTCTGCACTAGCAGTAACTAGTGGAAGGGTTGTCAATTCGGAATTGGGCGACTACCTGCAGATACTCTGAGTGTACTCTTGAGAAACTTTCCCCCTTAACCTTAAGTAGAGGTCCTAACCAACCTCTGAGTTGTGCTTTTATTGTTCAGGTTTGTATTGGGGTGAACTACGCTGCACTGTGCATCCTCCGAGACCTCCGAGTTGAGCACTTGAAGTATTTCTGGGAGTGACAATAATCTGATAATTCAAACTCCTCAATAGTCTATTAAAACGTGACATTTAGTACTCTTTGTGTTGACTCTGTCCTTGTGGGTTCCACCTTTTGCTGTTATACTGCAGTTTTAGTCTTTGGTGGGTTATTACATGTATAATATTAATGGATAAGTAAACGTCACTTGTAAATGATAACAAGGAGAGTTTCTACCTATCACTTGGACGTTGTTACAACAAGTACAGAAAAAAGAGAGGTATAGCGTAAAATTTCATCTTTAGAGAAAAGAACACCAGTTTGCCTGATAGTGAGAATAGAGATTCAAATTCTATCGTTTTATATTACATTTCCACGTAAGGAGAGCTCTAGTTTGATGAACGACTTGACAAGACCTTCCCATCACTTTTTATTCATAACTCCATATTACAAAAGATAAATACTTACGGTGCTTGGCCTCCTCTTGGATCTTAGCGTTCACTCGCAGTGACATGTATAGTAATATTCAATAGGTTACAATTCTCGTTGTGGTGTCGAAATTTCTAAAACAAAGCAAAGGTGCTCATGGAGCCTCTCGGGTCCTCTGACAACCGGGCCTTTTCATGGACACCATGTGTCCATAACTCTCAGATTCCCTTCGGTCGAACCTCATACACTGCTCCAGAATGATAACAGAATTATAAGGGGTAACTACGGACTATTTTTAGACAAAATGGTCTACAGTTTCCTTCAGAGGAACAACGTGCATAGAGCTGTCATCAAAATGCTAGAGCTGACCCAAAACGTTTGCTGGAAACGTAAGAAACCTGGCACATCGAAAGTACAACTCATACACGATTGATTGACATAGTTCAGTGTACTTGATCTTGCTTGAGGACTGCACAGTGAATCATAAGAAAATATGCCGTAGACATGCAGGTGACCAGGTCCTTGGGGGATTTGACAACTGCATTTCCACTGCTCCTTATCACACTTCAGACCTCAGTCTACGTCTCCAACAAAAACTGCCCAAATGGATGCGACTTAAGGAGATGATAGGCTGTAAGAATTCTGTAAGAAATCACTGAGTTTTGGCGAAAGTGTCGTCAGTCGTATTGATCCGAACAACTTCCGGAACCATTGATTTGCAAAACCAGCAACCTTGTATTCTGCAGCAGTTTTTTGAGGATTGAAAGCACTTCCATGGTATATTCTCACAAACAATGCGCCACCAATACCGATAGAAATATATTCTGGAAGCTCCTACGACCTTCCATTCTATACTTGATCTACATGAGCTGTTCACACAACATTCTGTTTTCAACCACGACTCCTGGCGAGAGAACGAAATTAACTTTGACCTCAAATGTAAAAATAATAGTAGACAACTGTGGATCTTCAGCAACCAAGCAAGCCCTCACACACGATTTTTCTCTGCATATCTGAGAGGTCTGCATTACCAATAGTGGTGAGAACAAAAACAATTTCCGGGTTGCAGAATGTAAATAAGAGCAATGACGGTAGGATTTTTGGTACCGTCTAGTTCCTACACTTTCACCATTCACCACGGATGTCGTAAATGTCAAACGGTCATCAAACCGTGTTGATAAAGCGATAGAATTTGACCAACAGTATGAAACAAAATAGGACATTTACAAGACTTCTGTGCCCAATCACACGGCTGCTGTAGAATCTAAGCAAATAAATACCTAAGATCACATTGCTGTTTGTTCTAGACTCAGAGATTTCAAAAAAGTATCAAGAAAATTTCCTCCTGATCGTTCTTAAATACGACCATCTGAAGTTACACCTGGAGAAAACTGTCAGATTATTGAAGGTTAAAGTTGCGAAACTGGCCCATAGAAGTAATCTTGCTATCGAAGACGAAATATTTTCATTCTTTCAGCAAACTGGTGTTGGAAAACCACGTAAACATCTTTCTTAAATTTTCACAGTTCAATTTTTTGCGGAGAGTCTCCCATTCCGTTCGTATCCAAAGCAGAATCAGACATACCAAGCATGTACTAAAATACATGCCTGTACTAAAGTCTGCTCCTGCTCTTGGATGAATGAAGGTCCAGAAGGGGTTATGCTAACGGTACGTTCATCAAGTTACTGTGCATCAGGATGGAAAGCGCAATGGTGGGGTACCATATACAGTATTTACCTTGCAAGATATACAGATGTCAACACATACCATCCTGGTACGGACTGAAGTTGGAAGGATATTCCTGACATTGATATACACACTCAGAGGCAAAGTCTAGAGCGACATTCGGAAAGGTGTTGCGATGGAAGTGAAAGCTGAGACAATATAGAGGGTCGAAACAAATCAAATCGGAAAAAACAAGAGGGTACTTTCTGATGACGTATCCAGAATACCAGTCATTTCGACTCAGATAACCGGCAGCACGATAAACTGAGCATTCGACACGCATAGATGGTCACGGTGGTGACATGGTGAAACTTCATAAGAGAACGATATTTCACTTCAAGCGATAATCCGCTTCTAAGAAAAGGTGACGTACTACTGAGGAGCGCTATGAACGGTGGCACAGGCACCCAATGGTGCTGATGTGAGCCCTACCACTACTGACTCATAATTCAAAACAACGGACCACCATAGGGCACGACCATGTAGCCATGCACTCTCAACCAAGCCCGTGGACACCAGACTACAGTTTGGATGGCGAAGGTAAGAAAGAAGTAGCCACAATAGTTAATTAGTCTTATCTGTCAAACAAACCCAGGAGTGGGCACGAAATCATGCTTCAAAAGATACGTTAAAAGAAACAATTGATAAAGCAAAGTATACATCGAAATACGAAAGAGGAATGAAAGATCAATCCCAGTGCTAACCCCGAAATATCAATAGCTCGTTGACTAAAAGACAGGCAGATGTTTTATCCAATCGCTGAAAACAATAATGATTTGTCAAAGTAACAACAGTCTATCTAAATGGCACGCGTCGATCAGATACACTCCTGAGAGTATTCTTGCATGAGGCAAGGAAATATATCACACGTTCCCACCAAAGCCTCCTACAGGGCTACTGGTCAACAGCTAGTGAGCACCAAATTCGGATTTCTCACACAAGCTGTAGTAACGGTCTGTTTCTTCAGTGTATCTGATCAGGCCAATCACCGACGACAATCATTTCAGCTAAAAAAAGAAGGAAAAAAGATCAGCGTGAAGCTTTTCGTGATGTGCCTCGATTGCATGATGACCTCACGGCAAGAATGTGGCAATCCGACGTGGTGTATACTAAGACAACTTCCAAAGCTATCCATCTGATATGACCATTCAGAAGGATGAAAAACATCGCCAGTTAAGGTTACAGCTTCTTGACACGACTTGTCATCCTCCGGCTTCGCCAACTCTCTGCGTGTTCACTACTTCCAAATATCCGAAAACGATCTAGTCAAGTCAAATATGATACTAAAACTAGCCAGTATCATGAGCATTTCCGTCCTATATGCACTCGGAACTCATGACACAGACGCCCAGGACCTTACAGGCATCTAACGAGACAATAGCAAGTCAAAGCAGGGTAAGCGAAAATCAACACCTCTGTAGTTGATAGGACACAGACTCAAGACAAGTATTACTGCACTCTAGAATTACGCAGTAACAGAGGGAAAATGGATAAAAAGCGGTACACAACTTACACAACTTATATTGTCGTGAAAAAATAATGTGTGTTTGTAATTGGGCAACGACGGAGTTTAAGTACATTAAACCATTCATGCAGGTTACATTTGCAAGTATAATCCCCACAAATGCCAAACATATTCAATTCAAACATTCACAACAGTCCAGAAAAACTGTGAGCAAAGCATGCACAGGTGTGGCTTCTCATGTAGGCTGAAAACAAGACAGTCAAAACCCACTGATGACAGCAGAACGTGCCCGGTTGAGAGTATACTTTACTCAACAAGCTTGTATGCGAAGAGTGAAAAAATGATGTACATTCAATCGGCTGTGCCTAAACTAACACTAATGGATTCTTACTGTATCCGTCAGCCTCTATCTTGATGTTCCTACCAGATAGCTTGATCTCTCGCGTACAAGATCATTCTAGATTAAAAAGAATTGTCGGTTCAAGATTCAGCTCATTGTTTTTACCAAGTGACTGCAGGAATACGGTACTTTTCAGCTATCTACTAAAATTTCGAACTACTACTATCAGGTGACAGCATTCGCAAGCACTTATAAAATGTTCGCAGAGAACACAGATTACTACCTTACTCTTGCATAATCTACCTTTCTTTGATGTGGTGCGCCTGATCAAATTCCGCTCAATGCGTCCACCACTCTACTGCTGTGGTCGTGCGAGGTTAATAGTGTACGAGGACATACCTTCCGAGGCAGAAGAATTAATTACGCCCACTTCCAAGCGTAAATTCAACTCCGAATTCAGATCTCTTTCCCGAGAACGAATGAAGCAAAATTGTAGACCAATCAGAGGAAAACTGCCTCAGCTTCCCAAACAAAGAAAGAGGGTCGAACCTCAGGTTTGAAGCTACTCTGTTCTTTCCCTCGCAGATATCCTGTTTCGGCCCATGCCAAAGTAGAAAACCTTTTGAGTTCTCTGTATCTCGGTGACCTCTATATCTTAGGGATTGCTAGATTTCAAGACAAGGCCGACATGCCCAGAATCTTGAATTTCTTCGAAACGAGTACCTTGGCCCTCAGAAAGAGGCTACTAATCACAAAGTGTACAACATGCAGAATCTCTAGTGAATATCTGACAGAAGATCTTTGGAAATGAACGCTTCGACTACTGTACCCCGTGCCTTCACAGGCGAATCGAGTAGGCTTCCAAATCCTCCCATAGCTCATCTCCATCAAACAGCAGCACATGCCGGCGAGATCCACGACCCAAGGCAAAGAAGAGAAAGATGATGATGGTTCTGAACTACTGACAGGGTTTATCCGTCCATTCGCAAGCCTTAAAAACGAGGCAAACCAGCCTGGCGCGGCAGGCACTCTGCATGGAAAACGGCGTCGACACTAATTTGGTACATAAACGTAAAAATGTGTCACATCCGAAGGTGGCGAGCGGGTCGGTGTTCGGCCACACATTCAAGTTCAATTTTCGTTATCCTTGAATGACATATTGACAGTATGCGCGTGATGCGCTTTGATGGCTGCAGCGTAGCCAGCTACCTGTTTGTATTCGACACCGTGCTTTTCGCACAAGCGAGCAACAATCGGTTGCAGCTTGACGAGATGGCAATGATTGACTGTCGGAAACAAATGGTGTACAACCTGGTAATTCAAACCGCCGCTCATAAGAAAGCAAAATCGACTGGCCACCCCGAAATCTTGTGCCGTGATCACCTGGTGCTTGTACCAATCTTGATCTGCTTCGTGGGCGGTCTCGGGCGTAAGGTGGTTGATCTGCGTGTTCATCATGAACAAAAACGAGAACCAGAGATACGGAATCGTGGCGAAAATGATGCTCCGGGTCCAGGTGTCGAAGACAAAGAAAGGCCAGACGTGGATACCCCCGATCGTAAACACACGTCCTATGACGTGACACAACAACCTCTTTTTGCTGATCACCTTCATGGGAACGGACTCGTTGTAAACATTGTACATCACCATCCAGAGATCTTCCATGGTGGCCAGCCCAAACTCCACGGCCACGGTCCACCAGAATACCAGGAAAGACAAGTTGCGTTGCTTCTCGTGGGCAGGCAGCCACTTGACACTCTTGTGCTCGCGCTTCATCCAGTAGTGGTGGACCAAATCAGGATCTCGGTGAGCTACATTGGGGTAACTGTGATGTCCAATGTTGTGTTGATGGTACCAGACGAATGGACTGGAAAAGTGCGGAAAGAGGTAGGGAACGGTGCAATTTACTCTCCAGTTCTTGTGCAGGGCGAAATGCGCCGCATCGTGGAATGTGTTGACTCCGAATACCCAGACGCCCAGCGGACAGGTGAACAAGGAAATCCAATCGCCGCGGATGAAAGAAACTAAAGTGGCAAAGAAAATCACTCCGAGCACTGCTATTTCGAACCATCGCTCCGGCGGAGCTTTGGTCGCGGCGACGAGAGACACATTTCGGCGCTTGGCCTCGGCTTCGAAATACTCCTTCACGTGAAACTTGAGCGCGTCGCCGAACTCGCTCTTCCAGTTGAATCGGTGCTCGGCGATTCCGTGTTGTTCCTCCAGAGTCTTCAAATGCCGCGAAGACTCTTCATCCAGCTCGTACTTTTGCAGAATGGCGTCGAGAATCTTGCGATGAGTGAACGGATGATGGCTCTCGAACATGACGGTCCCATCCCGCCCCGATGCCAGCCCCAGCGCCACGGGACCGCCCGGATGGATTTTTTCGAAGTCCGTCAAGTCGTACCACTTGTCGTGGATCTTTGTCACCAGCCTGTCTTTGGCTGCAGTCGCCATGGGAGGTCCCGAAAAACAACGAGGACGAGCCGCGCTCTCCTCTCTTCTCCTCTCCTCCCCTCCCCTTCCGCTTCCTCTCACTCTCTCACTTCTCTCTCACCTTCTCTCCGCTGTCTCTCGCTCGACTCCCCTCTCGCGCTCCGTGTTCAACTCGCGAGGCGAGGCGGGCAGAGACGAGGCAATGCAAAGCGCAAAGGCGAGGTAACGAGATTTGCCTGCCGCTCCTCGCTATCCTCTTCGCCCTCCGCTCGCAACCTCTCGGCGATCTATCGAAACAGCAAATCTCAAGCGTCAACGACGACGACAACAACTACTACAACTACGTGACCCGGTCGCTCGCTCTCACTTCTCTGCCCTCTGCTCTGTCCCTCTTCTTCTTCTTCTGCTGCTGCTGCTGCTCCGCCTACTCCTCCAGCTGGTTCTGGTTCGATGTCACACTACTTGGACGCCTCCATAACTCCGGCAGCGCTACTCTCAGCTTACAACTAGTTCTTCAACTAACGCTTGTGCCGAGCTATAGCGATGCTCTGGCTGTCTGTCTGTCTGTCGACGGTGGTGCACCCCAGAAACAAGGCGGAAAATGTGGGGCACATATCAACTAGGCCCGCCCCGCGTCTGGCTGGCCCGGGGCTGGGGCTGGGGCTGGCCGCGGCTGGCTGGCTGGTCTGGTCTGGCCTGGCTGGGAGCGTCGGGGGGAGGGGGAATGGCCGACTTGGAGGGTGCTTGTTCAAAACTAGGCGGCTATGCGCGTTGGGGCTCTATCCGAGGGGAGAGCCTGACGACGAAGACGCTAGCGTACAAACGAGCAAAGGCGGAAGGCAGAGAAGACGAGGAAGGAGACGCACAAGAGAACAGGAAGGGGGGGCTCGCTCGGTGGCTTTAAGCGGGCAGGAGGAGGAGGAGAGTGATGACAAGACGGGGGGAAGGACTGCTGGGCGCGACTGTTTAATAGGAAGGAGGGGGTGGGGCGGGGCGGGTGGGCGCGCAGCTGGAGGTGGACGAAGAAGAAGAAGACGGGATGGGCCGAGGATGCCGAGGATGAAGTGGCTGGGGGAGGGGTAGGGGCTGGGGCAGGGGCAGAGGTGGGCAACAGACCATACTCCTGCTCACAGCGCGCGCGCGATAGCAAATTGTAGTAAAGGGGCTACTGACTGACTGACTCCGCTCGGAAACACGAGAGGGTGAATATTTATAGCGGCCAGATCGACGTATGTCCAAGCCCCGGCCGGGGACGGGAAGCGGCCCAGATTGCTGGCGGGGGGAAGTGGGGGGCTCTGGAGTGGTAGGGGAGCATTGCTGGAGCGGGGCAACACGACCGCCTCGCCGGGCCACTTGGCTGCGTGCGACTCGACGTCGGCGAATCTGGTCACCATTGTCGTGATCATAAAGTCTTTTAAATTAAGAATCTTCCACTCTATACACGTGATCATCAAGGTTTTCTGCCTCGATGTGTTTTACTAGTCAGTCCTTCATCGGCGCCTCGAGCTTCTTCTTCTTCTTTTCTTGCTTCTCTCCTCTTCTCTTCTCGTCGTCGCCTCCCCATTCCTGCCATCTTCCTCTCTATCATCACCAACTGCTGCAGCAGCAGCAGCGGCAGCCCCACCACGGGCCAAAGAATTTCCTTCTCCCTCACACATGCACCGGAATGAATTTCTGCTTATTTTATTGCTATATTTTAAGAAGATATGCTTATTGCATATCTTCTTCCTTGTTAGCAGCTGATGTCGTTCGTGACGACTGGCGTGCAGTTTAGGCGGATGATCCGATCGATTATCCATCTAGCGTCCATGAATATCAAGATGGAAGGAAGATCCTCTGCTGTTGCTTAATCGACTCAAGTTGCTGGGATTGGGTCCGGGGTGTCTGCCTCTCGCCCTCTCGATGGCTGGCTTGGGCCTTGATATCTCGCTCGCTCGCTTGTCCGCCCGCACGGATGACCTAGAGAGGCTGGAAAGCCTAGAGCCTAATGGTGGGGCGCAGAATGGCATCATAGCATAATGGCAGCTCTGCCCTCGTTCAGATAACCCGAGCGGGTATTGCAGCTTTGTTTCTCTCGATGTCGGTTGAAAGCATGTTCCCTCTTCAGTTTGAATGATTCGCCATTGCCGAGCGAGCCTGCGCTCATTATTACCGCAAGGTGGTTCGTTTGCGTCCTAGGACTACGACTAGGTCGACACAATCCTCTTTCGTCTCCACCCACGTAGAGTCAGAGGGTCAGACTCTTTTCTTCCCCTCTTCGCAGCGAAGGTCTCGATCGACGCGGCTATTTCCGCTGCCTCTACGAAGTCCTCTGCCTGCCGGCCTGCCTGCCTGCCTGCTTGCCTGCTTGCCAGCGAGCAAAGCGACACACCAAATAGCTGTCACGCTAGCCTCACTGCTTTGCATACGGCTCGCGTGCTCGCTCGGGAGTGTTTCTCGGTTCTGGGCCATCTGTGTCGAAATTTTCATTGGACTTTTAGGCATTCTACATCGATTAGGTATCGTGACAGATCGGTGCGGAACGGTGGTCATTCGGTTGTGCCAGCAGTTTTCCTTCTCTCTCTCTCTCTCTCTCTCACGTCCGAATCGTGCACAAGCTTGTGTAAATTTTAAAATGTGCTCGACATTGTCAGAAGCGTAATGAAATCGCGGTGCAATGCAGCTGCTGCTGCTTCCGACGGACCGAAGCATCTCGTCAGAGTATGGTTTACTAGTTTGAGATCGGAATGACTTTCTCGGGGAAGAATCAACCTCCGAAAAACGATAGACATTGATTGTTCAGCGAAGCGGGGCATCCACACTCCACACTTCACTGCTACCCACGATTCGTCTCGGACAGAATGTATGGAGTAGGAGCGACGATTCAAACATCGTTATCACAAATGGACTTTCGCGCAAGCCAGAGGCTCAGATGGCGGCATTCGCGCGAGGCTGTGTAAGAATGCACCGCTCTCAAAACGAATCAATCACTGAATCAATCAATCGACATCGTCCTCCCTCGAAACGCTCTTCACCTTCCCTGCGCCATAAATAAAATCAATCAGTATGCACAATCAATCAATGAATCCGGGCTGCCGGTCACCTCGCCGTTTCGAGCAGGAGTACGGTCAATCGGCCGGATGGTGGTAGATGACGAACGACGCCGAGGGATTGTCAAACCAAATCGCTCTCGTCTGTTAAGTCATGGGACGACGATATCATTCGAGATGGTGCGTTGCTACCCGCAGACGAAGGAGAAGGAGGAGGAGGTAACGACCTCGTAATCATAGTGCCTCCTCCGCAGCCCATCATCACTCGCAATTCCTTCCCGACCGAGAGCATGATTTCATGCCACAGTTGAACACACGCGATCGAGTGGTTGAGTCCCGAGAAGAGAGAGAGCGCGGGTCGGCCAAAGAAGCGAAGCGGGGGTTGGGGCTTGGGGCAGAGAAGCCCCATGAACGGGGCTTCAGAGAGAGGGGGGCCCGGCTCGACTGTCGATCGGATACTTCTTGTGCCGGGCAGGCGGCTGTACACGTGGCCGCAAGAAAACATGTGATGACTGGTGGCCCCAGCCGGAGCGCGGGGCAAGGTCAGTTGCCGTTGATGCGGAGGGAGAAGGGGGAGGGGGGAGGGAGTACAGTACAGTACCCCTCCTGAGCCGGAACAAGCGGCGGGCCGGCATTCCGGGCTAGGCAGGCCCGGGCAGACGGTTAAGAACTTTTCCTTAACGGTAGATGACGTGGCAGTCAATGGGACCCCACGCAGACGGGTGGGAGGCCACGTCAGGAAAATATCAAGGCGTCGGGTGACGCCGATAGCACGCTATGTAAAGGCTTTCATGTTGCCACGGCCCCCGCTGCTCGCTCGCTAGCCCCGCCCGCTGCCTCCCTGCCTGCCTGCCCCCGGACGCGGCTATTTGCCGGATTACCCCCCGCGTGTCAAACCTCGACGCCATCGCATGCTTTTCCCGAGCGCAGTTTTGCCCCTTTGCGCTAAACCTCTACGTTGGAAACACGATGTCGTCGTCGTCGTCGAGTGGGCCTCGGCTGGAGAGATAGTTCCCGCCGGAACATTTGTGGGCGCCAGTCAAACCCTCCCTCGGATGGCATCGGCAATCATGATACAGCGCAGGCAAAAGATCGGCTCCTCATTCCCGAACGACTCTCGGAGCCTCAACTTCGACACCTCCGTATTGATTTCGCCTCCTTGCAGTCTTGCATGTTGCATCCAGCTCCTCCATTAGCCCAGCCAGTCACTTTTTCCCAACACAAATTCTCTCTCGCCCAAAATTACCCCCCACGGAACCAACCGACCGACCGACTGACTTTTCTTGTCCTCCTCCTCCTTTCCCAGAGCCAATCGATGCGAGCTACAGCTCTCGAGAAAACCCATATGATTACAAATTATAATTGCGCTCTGAAATTCCTCTCCCTCCGTCTCAAAATATACTCCCTGTGTGCCATCGTGGGCCTCTTCTCGTGGTTGTTATGAGTATATCCTTGAATAAAGCGAGTGCAGTCAGATGAGATTCTACCTCACACCTTCTTCACCATCCCGTACCCAACCTCTTCCCTACGATGACATGATTTTAATTCGACCTCGAGGTTACACTACTCCCAAACTTCTCCCAAAGCCATCTCCCATTGCTACCATAGCAATAACACCTTTCCCACTTCTCCATGAACTCGTCAAAATATGATCACGGTGTGCATGGATGGATCTGTAAGAATTCATTTCGGAAGGCAAGACAGTATTGAATGAATTTATGTTAATATATAGTGAGTAATGATTCGAAACACTGTATGCCATTGGACATGGTAACCTTATGAGTCGAATACAAGGGAACCGAAATCGTACTGACATAATAATGCTTAAGGTCCACAACGAACGAATCGCGTCACAAGCGATACTGTATTAAGAGATTCGGGCGATTTCTTAGTGAAGGAAGGGCTTACCGTATGTCGGAACATCGGCCATAGCCAGATCCGTACGGATGTCTTAAGCATCTCCCACGTTGTCGGAGTTTAAGGTAACCACATACACATTCAGCAGCTGCTGCTCAAGACTTTTTCGTCGTATGCCTCAATGCGGTCGATGTCCTCGTTGTCCAACTTGTAAATAAATATTGAAGTCTTATCGGTAATAGTTATCTGGACCCGGTCTGATGTGGACACATTTATTTTCACATTTGTAAATGGAGAATTCTACTGTACCTCGAGGGCTGGATAGTTGGAAATTGATTCAGCTCTCTAAGATTCTGGTTTGATTTGTAGTTTCCAAATTGCTCCAGAAGAGTAGCAGAAAGGGTCTTCTTCTGTCTAGAGAAGACAAGTTAGTGAAGCAGTAAAGCTTTCAACCTTATTCCATGGATCCATAGAGAATGTACCCATTTATATAGCTCCCCATTAAAGTTTCACTACTGACTTGGATATCACATTCTCCTTAGTAGTAGACTCAATGACTTCCTCTCTACATGTTTGAGATAAAACATCCATAGATTTAGAATCTAATCTACGTTGCAGTTATCAGGGTAAAATCCCCAGAATCGAGAGAACAATTAATCAAGTGACACCAACAGTGAGATGAGAGTCACTTCAATAATCACTTTCATATTCATCATATTTTTAATTTCCAATACATTACAGATAAAAGAAATTCTCATATTCATTTTAAGAACAGCTCTATTTTCATATTTTTCTTCTTTGACTTTGGCACTTAAGATAGTGTGTTATAATAAAGAAATCTGGAAAAAATTCATGATTAAATTTTTAATTAAATTTTCTGATATCTGGATTCACCCGTATTACCTTTCAACACCCACATATTCATACGCTTTGAGACTGTTGGTCAATTTCAGAAGTGGTTTTGAATTCCAAATTCTTGATTCTGGAATCAAATACTCATATTGAACAAAAAGAATCTCATATGAAATCCCACAAACTTTAATTTGCTCTCATTAAGTAACATAGTTTCCGTATCTTGTTTGGCAGGAATCATGTATAGTGTTCGATGATCACCGTGAATTGAAACACACAATCCTTGATGACAAACTTCGTCTAGCCTTCGATCCCAAAATTCGTATGGCACTCAAAAGCATGTGAAGTACAATCGAGAAAATCATTTTGCTAGTGAAATTAGCTTCTTTTGTGGATTGGAATAAAACTCATATACGGGCAGCTTCTGGAGAGTCTAAGCAACAGTGGTTGTCCTTCCGTTTAGATCGTATCGAATGTACGATACTGCTATGGAAGGCAAAGTAAAATTGGCCTAAATGGAAGGTAAGGTCGATAGCCGCATGTAGTGCATAAAAATCATATGAAAACAAAGAAGCTTATTTTGGAAGTGAATGTTTCTTACCACCTTTCATAAAACTCCTTAGTTTGCTGGAAAAAAACAGATCGTATCCGCAATCTCGGTAGTCGTAGAGTTTTTCTCCATCGTCAGGATGTATATCTATCGTTGTGCATACTATATATTCCGTGGTCAAGGTCAAGGTTTTGTGTAAACTCACAAAAGACCGAAACTTCCAAGTCAAGCGCAACAGTGACTAACGAAATGGACAGTTTTTTTTAAATACATCTGCACACACACATATATATATATATATATATATATATTATGGCATGAAGAATATCGTGAATCATGATTTTTCACACTGTAAGAAAATTCACGTGTTCTTCCATGGGATGCTTGAACTGCATTCGAGAATATACATCTCTTTGGCTTTCATCCATATTCTTCTGGAAGTTCTGCTGAGGTATTGCAGAATCAGGTATGCCAAATTGTGTTTGCAACTTTATGTCTTTGAAGATGGTATCTGGATATACCAGGTAAGTGAATTGATTTCCAAAAGTTGCATAGACGTACATTCCCGATCTCAAAAATTCGTTTGAATGTTGATGGCTGCCGTTAGTCCCAACGAGATAAAAAGCGACATTGTTGGCAACTTTTGATGTTGCGACCTGCCTAGATTCCGGTGTGAGGTTCCCGGAAGGCATGTTGACTCCAGACCAATTCAACGAAGTAAATGCCCCACTTTCCACATTCAGTCCCTTTTGCAAAGTCAACATTTTCTTGATATTGACGAGTGCATGAAGCAGGAACTCAATGCTCCAGGTTTTAGTTCATACCTGCACTTACGAGTAATAATTGACCTCTCACTCGTTGATCGGCCTGTCTTAGCAGAAAAGAATTCCCAGCGTATGTCCACGGGTATCCAATGAGTAACCGCGGAGTTCACTCACTCACCCATCCATCCATCCATCAATCCATCATCTTCTAACACGTCGAAAATGTGAACTGCCAGACGAATGCGCTAATGCTGCTCGATAATCCCCCCACACGCTCATCGTTTAAAGAAGAAGAATTCTCCGAAGTATACGACCATCGACCCCATTCGGAAACACAACAGGAGCAGACAAGAACATCGAACAGCGATGTACAATGCAGAAACATTGGTTCGAATGACCAGAGCTGAGCTTCGATCATCGGCACCAGGGCTGGCCAAATAAGCGGCCAGACATTTGTGTTCGGAGCTTCACATGAAAGACGAGGCGTAGCCCTGTAAACATCGAAGATGACGGTGGGCGTGGCAGCCCAATTTAGAAGGCCAGGTTTGAAAATTCAAATGTGGAGCTAGTTTCGGACGCAGTAACATGGTTCGGCACAGAACACCATGTCGTGGACAGTGTAGCACCAGAATGCGGTACAGGATGGGGGTTGGGGTTGGGGGTGGGGCTGGGGGTGGGGTAACGAGAAGTCGCAGACAGAGTGCAGCGGCAGGCTGGCTACAGGAAGGCGAGGCCGCAGGGGCAGAAACAGGCCCGCCAGCCGGTCGCGCCGGCGGGCAAGCGATGCATGGGCCAAGTTTAGCAGGGCCGAGAAACTGGCGGGAGTGTGTCCGGAAGCCGGACGTGCAGAGCCAGCGGTGCCCGCTCCCATGCCAGCAGCGTGGTTAGCACACGCCTACGTGGTTCGTGTGGAGTCGAGGTGGAGCGAACTCTGTGTGGTAAGGGGCTGGGCGGGCAGGATGCACGGGCCGAGCGGGGCAGGGGCAGGGGCACCGGTAGCGGTAGGTTTGCCCCCATGCCATTCTTATTCTCGACCGTGACAAATATCCTCCGATCATCGCGTCCCTCGACTCGGTTCCACGTCGCGCCACCACGAGACCGTGCGCAAAACACTAACGTTCCTCCTGCACGCGCCTACCAGTCTCCCTTCGCTTCCTCGACAAACATTTCGCTAACTTTTCGCTTCACTCACCCTCACCACCCCCGAACACTATTGGCCCCGCAACTCTAGACGCCCTCCAAACGACGCCAACAACTCTACCGCGCTCGGGACCCGGGAAATAGCTCCCTTCGCGAAATTTTCGCCCAGGCCGGTCTCCCCGCCCGCAGCGAAAAGGTTCCTCCCTCCTAGCGAATAATTCCAACCCCCAGACCACCGGCAGCGGGTGGCAATTGGCACCATTCTCTGCCGGAAGCCCAGCCCCTGCCCTAACCCAGCCCAAGCCCCTACTAGCCCCGACCCCACCCCAACCCGTGGGAGGGTAGTGGCAGGTCATGGCATCGAGCCCACTTCTGGCTCCTCCCTGTGTGGTGGACAGTCGGGATTTCACCGCTCAACGACTATTAAGCATTCCTGTTCCGAACGAATGGAGTGAGCGGGGCTCGGGGCAAATCGGTGCGATTTGGGGCCGAAGACCCACCACGTCTCGGCGTCGCCAGTGAGCAGACGACGACGACCACGCCAAAAAGGCTCGTGCCATGGAATAGATCGAGATCAGATAGATAGGTACGGCAGATATTTTACTCGTCGCTCCGTGAATTAGGGTCTTGGCCGAGGATCAGCAGCCCCCAGCATCTTGGCGCTGGAGCTTATTTTGTCAGAGCCCCCTTACGACGTCGAAGCTGCTCGCTGCTCGCTGCTCTCTGATGAGGGGGCTCCTGATCGGCAAGCCCCGGACTCACCAGCCCCGTCGTGCCACGCTGGCTGCCTCGCTGGCTGGCTCTCTGTCTGTCTGTCAGTCAGCCAGCCTAACCGCACCGGCTGCGACTCGACCTCTGGTCACCCCAGCGGCGGTCAAGTTAACACGGGTCCAGAGCTTCGGCGCTTCTTCGCTTCACGACAATATTGCGCTACTGGATGCATGAACGTCTCTACTGCGTGCCATAGTCGTACAGTATCGCAGCTTATACTGGAAAGATATTCGTTCTACTTCTTTCCTTCCTTCATTCGCAGGGCAAGTCCTTGGGACGACGGTGAAAAGATGTTTCTTTTGCTTCTTTCCTTCGGTCGCAGGGCAAGTCTTGGGACGACGGTGAAAAGATGTTTCTTTTGCTTCTTTCCTTCGGTCGCAGTGCAAGTCTTGGGACGACGATGTTGCCTTCCATTCTCTTTCCCTTTCCGAGCGTCACGCGTTATCCGAATCTTCTCCCGTAGGACCAGAAGACTTTCATTTTGCGAAAACAGAAGAATGCCGTGGCAACCTTTTGCTTTCTCGCTCTCGCGATCGCGATCCTTTCCGGGCTTGTGAGCGAGTCTTCGGTGCTGCCCGATGCATGCATGAGCGACGAGACGACGGAAAAGAAAGAACGTGACGATGACTTCTCCTGAGCCAGAACACGACCTCGAATCGCGAAAAGGTTTCGCTTTCGATATTTAATAGAAGTCCTTCGAAGTCGGGGCGAAGGTTTAAAAAGACTTCCGGTGCGCGAACTTCGGGGTTCCATCAGATAAACGTTCGCAATGATGGAATGACGATCGCTCTTGAAAGTCCCTCTGTTGACGGGAGGCGAGGAAACTCGCCGGCTCGGATTTACTTCCCGTTGAAAAGGGGAAAACCCGACAACGACCGAGCTCGACGCGGGGCGCGATCTTGATCAGGAAGCAAAGAAACAGAAGGCATGGGAATCTGCCACTGAGCGCCACGCCGGCACTCAGTGCGAGAGGTGGGCTGGCTGGTGGTTTCAACGAAATCATTCATTTATCCCGGCCAGGATTTATTTCATGTCCAAGGCAGAAGGTGCAGACGGGGTGCTGCATGTCCTGAGTCTGGTCAAGATTTCTTGGTCGTCGAACGCTGAAATGGCATGCAAGCGAGCGCGAAGTGTGAATCGGTGAAGTGAGTGAGACACCCTCTCTCTCCGTACTCTGCCTGCCATTTGCAACTTTAGGTCGGACGAACCACGCAAGGCACGGATTTCTTTCTACATATGTCCAGGGAATGTGTGGCGTCATGAATAGAATAGTGGCTCATCTCCCCTTTTCAAAAATATCTCTTCTGTCTCCACACTTTCTCTACTAATTCTGGCCCGAAACCCATCCCTCCCTGTCTCACTTCCACCCTCACACATTCTCAGCATCTTCTGCAATGCCCAAGTCATACTTCTTGTACTCTTGCATGACATGAAACGAGCGACAACAGCGCTTCCTAAGAACGGAAGTTAGGTTTTGCTTTGTCAAGGTTCACTAGTCAACCTGACTGACCGTCACATTTCAAGAGTACTAACTCTGATGGTTTAATACTTCGAACCAATTATGTTTGTTGCAAGCCATATGTGCGACCTAGATACCAGGAGATTTGCACATGTTTGGTGTGGAGTACATAGACGCCGACATTCAACTTCATTGCACCTTGATCTCTAGACACGTTCTGATGGGGGTGAGATATAGATTGCAGGACATGAAAGCTTTTAAAATTTAACAAACTTAGTTTTCAACTTCACATTTTGCTTCATTATTTTTCTTTAATTCGACAGTGAGTGTTTTACCGAGTACTATTGTCTGCAAAATATAAATTTTATATACTTGATTTAAATGTCATGTTCTTCCATTGAGATGTACCGACAAGAATTTAGGGTATTACCAAATTTAATATCTTACCTAACCAATCCTCTCCAATGAATATCTAATGCTACTGTGAACTGTTTAAAATCATCCTTGAATTTTCTTTTGTTTTAGGTATGACTGCATGATTGTGTTTCCAATATTATTAATCACAATAATGCTGATTAAGAGATGTTTTACTCTAAAACTCCTCATAAAATCCAAATTTAAACGTCATACATTATTAAAGATAAAAATATTTTTTTGTGCATTAATAAACTTATTATGTAAAATTCAACAAATGAATGCTGGTAGCATAATAATGTATTTTTTTTAAGATTGAGCTATTGACCATTTCTTGATTTGTGCGTGTCATCACAGGGGCCATGCTAATCTTCTATCTACGGTTCCAATTATATCAGATGTACCCGAATGGACAGCTATGACTTTGAAAATATTTTTTAATATTTTTCTGGCTTCATTTGATATTTATAAAAAATCCAAAAAATAGTTCTACCAATCATAAAAGCTTTACTCAATTCATGACTTAAAAAAATTGCTTAAAATTCAAAAAATCTTTAAAAAACTCACTTTTTTGTAATGAATCTGATCAGTGTTATTTTATTCAAGTCATAGAAAACTTTGAAAAAAGAATTTTTTTTATATTATTTTATATACGAAATAATTTTAAACTTATTTTCACTATTTTTCTGATTCATAATTTTTTTAAAAATAATTTAAAAATTCTTTAATAATGTTTAAAATAATATTTTTTTGCATGTCATTACATGGAGTTGAAATATATTATTGTTATAGCATTTAATATTATAATTTAAAATGTAAAGTAAGATTTCATGAATATCACAGTGATCAAAAATTAAAATTTAAACACATAATTTAAGAAATATGTACATTTTTTCATAATTCATAGTATTTAAAATAATAATAATAATAAAATTTAATAAATTTCATTATTTTTTAATTTACATTAAATAATAATGAAAAATATTTATTTGATTTTATCTCTTACTTTCATTTTTATTTAATTTCACAGATTCATAAAGGGTTAATTTTGATTTATGTGTTTATTACAGTAATTATCTCACTTATATTTGAAGAAAAACCAAAATCATATAAATCCAAAAATCAAATTCATATATGTACGTATGATTTTGTCTTCAAATAACATCCGATTCCAATAAGTTTAATTTTAGGATTTGCAAAAATTTTACACTATTTTTTTATTACATGTTTTGTCTATTTTTCCACTTTTTTTGCAATCAATAAACGTAGACTTAAAAACTAGTTTCAATATTAACTATCATATCTATGAGTATGTGTAAATGTAAAATTTTTATTTTCTCAAGAATGTTATTAAGAAAATGTATTAAATTGATACAATTTTTCTTCTCTGAAAAAATAATTACATAACTTTCTATGTTTACAATATTTTCTTTGATTATTTTTCTTTATTCGGCTGCTCATCATGAGATCTAATTAGAGCCTCTGTCAGATTAACTTGATTTCAATAAAATAAATCGGAAGCTAAATATAATTTTTGTATACAATTTATGAAATGTATAGTGTTTAGATTTCATGATGGACATCTCAATACTACATCAAGGACTCCAAGCAATCCCATTGCTATAATGATGTAATGTTTTCATTTTTATGTTTCGGATTTAGGCTACTTGATTCAAAGTATATGAAATGTACATGATAGAAAGGATATTACTATCACTTTGAGCAAACAATGATTAATGTATTTAATGTTCATCATAAATGTGTTAGATGTATGTTGATATATGTTACTAGAGTTTATATCTTCAAGGTGATGAATGAATATTTTAGAAGAAAAAATCATGTAAATGTTATCGGAGCCATGGATAAAATAATTATTCATTGAGGTCTGATCTTCATACTCAAAGTTTAGCCAAAGCTATTCATGAACAAAAGCATAGATTTTGAGGTGGCAGTGCCATAAAATCAATTCCTTGTCAAGTGGTAGGGTAGGGAAGACTATGACTAGAACAAGTATTTAAAACACAGAATAATGTTTGTAATATAAATACGGTGTCATTACCAGGATATATCTACACTTGTAACTTAGACGTTTATTAAGTACGAGAGTTTCGAAAAGAGTATAAAAAATGCATTTATTGACTTTTTATTCTCGATAAACTCACATTTTGGCTGTTAAATGTGATTAGTACTTGTATGACAGTCACTGTAAGGAGGGCATAGTAATACGAAATAAACCATTCACTTCAGATGTTTACAGTCGGTGTGTGATTCTAACGACAGGTGATGACAACGAGGTTTCACTGTACTTCCATCCGATTCACATATTGGAATTGTAGACGAGTCCGCAGCATTGCTGTAGGAATTTTCGCTGGAGCTTTCAGGAGTTAATCGTGTTACGAGACTTTCAAGGCCAGACCAGAACCCTGATTCAAATGGAGCCAAGACTTGCTGGAGTCCGAGTCCAGAACACTGGACTTGGATCTACTGTCGATGCTTGACTGGACAACTGGTATCCACTAACTCTTATTTCGCTTGTAAGGGAGCAGAATCCTCGGATAGGGAAGGCTCACATTCCTCGTGTGCAATGTGTAAGCATTGTAACGTGTGATTGAGCAACCTTCAGCCAAAAATATGAGACATGCAAGAAGGCTTTTTTTGAGCGTCTTCAGGCTTTCTGGAGGATGGCGTTAAACTCAAGGATATACATCATGAATCAATGGACACTTTGAAGGCAGGATGTCAGAGCCGATTTCAGTCTGCGAGCTGCTAGTTTCCAGATTCATCTTTCTTGCCAACACTCTGGATACGTGGGAAGTGGGCTGTGGGCACCTCAGTTCGGTACATCTAGCTCGCTTTTGCAGCTTAGTTTTCGTTCGTTTTCCGCAGATATATAATATGAAATGTGCAGTTTCTGATTCTGTTGGCGACAGAGCTTCATGGTTTCGACCACCTAATGAGTGCCTTAGACTCCAGGTGGAAGCAGACGCAAACCCAAGAAACAATGAGTCTGGCAATGGGTGCATGAGAGTAATGAATGACACGCATATGGTGTCATAATGATCGTGGACAAGAAAGGGAATTTTCGTAAAAGCCTTATTCTGATTTCACACCAGAAGAAAGGAAGCCAGAATCTAGGAGTTCACTTGAATTCTCAGTAGTATACTACTACTACTACACGAGAGACGTACAGTAGAAGAATTGATGAGCACTGGAAACAGAAAGATGACAATCATGACCATGACGAATATAGAAGCTTCCGAAAGAGCTTGCTCGATTAAAAGGTCCATTTCTTCCCGGGCATTATGAGCTTTGACCAGCGAGTTATAGAGTGAGATTAGATGTGAAAGTTCCAGCTGCACTTCATTGCATTGAGGTGCGTCTCCAGACCTCTGGAACGAGACTTCTTGGACCTTCTCGTACGTGACTCTCACGACCCGCCGAATTCGCCAGAAGCAAGGAGATGAGATCAGTGACATGCTCTTATGCACACGAGAGATAATGATAAAATTCATCCGAAGCTCGTTTGGAAGAAGCCCAGCTGAAAGGAAAACCACCGAGATCGAGATTTGATGGCCGGAGGGTACCTCAGGCGATGGGGTGGCACTGATATGACACGCAGTCAATGTACGAATGAAGGAAGTCCAGAGAGAGTTGTGCTGCTGATAGATGGAGATCAATCAGGAGGAAGAGATCGAGATGTGACGGCCAGGGAAGCCCAGCAGCGTAACGGCAGATCGTCTCGGGTCCGCATCCTTAAGAGGTTCGGATCCACCGAGGATGAATGTCTGAATGTCTGAATGAGCGCGCCAAGGATTGATTGCTCTGTCGCTGCCACTTTCGGCGACGAATGGTGTGACAATGGCAGTATGGAAGGTCGTAATAGATGTCACAAGGAGAGGCGTTAGTTTGGTACTGACGACTGCCTCGTGCCAAAGTTTCCGCATCGTAAACGAGCTTCACGAATTCTGAGCGTTTGTCGAAAAAAAAGTAGAAGAGGGAGGGACAAAATGAAAGAGAGAGAACCAGCACCGGCAGTCGACATTGACTCGTATTGAGACGGTTACGAAGGCAGAGAAAGGGATTCATGAGTGCAGCAAAGCCAGCACACTCATGCCATGGGATCGTTGAGGGCAGCAAATAGTGGTGACACAAGAAGAAAGAGATCGTTGGGGGAGGGCGTGAAACAGCAGCCAGGGGCTGGCAGGGACAGACACGTACAGAATTTTTATTGGGAGGGCGGATCTGTGCGAAAGGACGCATATTTTGATATGAATGTCCAGGCAGGCGGGCAGGAGGGCAGGCAGACGCACGACGTGTTGCATTTCAGCAGATTGGATGAATGGATCAGAATCCATGAGAGAAAGGAGGACGGACGCTTTGAATGTCGACGATGAATGTGAGGCAGGAGTAGGTGGTGGTCCGCCCGCCCGCATTCATGCTTGTCTTTGTCTGGCTCTCGATCCCATAAACTCCTGGGACACGAACGTTTCGTATGACATTTAATGAGCCATAAAAAAGGCAGTGGCGCAGATCGGGATGCCCTGAATCAACATTAGGCATCATCTTGCACCTTCATGCGTCGTCTGGTTCACCTCGATACAATCGAAACCAGGGCGGTGTAATTGATTTCTCCACGCACGTCCGTGATCACAAGTCCCTGGCCTTGTGATCACGAACATGGCCCCGGCATTCGAAAACAACGTTGACTCACCGAGGGATTCCGGAATGATCCTTGAGCCGGGAGCTCGTATCTGTACACTGTAACATCGCACGGGAACTCCGATTGAGCCGCGAGCGGATCACAACATACCCATTCCCTCTGCTACGGACTCTTACCGTTTTCTGCCGCCGCGTTTCTCCATCATGGACGGGACGCAGTGCTCTGACATAAGAAATTCCCCTCGTAGAATCCACGGAAAGAAAACCGAGTCAGTGCGAGTTGAAGGCAAATTCTCGCTTTACACTTTTCTACTATACAAGTTCCCACAACACGTGAGTGTCATGAGCTCCTCGCGACGTTCAGCTGAGGACATGCTGCGAATACCACGAAGAGTCTTGGGACACACTTCACACCTCGGATTTCGTTCAATCGCACGGTAAGTGGTGTGTTTTTCGACCTGTCCTTAGTTGGTAATTCAACTGCGACCTCAAAAAATAACCGGTGCCGCTCTCCGAAGGACGATATGATTATTAGTCTCGTCTGCCAGCATCGTATCCTCGTTTTGGGTGCGTATGTCTACCTCGTGCCTTCGGCAACAGTATCGGAGGTTATTCTCGAGATGTCAGGCACATTCGTTGGACTCCAGGGCTCAATCTAGTGTGAAGCATTGAGGACGAGGTGAATCACTTTCACCTCGTGTCGATAAACAGCGGAGGCACGTTTACTGATTACATATTGCAGTTTGAGTGGTAGGAAGTCCACCCGCTTCCTCGTCAGCTTTACATACCTCCTTCCATGTGATAAACAAGGGATGCAGAATTCAACGACCTCAAAAAAACGAACAACACGGCACCTCTTTCACCCCAAAATTACTGGGCATTATGTAGAGTTCACACGTGTGCAACTCATTCAATACAAGAGTAGCTTGCACTTCATTCCACACAATGGGTGAATTCTGAGACGGAGTCGGTTTCAAACAAGACCATCTGCAACGAAAAAGAGTACAAGGGCCTATGCATTTGAACCGTGGATATGCACAGCAGCCTCTAATTTCGGCGAAGCTGGTTTTTAGCTGTGGGCTGTAATTAACACGTGATCCATTCATTAGAGCTCGAGGCTCGGCCGGTAATAATTCCAGCTTGGATGAAAATGTTTTACCTCTGTTGTTCAGAAAGGTGACACATATGGCCACAGTAACATCAAAGAACCACAGCACACCCGATATTCCCAACGTCAAGAAAAGCCTCACATTGATGAAGTCATGAGGGCTTACATTGACAGGCCCCGCAACAAACACGCTCTTCGCACTTCTGCAAAATTGAGCTGAACTATCAAAACCAGATTTATTGCTCACCCAACGAATCAAGAATTTGATGCCAAACTCGATGAACACTCAAAACCTTAGAAGGCCTTCCTCTCTCTAACCCTCCCTTTCTCTCGGCTCACCTCTCTATCTCTCTCCGTATATGACCTCTCCTTCACCACAACAACCCTTCGAAAGAACCAATCACTGAGGATGTCGATTTGATCAAAAGACAGGACACCCTAACCTACCTTCTCACGATCACCACTTGAACAACCCTTCCTTGGAGAATGCCGTTTGATTCAGCGGCCGAACAACCTACAATTCCTACTCTGCCTCCTCACACTTGAGCCGTAACGCTGCTACGAAAATAAACAATGTTACCTCCTCTCAACCTCTCGAAGTGGTCATTTTCCAGACATTTCTCATTTCCCCCGTTTAGCACCTGTTCTTTTAGCCTTAAAAATTTTCCTTGTGGGCCTATTGTCCCCTCCTGACGAACCAAGGGTAAAAGAGCCTCCGGCAAAGTTCAATGGACCTGCAGGAGATTGTGCTGCAGCGGCAGCAGCAGCAAATGGATTCGCTGCGAAACCACCAGCTGCATTCGGTTGACTAGGAAACCCGAACAGAGCTGGTGGGGCAGGTGGAGTTCCGGTTTGAGCCCCGAACACGAAGGAACTAGCACCAGCAGCCGACTGACCACCGAACGGCGATGACGGTTGAGAAGGCATACTGGCAGCAATTTGAGGAGGCTCTTCTGCCATACTGTCCTCCATATTCGAGTGATCGTTTACAACCACATCACTGGCCATCGATCCGTTAGTAGTCGAGCCGAAAGCTGAAACGGAGCTTGATAGCCCAAATATTGAGGGCGCTGGGGACGACGACGGAGTTTTGTTGGCCGCGAAAGGGAAAGACGATGTGGAACCAAATGGAAATGCGGATCCGGAAGCTGAACTGGCGGCGCTTGCAGCAAAAGATACTGGAAAAGCTTGGGAAGAACTGCCTCCAAAGGAATATGTAGGAGTGGATGCCGGCGACTGAGTAGGTGCAGCTGAAAATCCAGACCCGAACACTGGGATAGAAGGTGACTGTGATGATGCTTCTGAACCAAAGGACCCAAACGCTGGTTTGGGTGTCGTTGAGCCGAACGCAGGAGCGCTCGATGCAGCACCAAATGACATGGGGGTAGCTGCTGGAGTTACACCAAACGTACTGCCACTCGTGGATGATCCAAATACGGAACCTGTAAATGATGGGAAAGATGGAGTGCTATTGAAGCCTGGTGCTGATGAGGAGGGTGTTAGAGCAGCTGTTGTGGATGGGGGTGTTCCAAACAGAAATGGAGGCGGAGAGGGAGAAGGAGAGGGGGAAAGCGTAGTAGACATCGATGCCGCGGATGACTGTGATTCACGGGGAGGTTGTCCAAATGTGGAGGCAGTGAATAGATTCTGAGAACTAGCTGCACTAGTGCTAGCTGCTGCAAACGTCAGAGGGATTGCTGTCGATGCAGTAGTGCTTACGACACTACTACCAAAAGCTGCAAAGCTACTGGAAGGGGTAGCGACCACTGAGGGTTGTCTTTTGCTTGAGTCCTGCTCAATGGTGGGAGCGGATCTTTTATGGGGTCTCTCTACATCCAAAGAAGGGGCGCCATTGCTTTTCGATACAACTGCCGGTGCTTCAGGAGCTACATTCAATGCTGGTTTTGGAGCAGGACTTTCGAAAGAGGAAATGTTCGATTGTCCAAATGCAGCACTACCAGCTGCAGGAGAAGAAGATGTTGCGGGTCCACTGCTGATCCCTAAAAAGCTCGATGAAAGAGCAGTCCCAGAAGAACTGCTAGCAGCAGCCGGTCCAGCTCCAAACAGATAGGTACTCGCAGTCGGGGTAAACGTGAAAGGAGCACTCCCCTCTTTGAGGGAAGCCACAAAGCCAGATGTTGATGGAGACGAATCTGCAGAGGCGATGTTCATATCAGACCTAAAGTTCTGGACTGAATTAATAATATAAAGACTTTTTCCGATCCAAACCCCTCACGTGCCTTCACTAACTAAGTTAAACCACTTCGGCCGATGGTCATGAGGTAAACAGATGGTGCTTCGGATGAAAAACTCACCGGATTTCAAAGTACTAGCAGCAGACGCAGAGGAGGCGAGAGCGGAGGATGTCGCGGCTCCAGAATTAGGAGTAGATGACGTAGAGAGCAGTGTGGATGAAGATGAACCTCCGAACAGTGGATTCCTTTGCGTGAAAGGATTGGGCACCGTTGTCTCCGTCGTTGGTTGAGATATTGAAAATGGCTGAGGGAAAGGCACACTTGCAGTAATTGAAGACCTGACAAAAAATAGACTAACTATCAGCGCGTTTACATAATACCTCCGAGCCAAGGCTTGCAAGAATGTAAAACACGAAAAAATCATTCGTTTTGAAAAGACTTACGGTAAGTACTTACCCAAATGTGACGTCGGACTTGGTTTCAGTCTGAGTGTCTACTTTGACAGCAGCACTAGTTTGCTCAACCCTTGAATTTGATGTCGCCAATCCAGAAGATCCTTGTAAATTTGAAGCAAACGGAAAAAAAGGAGATGCTGCAGGTACCGCTTTGGGGGAAGTAGAAGCGGGTGACATTGCCTTCGGAGTGGGAGGTCCCTCCAATGACACGCGGGTAGGAAAAGTGAAGCTGGACGCCATCTGGGTAGGGGGCGTTGTCTTTGATGCCTCAACGGCTGAGGCAGCTCCTGTCGAGTCGGCAGCGACACTGGCATCGGTGGAAGATTTTGGAATCGCGCTGCTAGTCGAGAAGGGAGCTGCAATGGGCACGCTTTTGCCACTTGCACTTGCCGTTTTGCCATTTGAACCTGCTAGGCTAGGCACTGAAAAACTGACTGGTCTAGAGCCACTACCAGCGAGTGTTCCTTCGTCTTCAGAACCAGACTCCTGCACGTCGATTTCAGAGAGTGATATAAGAAACATCAATTTCGTTTAGGCCCGTACGAAAAGCTCCTAAATCTAACGTACTCGTTCTTTGATACCTACAATGTGCAACATCTACACGCGTCGTGTGGATGGACTACAGGTTTCCGACTTTGTTTGAACGTACGAAACAAACAGGCTTGAAAAAAAGAAGATCACAGCAGGCTATAACCAATAAATACACTTACTTCAAAAGCCGCGCTCATTCGGAAGCCCTTCCCCTTGTCACTTTTAGAGGCAAGAACGGCTTCTGACTCCTTCGTTCTAACAGAAACTTCTTCAAGAAGTCCGGCGGCAGTGTTCTTACGCTCCTGTATAGACTGGATTCCGCTTGGCCCATTCTCCGGGAGAGACAAAGAAGACTTGCCTTTTCCCTTCGGTTTAGCTGGAATTTCTGAGGACTTCGATCCACTACCAAACTGACCTAAGCTTGGAGAATCGTAATTTAGGGTTCTTCCTGAAGGTCCAGGTTCTCGGGAGTCACCACTTGGAAGAGTGAAATCTACTACTGTCATGCTCTTTCGAGCCTGCTCGTTCAACATACTCTCAGTTAAGGTGGTGGGAGGCCTATCCCTCACAAAAGACAACTCTTCTTCCAATGATTTACCCTTGGGAGATGGGGTCATCTTCTCAAGAGTCTCCAAAATTTTTCGGGCTGTTTCACTTGACTGAGCAGGCACGTACGATATTGCACTCACACCCAGTCCAGATTTCTCTTGGACGGCAGTTGAAACAACACTTCTTTGAGAAGTAGGAAGTGCAGCAGACTTTCCCAGCTGAGGCGATGGTATACCCATAATTGCAGATCCACTTGTAGAGGTTATCTGGTAAGCGGATCCTCGAGTGCTGATCGGCGCAGGTGAAATGAACGCCTTCTGTCTCGTTCTGCGTATAGGGCCAACAGAAGCATAGCTGTCATCCAGTGCGGTACTCCTCCGCTTAAGCATCTGCGTCAAAAACATCAATTTACCAAAATAAGACGGAATCGCCAATAAGTGCCGAAGCCTAAATCCAGGCAGTCGCGGTTTTTTACTCTTCAAGACTACACTCTACTTCGAAGTTCCTTTTGCGACTGGAACTTCAGCTCTAACGATTCCTTATTCATCTACCTAAACAACTGGCGAGGTGAGGTACAAATACTCGAATCACTGAGAACCCACTTTTGAGAGAACACTGCTTCATAATTTCATCAGCTAATCCTTCTGTACACGGTACCTCTTAATCTAACCAAGGTTACCTCCAGGCACGATGCTTGCGGATAGAGACCCAGAAACTGACACAACCTTACTTGAAATGGCACAAAGACCGTACGTCACTGACTGCTTCAAATGAATAAGACGAAACAAGCCTCTTTGGCCTTAGGCAAGATGCTTTTGACATAGATATATATGAAAAAGTTAATCCTAAGAAGAGGCCGCAGAGAGGCCTCCGTCATAAAATAGATGGCATTGAGCTACAAGGTCTGCAAGAAAAGATCTGTAAGATCTCTTCGTTATACTCGTGAAGATGCAAATAAGTATGGCGTGAGTTCGGGTTGCTGGAAGGAGGTTGCTAGGTAGAGAAACAGGCTCAATCTCCCTCAGAATTTCCTCATTCACTTCGACCAAATTTGAAGCATGAAGGCACGGGCGTCCGAGGAATGTATCAATCTGTACAATACTGACTGGACGATAACACGGCCCTGCCTTAATGGCTCGTATCCAAGCAGGACCAGCGACACTCAACCCGCTCAGTATGTTGTAATTAACATCTTCATGAACCCCGTCTATGTCCCAACCAAGCAGACTAGTTAAGGATCAGTACAAAGGAAACACATGCAAGAGCTCCCTAACCGTAATTTCGACAGGGAACAACCAGATAGACAGTTGACAAGTCCTGAGAACAAGTCCACAGCGATATCAACCGCAACTACAGCACGACTCGATGAAAGTCAATACATCTGACAAGAAGGTTTGAGAATCTGCGGTAGATGCAGCCGTGGGTCAAGGACGATCACCGCCAGGAGAATGGCAGGCATCAGTTTACCATCACGGAAAACAAGGCGATTTTGCATGGTCAAGGAGTATTAGACATAAGTGTGAAGCATCATATTTTCGACATGATGAGAAAGATATGAAAACTTGACTGCCCTCTTCCTTCCGGGACCAGAAGGCTATGACAGAAGGAGAAGGATAAAAAGCTGGTACGAGACACTAGATAGAAAAGTCAGAGACTCTACTGAGAAAGGGATTTAAAGGCTTGCCTCCACACAAAAGGAACTACTTAAAGCGTAGGCGAAAGGGAAAATTTGCTGCAGAATAAATGGCTCTCCACGCAGATAATGTTGAATTTATTTCACAGCAACACACTCATGTCTAGTAAGTCTGGTCTTTCTTCTTTCCATGGGTCGGTTAGGAATATGTATCTCATTAATAGATAGGAGACAACAAATTATATGCCACGGAGTACAGCTTACCTCCCGACCGCCTGTAACTGGGGTTCGAATTGGGGTCCAGCGAGAAGACGAAGGGGTGCCAAAGCTCCCATCTAAAGCTCTCTGCATTATTAACAAGCAGAAAACTCAATAAAAGAACCGGGTCTAAAAATTCAACACGCAAACACCTGTGCAAGTATCACATGATCTAAGATGAAGAAATAGTGTCAGAAATTCAAGTAGTTCTAAGATTGCGTCAAATGAATCACCTCTCGAGAGGATTGAAGACGTTGAGGACGACTATATGGTGTACGTGAGAAGACTTGATTGCGGCTCCTAATCTTTGCCGACGGTGGGGCTGGAGTACGAAACTGTTCTTCATCACCAAAATCTGGAGGAGCCCATTTAGATAACGTGGCCTGAGACATCACTAGAGATGGAGGTCCGGTGGACACGAGATTCTCATCCCTACGGTTGAGGGGTTCAGCTGGCGAACTTGATCCCGGTGGTCGAGAAACTCGACGTCCCATGAAAGCAATTGCAACATCCACAGGAGAGCTGCTCAAATTGTCCAGGCTCTGCATATGGAGGCAGCTTCTGTTAGCAGAGGCTCACAGACTAGGTTGAAGTAAACCTACAGATACGAGGGAAGAACCTACAGACAACTGACAAGGTAAACCAACTGAAGAAAAGTTTGAATATACATACATCAAGACATGAAAAGACGTTTACGGCGCGAATAGCGTATGTAATGTAGCCAGCAAGTAGACAGGGCTAGGGTTCCAAGAGCAGTGAAACAATGCTGGACCAATCACTAGAAAAAACTGAACTTGGGCTGAATCCACATGGGTAGATTGCCGTGACAAAAGATACATAGATAGTCTATTATGCTCACTTCTGCTGCAGCAATCGGTGTTGCTGATGCGGGTGCGCCAATCTCGTAAACAGTAAGAGTGCGAACACCATTTTCTCTTTCTTCTCTGGACTTTTGCAGGTCTTGCCTCCACCTTTGGGCGTCAGTTTGAACAGCAGCAGCGGGCTGATTTTCTTGGTGACTCGGTCTAGTTTCTCGATCCCCTTGACTCGCTTGTTTCTTTCTTTCCACACCACTATTAATGACTCTAGATCGTAGTAGGGCTGACAAGCGCTCAAATTCCTCCCTGCGGTAGTCAACAAGACCAATCGGGGCAAACCAAATGAACATAGATCCTTCCAACTGTTGACCGCTGACAGCATCCTTCAATATTCAGTTCCGTTTTCAAGTATCAAGGAACATGTCACCGTTCGAACCCACGGCGCCAACTAGTGAAGTCCAGTATTATATTAAACTAGCGAGACAAAGTACAAGTGCACAGTTCACGCACTGGGGAATGTGACTGAGATTAAAAGAAGTTATACTACATTGAAAGCGGTTGATTCCCACAAATATGGAACCCTACCAACAGCATGAACATACATAAGGTCCACACCTATGTACTTAACGCCCAATAAACTTTTGATATGTTCAAAACTATGTGAAAGCCAGGTGTAATACATACCCTGATAGGGTTTTCTGCTGGAGCAATCTTTCAATATCCACCTGCGTGTTGCTGGCAGGTTCTTGCGCAACCGCTTGCTCCTCCACGTCGTCGTCAGACCTGGAAACTGCTTCGGCATCGTTCTGCGTGAACAAAACCAACAAATTAACCTATCACTCCGGCGAGGATTCATGTTCTAACTAAGCATAGACAAAATAGGACCTTCCATCACATATAAGATACAATTCGGGGGTATCACATTGTCTGTTTTGGCAACAACAGGAGCAGCCTAAGCACGACTAAAGATAGATCTTCATCATGTACCCTTACAGCGTTCAACCATGTTCCAATCGACCAATCAAATATCCGTAAGTTAAGTCATCGTTGAACAACAATACGATTTCGACAAAAAAGCTTGAAAGCTTGGAAGGGAAGAGTTATTACCGATTCCCCTGATGGGGTTGACACCTGCTCCTCGGTACCGACGGGCTGCGCCTCATCTGTTGAAAGTCAACGCGTTCACAAATATCAACTGCAAATTAGAAGAGTGAGGAGTCATCACATGAAGGACTGGGTGTTTGAAGTGGCAGGCACATCAACACTATTCGACATATACCGCCTGTGACTTCCGTTGAAGTACTTCTTTGGATCAGAAGATCACAGCTCTTACTAAGCTAGACAGCTGCAGACGCACTAAAAGTCTTCGTAAATGATGAATGCAGCACATTGCAGGTGAAACACACCCGAAATGTGCACAAGAGATTGTCTGAGACGATAGAATTCCTGCCACGAATTCGCCGAAGCAATACTGCAATGATGTACTACTGCACCGGGTCAAGCTTGTTGACAAGCCACAAAGACCACAGATAGAACCCCTAATTAAGGACAAGAATTCCGTAGAAAATAATCGACCGATAATAGGAGCGAGAAATGTTTCACGAACATGAAGTCGTGGGAAGGATCCTAAACAAGCAAGAGGGGGTAAGTTGAATGAGAATAGGGTATCACATCCTGTCATAATCTTTACGAAGGTCTCAGAAAGAAGCTACCAACTATTTGCAGCAATGCATGCACGTTGGACACAATAAAATACACTTGGGAGTACTGGAAGCAACATAATAAAACTGTAAAACAACATAACGGTCAAACCTACAAGGTTATGACTTCATCGAGAAACTGAACTCTTTGCCTGCTCTCGGTCTTGAAGTTCTCGCGTCCAGAGCTTACTGTTTCACTCAAATAGAAGTACGATGCATTCCCCTATGGCGTGCGACATTACGCACTCACTCAGAAGCAAGATAAGAGATGTTCTTCAAGAAGACAGCCGGACGTATGGAGGCATTGCGCAAATGAGTGCTTACTGTCTGAGACTTGCAGCGGTGCTGGAAGGCGGCGCCTAAAGATTGAAGAATATAAATAAGTCGCACTTGTCGTTATAATCTTTGTGATGCCAGTGGTAAGCCAAGCTCCTCGCCTTTTGTCAGCCAAGGCTTGGGCGGCAGTAACACCTCCATTACTGATTAAAACGGCAGCCTGAGGACCAGCAGACGCATGCCGACCAACAGCGGGCCGCTCGTAGGGGTTTGTATTTCTCCTCCCAGTTCTTCGAATAGCCCTCAATTTTCCGCCAGCAGTTGAACCATAGCCCGAGCGATCGGGATCGACCAACGGCGAACTAGAGAACATTTGCAGCTGTGTTTGGGGCGGGGCCGCCATGGGCGCGGAGTATGGAAGAGATCGAGGCCGCGATCTCCAACCCTCGTCAACATCACCGGCACCCCCGTCCGACGCCATACACCTCTGACAGTCAGGTCCCTCCTGCACTGGCACCTAATCCCTCACCACCCGGCCCCCCTGCGCCCGCACCAACACCAAGCTGTCTGCTTATGGCCCTCCCTCCCGAGTTCACTCAAACAACGCTCTGCTCCAGAAAAAGTCCTCACCCATTCTTCCTTCCTCTACCTCCGTCCTCCTTTCTTTCCTTCCTTCCGACCTCCGTTTCCCAAAACTACTTTCTCTACTACTACTGTACACTTCTCGCGTCCGCTACTTCTTCCACCACCTCGTGCTTTTCCACTGGCAGATCCTCATCTTGTTTACTGGCAGCGATGTTATTCCCCTGGTCGGCCGGGCGATCGATCTCGACAGCCGAAACTCAAAAGGCTCTTTCTTCGTCTCGCCTCGACTTCTCTCTCTCTCTCCCTCTCTCTCTCTCTCTCTCTCTCTTGCCTCGCCCTCTCGACGGTGCGCGCGCAGTTCTCTCCACCCCAGTCTCGAGTCGGTCACAGCCATGACAGGCGCCAGTCCGGGCCATCATGCCATCACATCATCCCATCCCATCCCTACCCCCGCCCATGAACACACTACATGCGGCGGCATCCCATCCCATCCCATGGCATGCGTCCTGGCTTCGCGCTACGCGAGGTACCGCTGCTCTGCTGCTGCTACTGTACTGTACCCTAAGCTTTCGTCACGCTCGCCTCTCGTCTCGTCTCGTTCCCTTCATTTCAACCTCTCGATTCGTCTCGAGCCCTGGCACACTGTCAGTCAAGGTGTTGTTTTCCTCGCGTGTCCGTTAGCTGGGCTCCGGCGCCGGGGCCCGGGTGCTGCCGGGCGGGCCACCAGGATTTTACGACGGCGGCCCTGTATCTCCCTCTCTCTCTCTCTCTCTCTCTCTCTCATCCGTGGTCGGTTTTTCGTCACATGGTGCCTGACTATTCTCCTCCTATTTCTGAGCATGTTTGTGGTGCGTTTACTTCCCTCGCTCTGGTTCAAGATAACATCCTGATTACACGCGGCTCTGCCCTTGTTTCTCCGCTAACTCTGATGCATCTGCTGGTTTGCAGGTGTGTGGTCGAGCTTTGTGGATAATTTATTCGCTGTCTTCGTGGGTTCTCATGACGCGTGCATGCACTCTTCTTTTCTTTTCAGCGACTTTGGGGTGTAGTCTCGCCGGATTTTCAATGTAGGTATCCCCTGTCGAAATCAGATAGAATGGAGAACACCAATGTTCAACTTGTTTGAATTCTTATGATTCTCAAGTGACATTAATTTGTGCTCAACCCGCAGGATCTGTACTTTGAATTAGAAGTTGCAAATTTTTTATTCATCAGCGACTAATAATTAAAATGACTGCAATGAACATTAAATTAAATCGAGCAGGTATGCAAGGCTCAAATGCGAAAATCACGTCAAGACATTCGCAACTCATAAAATTCAATTATAATTCTTGAATGTATATGTAGTTCTTTCTATGGTTTGGAATATTAATTTCAAAAAGTATGTGAATATATGTAAAATTTGAATGAAGGTAGAAAACATCTGAAATATTTTTTATCGTGGTATGCAATATCTTTTAACTCTCAATACAGTTTATCCAAACTATGTCTTTTTATGCACTTAACCTTGTTATATTATCTTGTGTTGATATTATATCTTTTAAGCAGTACTGAATATTGGAAATGAGTGAAGTATAATTGCAACAATCCAAGTCATATGTTACATGTTTCCAAAAAAATAATATTGAGAGTTAAATGTGTGTATTAACCATATAGTCACAAAAAATTTTTCGAATAAGTCGATTAAATTATCTCAAATCTTAAGAAAAAAAGTTTCATACTAGGTGAGTATAATATGATGTATAATACTTTTCAAAAAATAAATATTTTAAAAATCTAAATAAAATTATTTTGGCTCTTAACAAAAGTCAGAATAAATTTTTAATATACACACCAAAAATTTTATTCATGGGAAAATATCTTTGTTATTTTATTTATTGAAGATATACAGATACATATAGGATAATTTGCGTATTACTTGAGGATTTTAAACAAATATTTCTTGCTGTATTTTATTTTTTATAACCTTGATGGCAAAATTGTTGCAACCCGCAGCACCAATGGAGATGATTCATATAACGCGGCAATCGTACTTTATTCACCACATTCTACGTCAAATGCAAAAGTGTGTCTAGTTGCAAAATAGTCACGACTGCTTGGTGCCCCATCAGAACTTCTGACAGATGACGTGAAATACAATGCGCATGTGCAAACGATATGATGTAAATATGTACCTCAATGTAGACTTACAGTTTTGATGCCAAAAATCCCCTTCAACATCTAGCCAATGTTTCATGCACTTGGAAAACAGCATTCCTACTCCGTAATAGCAATATCTGTGAAATAGATCACTCTTCAGTTCAATATAAATATGAATATATATTTATATTTATGTTTATTTATATTATAATTAATCCATCAAAGTGAGAGGATCACGTATGGCGTAGAGTATGTTCATGTCGATTCTGTCAATGTTTCAAGTAACAATCTTATGTGTTATTTAAATCTTTACATGAATCAAATTAAATAGTACAGTGCATTATTAACGGTTGATATTTAAATGTGTTGGCGACATCTCGTGAAAAAAACTTCAGTTGTTGTGTTTCGATTGTTTTGAAGATTTTCATCCAAAATCCTAAAAAAAAATTCGAATTCAAATGCTCGCATAGATTAACAAATATTTGCATTGCTTACGTTTTTAGCTGAAGCCTAACAAACTTCTGATTTGAGTTTTTTTAATAATATTGTAATTTCGCAAATGTGATCGGAAACAGAAATTTTGCGAAACTCAGCTAAACATCTGATTATCAAAATCAGCGAGAGATGATATCTGACCTATAGTGTAGCTACATCAGTGGAAGCTGATATGAATGCTAAGCACATGCAATTCTTAACTATGAGGAAATAATACATCGATTCATGAAGTTATACTGCTTCAAATTTGAGATTAAATTGCAATCATTATCATATATTACAAGCCAATTTGAAATTTACATATGATATTTTCATATGATTTGATAGAAGAAAACGATGATTTAAAGTTCCATGTTTTGATACTCATCACTACATGATTTGTGTTATGCATAATACCAAATTCATTTGCACACACTAATGTACGTATTTAAAAACATAACATGCTTTGGCTTTTGAGATAATTGATAGCTTCGATTGATGATTATTGTTCTAGACCACATGTTATCACCACGTTCACTGTCTACATATAACTTTTAGAGACATACAGATGTTTATCTCAAGCAAGGCTGATGTTGTTCTTTTCTTTTCTATCCTCGGTTGGGATTTTTCTTGACTCGGTGATAGCAGTGTACTGCAATATAGTGCGAGAGGCAGTCAATCAGAAAGTATGTTGAGAGAACATGACAAGAAGGATGCGAATATTCCCACACAATTTTTTTCCTGTTTCTGTTCACATCAAGTCGTACATGGTTGAAACCAAAGGCTATTCCATGCGTCTCCTTTACCCGACTTACTGATGAGGCACGGTATATGGCATACCATCGGATGAACTACGTACGCCCCGTTCCGACATCCGCAAGAAATCCAAGAAATTTCGTACTTGCGTACCGTACTATACATCAGCAGAATCTTATACTTAACCTCGAGAAAAATGAGAGGCTCGAGCGATGTGAAGTAGATATACCGCAAATGTGGTACACAATTATCGTAAATGAGGAATCCATCCTCGGAGCAATTTAGGAGTGAATTCGAACCAGTTCAAGGGCAAAAAAGACAATTTCACGGGGAACTAGTCCGTTCACATTGGGAGCATTTAAGGCTCTCGTTTAGCATCCGTACTTCCAATGCTCTTTGGAATTCATGCATTCGCTAGAATAAATTACGCTTCGCATGGTCGTTGGTGGTTGGTTTCCATTGATCCAATCTGATGGATAGGTCCCAGGCCAAGTGAATGGTGAGAGAGAAAGAGAGGGAAACCTAGAAGCCAGAGACTCGCTTTTGGAGCAAAAGAGTCTTTCCAGGGCCTGCTGCGCATGGAAGAGAAGTCTTGCCTCGATTTGTTTACCTGATTACCGACGTTGAGGCCAGCGATGGTGCGACTGGACATGAGGCATCGTGTCCAGTTGTTGACGGTGCAAGTCAAATTCTACGACTTCCACAATAAGCGCGTTTGTCCCGCTCAAGGGTCTTTGTGTCCGCAGTTGCCGGATCCCTGTTCACCAGACATATCTAGAGCGATCGTTGGCGAAGGGTCCCGATAAATTCGGTAGAAGGTGAGCGGCCACTGAAGGATGCTGAAGTTTTGTCAACTCGTCGCTGAATTGTTTGACGTTGCAACTCCCCCTGTCTGGAAGTGTTTACTACTGTAGGACAGCTTTATCAACAGTGAACGGGCTTAGAAGGGTTTCATCTTGCCGCGGATTAGCGTGGTGATAGCCTCATGACTAGCGCATCCCGATACTGGAAGGGAGATTTGTGTCTTACGCCAAAAACCTTTATCGCCATTTTACAGTCGAGAGGAGCAGAGGGTACGGTCTGCTGTTAAGAGATGAAGAACTCGAGCAGAATTGTTGTTTGAGATGCGGTTGTTTTATAATACTCAATTGCACTCTTTCTTTTGGATGTTTATGGCATTGTATGCGATCCCTGAATCTTGTAGTTACAGATGCGATTTCGAACTTGATGTTCATTTCTACGAGGCGATGAGGCATATGACACCTGATTCGTGTGAAGACAAGCCCAGCAGGAGTGGAGTTTTAAAATTTGGAGCAGTAAGAGTGGCGATTTTTCTTTTATGAGTTAGTTTGGGTAGAATCGAAGGCCAAGGTAGAAGGGCCGGAGATGATGACAAGGGCATAGTCCGGGATTTTGTATCATCGGCATGAAGAGGTCGGCGTCATCCGCCGGGTTGACGGATGGTGGTGAATCAAAATCCGCGAAGTTAAATGGGGGAGATGGATCAGGGGGCTTATCTCCGCCCCTTTCTCCAATGTCGCCTGACGTCTCTCCCACGGCGTCAGAGGAGAATCAGAGGGAGAAGGTCCAAGAGCAACTGAAATCGACGGGCAAAAGCGGGAAGAATCCCCAGAAGAAAGCGTCCGCTCAAAAGTTGGTTCTCAGTAGTCCTGTAGGTAGCGACGATGATGGCGAAGGGCGAGGGAGAGGTGGACGAGGAGAGGACAAGGAAGGCAAGGAGGATGATGATGACGAGGAAGAGAATTTGGAGAATGTGGACCTTGGCAAGCACCATGCTGTGGATCCAGGGAGAATGCAGTGAGTTTCCGCCTTTCGCAGTTTAATTGCTTCTATGTCCCTTCCCTTTCACCTTCATTCAAACTGCCCGTGGACCTCCATTTATTGATAAAAATAAGGTTTCCGACCGAACGACGGAAGGGGAGGAGTGATTGCTTGGATTTTATTCTACTGAACATTCCAATGTGAGGGATCTAGACATTCTGTTCATCTCGAATGGAGTTTTATTTCACCACCGGAACTAGTGATGTTTTATTCCTTCGACGAAATCGCAATTCGGGAACGCCGTTACAGAGCTGAAATTGATATCGTGGGGTTCGTGACAGGGCTGTCCTGAATAAATTTACCACTGAACAGATGAGTCGGTACGAGTGTTATCGCCGTTCGGGATTTCAACGAGCGAATATGAGAAGGGTATTTCCTCCCGTTTCTTCTGTGAATTCCCAGGGCAGTATCAACAATGGAGAAGACGTTGTTTATGCAAAGTTGGATGCAATGACCCCAAACCCTAGTTTGCAAATCTTGAGATGGAACGGATGATTTTGCATCCTGCGTAAACTTGTCTCTCACGGTCATGTTAACTTCCTCGTGCCCATAGATGTCTACAAAAGTCAATTTCGCTTTCAAAAATTTGTCCAAGATAGATCATGGATGGCCAAATTAGCAGCTCTGCAAGCTAAGCTATTTTCATTTCCGCCAATTTTCTGACATCGTATGGACAATACCTTTGCCGCAGATATTGGGATTCGTTGCTGGCTCTCCAATTTCTATTCCGATGACCATCGTGATGTCCGGAATCTCTAAGATGTTCGTAGGCGAGCTGGTGGAAGTTGGTAAGCCGTTTTTATTTCGTCATCTTTTTCGTCAGTAAAGCAACGCTCTCTCCACATCTAGCTGTCATACCTGTCGTATAATTAATGCCTGGTACGGAAGAGATGAACGTGGTCGTTATGCTTCTCAGTATTGATGTTTAGAGGGTAGATCTGTTTAGGATCGATATGATCAGGATGTAGCTTCCGGCTCATGCCCAGTCTTAACTCTGGTTGATGGTAGTGGTTAATTTAGGCTACTTTCCAATTATATCATTTTTCGAACGTGCAGGGAGGATTGTGATGACCGAGAGGGGTGATGTGGGTCCAATCAGACCATGCCATATACGAGAGGCATATCGAAGACTGAAACTGGAGGGTAAGGTACCTCAAAAGGGGAGAACACCTCTGTTTAGATAGTGTACTATACTAACATCATCATGACCATTCACTCTCTTACAACAAGGGTAAAGCTCCATCGGCATGTTGCCACCATATGATCTCATTTTATGAAGAAAGTTTGAAAGCTTGGAGCTATAGGCCTTAGCGTTCATCCAGGTGCAATTGCTATCGACACCTATTCTGAGCACGCAGCTTCTATAGGCCTTGAAGATGGAAATCGTAGACGTTATATCCTCGGAGCGCTCACCTCGGGCTCTGTCAGTTAACTTTTTAAGGATTTCATCTTTGCAATTCACACACACAACACAATTGAGTGCGAATTGTCATTTTTGCAGTGTATCGGTTGTATGTGGATTATGTTTTCGAACCAATTTCTACTTCGGACGTTATGCACATATACGACACATCACTCTTTGTACTCTTCTTTCCATCCTGTTTCTTCTGGAGCTTTTTGCACGGGGTCTATGTGCGTACTGGCTTATCATCTCCATGCTCTGAACTGCGGTCGAAGCAGAATTGACGAGTTTATCTACTAAGAGTATTTCCTTATTGTTGTTGAAAACTGGAGACCAAAGGTTGGCACGTAGGGTCAAGAAACGGGTCACCTCTACTTCTGCAGCTATCTAAAGCTGCATTTCCCAGTCCAAAATTGCAGATTTTCCTGGTTGTTAATTCCACGAGCCGCCTCTTATCATGGACCATTCTCGGAGGGGAGGCCGATACCCTATGAATATCTGACAACTGGAAATTACTGATCACTGTGAAGGGATTATTGTATACTACCTTCACCACCACTCAACGGAGGCAATGAAGAAGGCATACATGTTGGGCATTGCCCTCACGATTTTACGAAAAGCTCCAACAGGAGCAGTGACGAACGATTTCAGAAGACGAATAAACACAATGATCTCGAAGTAAGCACAAAAACTCGTATACCGAACTAACAAGGAGGTTCAAATGCTCTCGGACAGTAATATCCTGCGCGAAGATCTTGAAGTTCAGTTTCTACGCTGTCTACACGGCCGTTATCACTCGTGCTTGAGCAGGAGCAGTACGTCGAGGCCTTTTCCTGCCAAGAGCGAAGTGAATTTGGAGCCGTACCACCAAGAGCTTCCTCACCCCTCGCCCATCGCCTCCATTGGATGAACGGGTACGTGCCGATTGCAAGCCACCTCGGCTGAATGGTGTATTCGCAACCAGTCTCTGGTGATTGCAAAAGAATCCGATCTGCATAGCAAATGTTCGAAAAGATTGCACTTATTGAGCGATTAAATTTCATCTACGCAACTTGCGGTAGTTATTCACCGCCGGACGGACGTATTCTGAGGAGAACAGACCGTTTTACTCTTCAAGGCAGTAAGGCGCTGTGAAGTTGACCTGTTGTAGTCGGTAATCGGTCCAAGAATCAGAGGAGAGTGTGTTTGCTTACTACACGGAGCGAAGCAGTACACAGAGCGAGAGAGAAAGGGAGGTCGATTCTTGAAGAGGCAAAAGGGGAACGAATTTCACGAGCTTCAGATCCACCGAGCGAAGCACCGAGAGATCTACTTGCCGGCGTCCGTGGAATGTGCAAGCGGATCTTCATCGAAAAGTAGTGCATTGTGTCAATCGAAAGAGGTGAGTGAAAACAAGCAATGAATTGCAGTCTTGATTTCACATGGCTGCGAATGAGAGATCGGGAGATCGCTTGGGGATCGAAGGCATAGATCTTAGATACTTCCAGTACTTCAATTTACAGAGATACAGAAGAGTGATTTCATTCGATTTGAATCTTGAGAGGTGGATTTCCCGAAGCTAGTAGCTGATTGTTGAATGGGATGTAGACTAAAGAAGGGACCGGAAAGCAGCGGCAGCAATGCAGAGAGCCATGACATCGGCGGGTGGATTGGTGAGAAGGGCCCTGAAGACGCAAGTGAGGAGAGGCGGAGGTGGAGGAGGAAGCTGGTTCGGGCCCGGAACGCAAGAAGGTCCTAACGGAGTTTTGTTTAATGAGACTCCTCTGGCTCCAGGACAGGTTCGTCGTTGGGAAGATTGGGAGTTGCCCTACTACTTCACCGGGATTGCCACCGTCCTCATCCTTACAGTAGGTTTATCTGCCAAACCTGATACGAGAATTGAAACATGGGCTCGGAAGCAAGCCCTAGAGCGTTTGGAAGCTGCGGGCTTGGGTGAGGAAGCGGAAGCTTGATGCATCGATGGAGCTTCGAAACCTATTGTTGGCTCAGCGATGCAGTTATGAAATAGTCTGTTTGCAAAATCTCATTTTTTAAGGTTTGTTTATGCGGTATGCATAGCAGCTATTGAGCGTGCAGATAAACCCCATAATAATAATGAAAAGAAACCCTAAAATTGTGTTTTTTTAAATCGCTCACAATATGTGTTTTTGATGTGGCAAAAGTCGAGCTGTGCTAGTACCCTGACTCTGCTGTATATTTCTTAGCAGCTCGTCTGGATATTGTTTTCTCTGGATTTGACGAAACAAGGTAGCAGGAATTCAGTTCATGGCTGACTGCAATTCTTAGAAAGGACATGATTCTATACAGTTCAAAAGTCAGATACAGACGCTCTTGAGTAACCAAGGACTTATCTTGTTATCCATCTTCAACCCTCTTTTGTTACTTTTTGTTGGACCACTGATGTCCACAAGTCCTAGAGACGGATTTCATATGTCATGGATTTTAGTATGATGTCTCTTGAGCACAATACACCTCACCTTGCCATAGGTTATTATGCTGAAGGCTTGAATCACTTTCTGACTACCAACACATGTCTTATTACAAAGCGTCCCAGCATATTTTTTGATCGGTGTTACAGGCTATAAAATGCACATGGAGTACATCTTATCATACTCTACGAAGAATTCGTTTTTTACTGAAATGCTATAAATTTTGAAGATACATGCCTTCAACCTTGGATTTTGATATCTGCCTCTGCGTTCGGGCGATGCAATTCTATCGTGGATGAGCTGTTATGTCGGATAAAGAGTGCTCCATGTTGACCATTCAGGCATGTCAGCAACGTTGGTTCAATTCAGCATATGCATTTTTGTCAGTGTTTCGAGGAAAGTTATTCTCGAAGACTCTCCTATCAACATACCTGTTGGTTTCTTTCATTTAGACCTTCAATTCATGTCTCACTCGTTTTACCTTTTATTGTCAATATGTTGGATCCTTTCTTCCTTTGTTCGTCTTACTGTCGATGTGTTTTGTTTTGGAGTCGTGTTCTTGCTTCTGTAGTTTACTTATCTGTCTCAACAGGTTTATTATAAAATTTAATTCGCAAAATAACACAGACTCTGCTTATGAGAATACCGAGATTCCAATTAAGCTCAGGCTGAATTTCACTGTAACAGTTGCTCACCCCAGTGTTCATCTTTAGGTACATGTAAAGGTCTACACTTCGAACAAGTTTGCTTAGCATTTCAGTTGGATTCTGTGTGCTTAGCAAGGTTCGGAGAACATCACTAGGCTCTGGTAAAGCAGGATTTTCCACACCCCTTGTTTTTGTTGACACATTTGAACTGTAAATCACTATCACGTCATTAAACATTTCGTCTAGACATCAGTAAGAAATGTCACTTGGTTGGTCGATTGTAGAGAAATTACGCAGCGAGGATGGAATTTGCAAAAAAATCGCGAAACTCTCCACAAATGCACTAATCGTCATATGCTTCGTGCTAGTTTTCAACTTACCTTCCTGTCACATAGGTTTTATTAGTCGAGAGTTGATAAAATCAACTATTGAATACAGAGAAGGTGTTGGTTTATGAAGAGGTGGTAGTATAGTTCTGATTAATTGATTCCCCAATAGGTTCAGATCTATTGGTGGAGGAGCAAACATCTCAGTAATTCACCAGTCTATGCGATGAAGTCTCAGCGCTCCTCAATCCTATTCTACCCTCAGAAATCTATGATACTGGTACGAGCATCAGTAACGAAGCTGAGGTTTCCCTTGCAATGAACAGTTCAGTGTTAACAGCTTACACGGCGGGAGGGATGAGGTCGTGATCTACGGGTACTCGTCAGTGAAAGGAAATGTTTATAATTGGACCGCGTTTGAATCTAGTACATATGCAAGGTTTGCAAGTAGGAAGCAGTGTTCTGTGAATCAAATATGCCGAAGTCGATTTGGTTTGCATCTGACTATCATGAGGTCTACAACGATTGAAGTTCACTTCGGGCTGATTGTTTACCAAAGACATACTATGCAACCTTGTTTAGCGGGTGCGACTCTACCTCCTTACAGGCACTTCATAGTTAGTTTTATGTTTTCAAATTTAATAAACTCCTTTACGGTCTATCTCAAAAGATTGACTTTATGGTGATTGTGATGTAATATCGGGGATTTCAAGTTTACAGGATTTTCTTTATATTCTCTTCAGTTTTATCAATTATGATGTCATGTATCTAAAATGCTGCAAAAAAAATTATATTTCAAAGCCGTGTGTACTCTCCTGGAAGTGAAATGATCAGTTCTTCTAATTATTACATGTAGTGGATTTGTATATTCAACAAAGTACTTTAATGGAATATAGCTTCAAGATGGAAATCTTAAACTTTATACACCATTCAAATAAATGGAGAGAATGGTTATTTGGTAGGTCATGAACACCATGCAAGACAAAAGATAACGTCTGTGTCCTTCTTTCAGTAAAAAAAAAAAAATCTTCAAAAACTTGGGAGATATATGAGAATAAAGATATGGAAATACCATGAAGAAGTCCAGTTAGGTCACAAAGTACATCACCAGAGAAATTCTCAAAATAAGTATCTACTATAACATGTGCAGGTTCATGGAATTCATATGGGTATCGCTAACGACTTAGAAATTCAATAATACACATTTTCATTCTTTGAGGGTGTGTATTATTGATCAGATTTCGTTAATTCGTGTGTCTATCGCCTTAAATAACCCCCACTCCTACAACATTATTCCGAAGCATAGACAGGTCAATATGTATTTAGAATGTATCAGTTAAAAATGATATACACCTCAACTGAAGCACCAAAAAACATAGATAGAAAAAATAAATAATGTTCTACGTTATTTTGTAATCATTGCTTTCTTCGATAAATACTTTGGTATATGTAAAATACAACAAAAAATCTCCATGTACATCCGTTTGAGTTGATTTATTCTCATACTCAAGGTCAAAAAACATGGGTGGTTTATTGAACTCATTACTTAGTTATTTATTTTGAAAAGAAAATTAAATGCACTATCCCAAGTCCATCTATCTAAATCATGTGTATCGAATAACAAGACGTAAAAAGAAAATATATTTGATAATTTGTAGAAACTCTTCTCGTTAAATTGTGAAATATTACAGGAAAATTGAAAATTTTTTTTAAAGTAATTTTTTATATATACTCTAACAACAATTTCATACTGTTGATCATATTGTGCGCAATTTGCCTCCAGGAAGGAACTACAAAATGCAATATATCCTCTATTCTCTTTTATTAGCGATGGAGAGCACAAGCGACCCTTTCATTTGCTTCATACCCTTTTCCAGATTGGGACGAGATGAAGTACTCATCTGATTTTGAGCACTCATGCGTAAGAATATATATATTGTGCTCGCACAAGATATTGAGATGTACAGCCATAAGCTCTTTGTCCACCGAGGAGGTGCTTGACTTTACGGTGTTCTGATTGGTCTATTATCTGTAAAGCAGGTGAGGTGGAGTCCTGGAGCTCAAACTAACATGGGCCGTGCACCTTCTACAATAAATGAATGGCTCTCGACGGTCGATGTCACTCAATAAAGACAAGATTGTTCTTCCTCCGCCTTTCTCAACCCTAGAATGAGGAATGAAAGATCGCTACCAGACCACATCAGAAGTTCCATCCGTGACCTAGATTACGAAGCAGGTTAAAATAGTAAACGACGACCCAAATATAAAAATTATGATCCACCGTTTTACTCGCAAACTCATTTATGTTTTCATGGAGAGGACTACTATATATGGAAAGTTGACCATACTCACCACAGAAATACCTTCTGTGGCAGACAAGCAACGGTCTTACGTATGTTTCGATTGCCCTTAACATTGAAGCAAACTATGGGAGTATGGGCGCTAAACAGGACAGCTGGAAAAAGGACCGGATCAGCTGAGGTACGGTACACTGCTGATTGCTCGTTGGCACAGCGAGGCTTGACTTTGCAACTTTTGATAACAGGGTGGGTGTTAAAAGTCGTATTACTTCACCCGAGAAGCTTTCCAAATATGCATACTGGCCACAACAATATCAGATACGAAGTCCATGAACATAGTGTAAGCCTCATTAGAGCTTGGCCAGGGCTGGATATACAATGATGATGATACCGGACACATACGTGTAACTTATGTAAGTATGCTGAAAATTGAGCTGGAGAACCAGTGTAATTGTTGTATCTGAATTTTAGTCGTCAGATTTAGCTAAACTGCGAGAGGCTATAAAGAGCATTCGTTCCCAACCACCAACCAGAAACACAATCGTCATGGGCTTCAGGACTATCGTGCAATTTAAAATAATAAAGATAAACACTTTGAGTAATAAAAGTGAAACTCTTACATTTTCCTTAAGACAAAAGAAAGTATACTAGTAATTTTCCTATCCTTCATCAGATGCCTATGCACAGGCAGCCAATCAAGTGTAATTTATGCCGTTCGCAGCGTTGTGTTGGAAACTGATTCTCGATCGTAAGGCATTGACTTTCTGATATAGAAATCGAATTGGTTGCATAGTTGCTTGCTTTTGTGCTTCTGAGCTTGGAAAGACTAGGAGGCACCTGGTGTGTTATATATTCGGACCCAGCTGCTTCCAGGCAGAGCAGTGCAGGGGGTGGAATGTCTGTAAGAACTAATGTCTCCAGGCTACCGTAGACAGTAAACCATCGAAAGATATAACATGAAAGCACCCGATTACTAGGTGAAAAGGCAACAAAGTCAAAGTATGCATCAGTAGGACGACCAAGGAGGCAACGCAACTATCAGAGGATATACCAGCAGGCATCGAATGGAGTGTATGTGCCACATCCATTCCTACATAGCAATTGATAGAGTAGTGGAAATAGACGTTAAAAGCTAGGCTTCTACGACCTCTGCGGTGGCCCAGAAGCGGCCTCAAGACACAACAATCTTAGAACAAAACTACAAAACAAGGCTTTCTAACAGATCAGCATTGGTGTAATGATGAAAAGGTAATCGGACGGTGATGACACAAGCATATTCCCACAAAATGTGTACTTAGACGTACAAATCTGCAGGAAAGTATACTGGTCGCGATCCACAACCTGACTTCCAAGCAGAACTGGAAGGTCTCCGGGTCAAACAACTGTAGCACCTTCCTCATTGCGTCTTTTCTTCTGAGCCCTCTTCACCGAAATAGAGTAATCACAGTCGAACAGAAGTCAAAGTAACAAGCGATTTCAGTTGGACTCACCTCAAATTCTCCGTGACGTCTGTGTGGCAGTTGAATCATGGGCATTGTTCGACGTGATCACCAATGCGAGTCAAAATTGATACTTACAAGGCCGACGACGTATCGGGACTAAAAGTGAAACAACACCACAACATAAACGTGTAGTTTGAGGTGTTTCGACATTTGACTATAACCAACATATTCAGCATCTATTGATGAAAGTCCACCCACATAGATAGCCACATGGTAACTACTGATGGTTTTGAAAGCCTGCCCGTCTGTAAGTGACAGACGATGACAGAAACAAAGACACAACCTATCAATCTCATTACCTCCTACTCTTGATACCACTAAGTTCCATCACCGACAAGAAACAAACATTTTCTGGTGTAACGAGATAAGTCGATTTCAACATTCATGATATTTACTTCAGCAAAACCCTCCATATCCTACAGAACGCGTGAGTTCAAGGTTCAGCCATCATCAGCGTCGACACGAGCTAGAGAGGAAGAGGACTTTTTAAGTGGAGTAGGCTAATCTTACTGAAATACTTGATGTTTATTTTGCATTCCAAAACCCCAGACGAAGCACAACGTTACTGGTTTACGACTAATGATTCAATCTCCAACACACCCATCCACAAGTTCAGACGAGAGTTAGAGCTCTACAGTACACACAGACAGCGTAGCGCATCAACAGGTAAGAGGATAAAGCTAGAGTTCCACATACTCGAGCGAAGCCTAAAACTGGATATCATTTGAGCACAATTGTAACCACCAAACCTTCACTTCAAGTGAAGAATATTCGATCATGCATTAGAAACCTGCTGTCGAGGAATTTCCTTATTATCTACCAATCTAATCATGAAGGATCATCCTTTCTAGCACTCAAAACAATTATCAGGACACTGCGTCAACGACAGGAGGCAGTTAACTTTGTATATGTGAGTGTGAGTACGTGGTCTCACACTATCACATGCAGGGTCCCGTACAAATGGATTTCCACATGTCTAAAATTTGCCCAAAAATTTATGAGATTGTACAGGGTTGCTAAAGAATTCTCTACATGGAAAAAGAGCACAAAACATTGCCATCCACTTTCCTTTCAAGAATCGGAAACTGCTAAGAATCAGGAATTTGCCAATGCCTAAGGGTTTGTAGGAACCCTTTTACAAACCTTCGCCAATTTTATTTTTCTGAAAGGGCCTCAGAGAGCCTAAACTTACATTGTGATGATTCTGCCTCTGGGGGATTCCTCCTCTGTGACTCCTCACTACCCCCATTATGAACTGTGACTTCTTGCGGAAATTCATCCCTAGAGTTGACAGGCTCGCGACAATAAGAGTCACACTCGCGCCCTGTAGCCAACTTGGACGACAAAGGGGCAATGTTTCGAGTCCTTTCTTGACTAGACGAGGCAAGAGCGAGGATCTCCTGTATTCGATCAGGCCAACCAGAATTGAGCCGCCTGGCAAAGTCTTCCACTTCCCTGTCGAGTTTCTCTTTCATCTCGGGATCCAACCCGTCATCTTCGTCGTCGTCAAATTCAGCAGAATCGTATCCCAAACCCCCGTCAGTGGCAATTTCGGTTTCCCCAATAACTTTAGCTCCTTGTCCCTCCCTCGAATCGTGAGCTGACTGTCGAGTATCACTTGCAGAATGTGTACTCTGTGTCCTATTTTCAGGGATTTCCACCACGTTAGGGTCCTTAGCCTGCTCTTTCTTCCTCCTGTTCCGTTTCTTCTTAGATTTTCCTCTCCTATTTCCCTTTCCGTCCCGCCCACTACCATCAATAAACGACAGAAGGTCATCTACAGAACGCTCGTCCCTGTGCCCATCATCTGCTGCGCTACTCTGACCAGCGGACGCTCCTTCGTCCTTACGCCTTTTCTTCTCTTGCAAAGCTCTCCGCTTTCTCGCATATAGCTGATTTAGCAATCTAATGCGCGGATCATCGGTGGTAATTTTCACGGGCTCTAGCTTTTCCTCCTCGGTGAGATCGTCAGGCAGATGGAAGGTTTCACGCATCTCTTCGGGCGTCATTCCTTCAATCATTCTGGCAAGCGCCCGACACGCCAAATCCACCAGGGGATTCATGTCCAAGCTTTTCGCAGCTGAGGCGAGTTCGCATAACCTTCTCGTGTCGAGCCGGATGAATTTCTCATCAAACATTTTTCGTTCTTTATCTGAACGACCGGGAACTTGATGGAAGCGACAGTACTCAAGAATAAGTTTAAGAATGCTAGGTCCGACTTGACTGGGAAGCACGATAGCCGATCTCTTATTGATCCCCTGACTATTTTGCACCACCTCTCTGTGAAGCAGCGGACACAACATGGTGACATCCCGCTCGACTTCATGCACAACTCCGTCGAAAGTTTCTAACCAAATAAACGACGATGAAGGAATTAGGGGTAGTGACGTTCCCGTCGGCATTGTGCTCTTCGCCACTATTGGGACAGCCAGAGAATCGACCTCTTCCTCTGGCTTGATGACGGCCATAAATGTAGCTCCCCCAAGCGTACAAACCGGCCTACACTAATATCTCCACCACTTGCGTAACGGCTTTCGCAACGCCCGCCACACACATTCAGCGTGCCCACACGGACCCCCGCAAAAAAACACCACGCCCCGTTCGCTGCTCTGTTCGCCACTCGCGCCCGTGCCACGCCCAAGCGCTCAAACTGCACTTCCTCTTTCAAACACAAACGACCACACGCCCGGCTCACTCAACCCCCTTCGCCTTAAACACATCCCCTCACCTCACCTGCCCTCTGCTCCCGTGGCGCAACAACAGACGAAACTTGCTCTTAGCCTCGATCTGTCTGCCTTCTCCAACTCCTCCTCGCACCGCAAACCCTAAGAAGGCCAAACCTCGCTCGTCCTCGTCCTCCTCTGCGAAAAGAACCTCTTCTGTCACACCATCCACAGTCCAACAACAACAGTCCCGAGTCTCCGCCTCCTCCTTTGGCCGACGTATTCGTCCGGAACAGAGCACTGATACATACCATACGCATCCACTACGGTAGCAAAAGCACCTCGAGCGCCACCGCAATCACCATCATGACGAGGAGAAATTCCTCTCCTCCCCGTTCGTTCCTTCGTTCCAGCTACTTATTTCTTACGCTATGGGATTCCCCGACTGCACGAGCTGCAGCAACACCGATGCGCTACGACAGTAGTGGTTCTTATTCCGCGGCACCAGCACCATCACAGCAGCATCGCCTCCTGCCTCCGCTTCCTGTTTCGTCGTCGATGCTGATGCTCCTCCCACTCCCAGTCCTTTCCACTCCTCCCCCGTCGTCGACGTTCGCTGCCAACACCTCCGCCTCGTCCTCTGCTCCTCCTCTGCCATTCCCCACCCCGTCTTCTCTCTCTCTCTCTCTTTCTCACCCTCGCTCTCTCTACTACCTCCCCTCCCTCCCCTCCCTCCCTCCCTCTCTCTCTCTCGCTCTCTCTGTGTCTGTCTGCCAGTCCACTACCCCACACTCCACTTCAGGTTTTCTTTGCTTCCTCCTCCTCCTCCTCCTCCTCTCCTCCCCCTCCCCTCCTCTCCTCTTCCTCCTCCTCTTCCTCCTCCAGAAGCTGCTGCTGCTTGCATTACCGAACAGAACGACACTAAGAAGAAGGAGCGCAGCAGCAGAAGCAGCGATGATCCTGCATCATCCCTTCATCATCACCTCCTCCTCTCTTCTTCTCCTTCTTCTCTTCCTCCTCCTCCTCCTCCTCCTCCTCCTCCTCTTCTTCTTTTCCTTTCCTTCCTTTACTTTCCGCGCCTCCGCTTGCCCTTCCCCCGACGAAAGCCAAGGAAAGAAAAGCGGCCGAGCGAAAGGGGACCGATAAAAAAATGCACTCACGACGAGACAGGCTCCTCCTCCCCCTGCCCCTGACGCTGACCCAGTGCAGAAGCAGCGGCTCTCTTCCCCTCATTCTCCCCCTTCCCTATCCATCCCATCCCCCGCTAACAATAGTAAAGGAGATAGAGGCGAAGATAGAGGTGGGTTAGTCTATGCCTATTCTTGTACTCGGGAGAATGGACGTGGTCGCTGTTCGCTCGCCACCCAACCCGGTTGAGTTGTGGCCCGACTGCACAGTCTACCGGGTTGAACCTACAGACCAGCTCCTCCTTTACCTCCGTGAGTTCCTCCTTACCCTTCCACTGAACCCTATTGGTAGCGGCAGGCATATCATATCATCTCATGGAGCCCACGACAAGCGAAAATTTCTTTTCTTTGCTTTCCGTCCAGCGCCACTTGCGCCAGTTTGACGACAGCTTTCGGGCCCTCTCCATTTGTTGGTGAGTGTGACGTAATGGCACAATCAAGTGACCGAGTTAAAAAATTAAACAATTTGCCGAGAATCTCAATTGTTTCTTTCCCTAAATATCGTGATCAGCGGCTGCTGAGAGTTATCTTGATCACGAGACTCTGAAATCTGCATGGCGTGAGTTTCAGTTGTAGTTTATTTGGATTCGAACCTGGTTAGGATAGGTGCATTCTGATTCCAATAGGTATCACACGATGTGTTTCTCGTGTTCATGGATTTAGAATCTGATGAGAAACAACCTCAAATACTGCATATTGCATAAAATCAACATTTCTTTGGTCCTATATTATAAAGGCCTTACGTGAAATTTCCTCTTCCGAGATGTACGAGTCATATATTGCTTCTACAAGACCTTCCAATTACCCAAAGAGCCAGCTTGGTGACGGGTTGCTTCAAGTAGTCCACCAATTAGTCAACTCAAGCAAACTTCATACCTCGATTTGACCATGAATTTATTGGTGCACTTGCAATTTCCTCCTTCCAATGCCGTCCTTGAAAGACTGTGGTCAGAATTTCTTTTCACCATTAAAAGATTCTAGTAAATTTAAGTAATTTTCCAACTTTTTAGGGTTTGGTGGATTAACCTAATAAATTATCGTTCTCTAGGGTTTGAATTCCTGGTTTTATTCTTCCCCAAAATGCGAAACTAATCTTTCAAAAGCATATTAATGGAAAGGGTATGTTAGAAATAACATGGAAACCATCTACATATGCTTCTGCCCAGAGGGCGCTGCCGGTATAGCGGGTTCCTTTTGGCTGAATAAATGCTTTCGACGTCTAGTGAGTAATTTGTTTCATTTGTTTTGAAGTTTGTGTATCCTGTAGTGAACCACCTTATACCTGGTCCTATGAAAGTGGAGATATACTATTGAGCTGCCTTGTTGTTCCTTTGAGCGAAATTACTTGGTTCCTCGAGTTCTTCCGATCGCTGAGTTGCTCCGTGGGAGAATGATAGATTTTCTAGTTCAAAAGTATACTCTGACCCAAAGCCATCACCATATGGTTTTAGATGGAGGGAATCTTCGTAAGGGAGGGAGAAAGAATGGATGGTTTGTCGTTACCCATTGTACACAATTCTGGATAAAAGAGTGGTCCTAATATTGATAACAAATGAAGCGGTGGCTGATGCCTTCCAGAGACTACGTCGGGCAGGAGTTCAGTTTGTATTGCACACAAACATCCGCCAAACAAACACAATGAAACACCAAACTCATGATGCTCAAACAGATTATTTGAGCATCATGAATAACAAACATGTGGTCAAGATACAAGCTTCCATCACACCCATACAAAAAAATACATAATAGATCAAACTTACAGTGGGCCAAAGCATGTAATAACTGCTTGTAGACTGAATAAAAGATCTCCCCCTCAACGAATCATCTGAATTCTAGTACTTGATAATTCTCAATTCTTGTTCAACTATGTATGAGATACTTATACGTTAATATTTGAGAGTATTGTTTCATGAGATTATATAGAATAATTGACATAAATTTGTATGCATAGTATTCTTGTAATAAATATTACTGAAAATTTTGTAATATATTTTATTGCAAATAATAATATTTTTTAAATAAATATCATTTTTAAAAGAACTATGCATTTTATTTATTGAATTAAATTTTTATTACACATACACTTCGATGATTACATTTCGACATGCAAATTTAGTAAGCAAGACCTGTAGTATGGTGCTTTTTACTATCTACATCTATATTAAACGATCATAATCTTGTATATGGGGCATATGATTATTTTTTCAAGATGTGCACGCATATGTCTACTTGTTGGCATTGTCATCAACCAGTCATACAACATTGATAACGTTACAATCGATCAATATCGATGGCCATAGTTAAAGCTAGAAATAAAATTTATGACTTTAACTAGGGCCATCAATATATGATAAAAATTTGTAAAATGAAATCTTTTACATATTTGATTGTGCATTGATTTTCATACACTATTATAAAATATTTGTGTCAAATTATTAAATTTTAAAACAATACTATATATATTAAAAAAACTTAGAAGCTTACATGTTCATCAAATATACTTTCAAATATCATAAAATATACAATTAATCAATCCCATATCTTCAAACATTTATTATGAAGTCATGCAGAATTTTTAAATACATCAAACGTTGGTTGATATTATTTTTTTTATACAAAAAATAAAAAAATTTGAGGAAAACTATGTTTATGTTTTTTATCTTCAAAATTATAATAATAAACTTTATATATATTGAATAAATTAGAATATTACAATTTTTTTATAATTTCATATCATTCAAATAAAATATATCTGGACTAACTTTAAATAAAATTACACCCATATTTTTTTAGAAATTTTTTGTAAATGTAATGGGGATGGATTTATAGTTTTAATGATTTGAAATCAATAAAAGAAGTTTACCCTGAATAAAATATTTTATAGGAATAATAAAACAACATCAATTCTAAAAATAACATTCATTATATTTAAAAGCAATCACATATGGGATAATTTTGAAAAATTGGAATAAACTGTAGTTTTTTAGTCCCGATAGCAAATTGAAGAGATTGTTGTAATACTTGGAATTATTTCTTCTTCAAATGATTTGTAAGCCAAAATATTCAATATATTTTCTAAGCTCTTAAACTCATTTTGGAAAAAAGTATTCAATTTCATATCTTGCACTTCACGCATGCATGTCTAATACGAATGAAAGCACATAAAGAAATTTGATGGTGTATATATTATATTAAACTTATTTCAGTTTCATTCCAATTCATAATTTGATTCTAACTTTGTCGGCAATCTGATTTTATGCAAATAATCTTTTGCATTGTAATTATAAAGATCTATTATGAGCAACCTTTAAAGTTTTCTAAATATGTAACATGGATGAAAATTTTGTTCTTTTCAGAGAAATCATTTTTTATTGTCTTATTTTATTTTTTCACATAACATCCATTTGAATAACGGTTTAATCTTATCTTTTCTATCTCAAACCATAAGATGTCTATTGATAAGATTGTATCCATTTATTGACCGTAGAAAAATTAAAATATATCTCTATAACATAAATTAATTGTTGAGCTTTTCGTACATTTGATTAAATATCGAATATTGATTATTTTCCAGATAAGTATTTTCTTTAATCAAATTGTATGCACTTAATATATTTGATAGGTTTTATTACATTTGACAACTTATGACAAACATCTTATAGAATATGTATTTATTCACGATATTAGGTTTACATATTTCATATGCATCTTTGAAGTAAACAAGTTGATTGAAAAAATACAATGTTTGAACAATGAAGTCAAAAAAACTTTGTTCTCCTATGGAGTATAAAATCTTACATCTTAATTATATAAAATGAATACAACTAATAATTATATATTATAAAGTGAACTCAAATCAGAATTTGAAAATTACTTGCACAATTTTCATATGCAACATAAGTAGGCGATATCTGACAGGAATTGTTTCATTTTATAACATTCATTCAATCACATTGCAATTTAAATGTATTGAATGATTAACAAAATTGAAATCTTTAGAAATCTCACTAAAATATAACCAGTTTGATTTTATCAACTTTTGTGTGTGTGATTTGTTTAAAAAATATAAGAATATAATCCATTAAATTGTATTAATCTAATAAAATAAACATGAAAAAATTTCGATTTTTTAATTTTAATATAAATTATTAAATCGATATTTATCTCGATATTATATACCTTTTTCATTTGAACGATGATTTGATTTTATATTCAATTAAATTTTTTGTAGGTTGAATTTCAATTTTATTAATTATATTATTATTTGCAAAAAATTTAATATGATTTTTATAATAATGATATTATAATTTTAATTCATGAATAATTTAATTAGATATAAATAATTTTATAAAATATTTATTTTTTTGATTCAAAGAAGCCAACAAATAGGAGGTTTTGATTAAACTTATATTGGTTGTATAATATAAAAATTATAATTATTTTATTAAAAATCATAATGTTTTTACAATATGAAAACTATGAGTACATTCTAGGATATATACAATTTTTGTTGTTAAACTTTTTTATTAAATCATGATGTTTTGTCTCGGTTTGGCTAAAATTCTTCCACAAAATGGAGAAAATAAACGTGAAGTACATGGTTGCTGAACTTTGTTAAGTGTACATTCATGGTAATAAAGTAGAGCTTTGTTAGAACGCCTCGTGTGTTGATAAAAGATAAAATGATTCCGTTTATACAGTATTAGGGTAATTGGGCTGAATAATCCTGGTTAATTTAGCTATAATTAATTTTAAAAAGAGTCAATTTTCGATCCTATGAAGAAAGTGTGTAAAAGGATTGATGATATTAGTATGTATGTATGTATATGTATATATAATACTCCATGATTTAAAAAAAACTTACAGAAATATAAATTATATATCTATATGTGATTCAAAACAAAAAATCCTAGTTGTTGCTATAAATAGATAACTCATTTTCATAAAAGTCATTGCAAACTTTTCACAATATTAAACAAATGAGTTTTGAATTAGCTTTTTTTTAATGTGTGGCATCTTTACTTATTTTTTAAAGATTATTTATCCATAAATTTATAATTTCTTTTAAATAATAAATAAAAATTTATTTCAAATATCTTAAATTAGAATCATAGTCCATGATCCTAAAAAAGTATAAGTATCAGCTATACCAAAATAGATTCACAATATAGATAAATAACCTGCTGCAATGAATGTAGAGTTCAAAACGAATATTTACATGAGATTGTTGATAGATTTAAGATTATGTTAGAATTGATATATTTAACAAAACCGGTAAAAAATGAAAACTAATATGAAAGCAATATAGATGTAACCACAAGGCACTACAAAAGATAACACAAAATGTCACGCAAAATGTGAAAATTGAAAAGTAAATAAATACGTGGTGAATAAAATTACGAAGTACACAGAGTGCAATTAGCAATTAGAATTTTGTATCGTCCAAATTTTTGTACTGAAATGTTTTTTTTTCTCACCATGAATGCATCATTGTGAAAGTTTGTGTGGTTTGGCTATTGTCATCATGCTCGTGAGTCTTCTTGGCGATGATGCCATCAGCTGCTCAGCCCCCCAACATGCTTACGCCGCGAATCTAACTCGGATGTGTTGTTTGGAAAACAATTATCCAAATGTTGGATTTCAGATGCGACCTGCCAAAGACAAGTATCTTTCTATAAAAGAAGTAGATCCATAAAAATGTTTCATGGTATATGGAGCAAACATCACACGCAAATAGTCTCTAAGATAGTTTTTATGAGCAAGAGAGGGAACTTAATCAGCATTTTTTGTATGGATGTCGTATAAACATAGACTATTCTTCAATGAGATCTTCAAATGAGATCTAGAGAAAAAAATTATAAATACTTTTGATAATTACAACAAGAAACTCACTCCATATTAGTTTCTGTGATGTTATGAAGAACGCTGTATCGTAAGACATGAGCTTATTATCGAAATATTTCCAAAACTAAGAACGAAGGATGATGATCTAATGTGATGATATTGGTGCTAAAACCCAAGTGAGTGTTTGAGTATCACTCCCATCACTTATTCTAGACTACTTAAGTCATTCCGAGACTTAACTGACTTTGATAGATTAGCAAGTTTGCACCGCATTTGCATTAGAAGGTTGATGTAAGAACTCATTTAGGTAATTGATGTACGTTCTTTATATACAAAAGTAAACTCTTAACGAAATCTGTCACCGCCGTCCAAGTCGTATGTTAGTCTGTCCATGACCAGACCAGCATTCAAGGCAGACTGTATCGTGTTGAAATGTCGTTCATTGGGATTACAAAATCACGGGGGATCGAAATCGAAATAGAAAGTCAGAAGTAGAGGAAAATTTGTAGAGCTGCTAAAACCCTAGAACCCTGGTTCGGCGAATCGGTTTAGTGCTCGTCTCACGAAGGAAAGTTTGTTAGCGCTACATCTGCTCTCCGTGCTTCTCCAATCGCCTGCGGTCTATGTGATGGGAAATGCTCGTCAGAGAGCTGCACGCAAGAAATTGGCTCAGTCAGGCGACGGTGGTGAGCCTAACGTAGTGCTGAAGAAGCAGAACTCGGAGAATCATGGAGCGGAAGTTTTGGAATCCGGGAAGAAGAAGAAGATTAGCGGACCGAAGAAACGTAAGAGAAATGACGAAGGAGAGAATGTGGGCAACGATGACGGAGAAGTCGTTCAGTCCGTTTCCAATGGGTCTGAGAAAGCTGAGTCTGGGGATAACTTGAAGGTGAGGTCAAATCAGCTAGCTTGTATAAGTCGCCGTGTTCATCCTGCAGATTCGAAAGTTGAGGTTGATTATAGGTCCACAGCGAATGTTGACTGCTTAGAACTGATGCCTGCTTTCAGGCACTTCTTGGATGATCGGTCCCTTCGCGAAAGACAATTACAGCCCTGTGTGTGAACATGTTTGAAATGAAAGGGTGAGTTCAGGCGCTGGAGAATACTGCATCTGCTGCTTTTCCATGAGTACTTTAATTCTGGGTTGAGGGCTTCAGTGGCTGCATCTGTTCACTGCATTAAATTTGTTCCTTTCTGTACAAGTCAAGTATTTTCCAGTAATTTTCGACTTTCTGCTCTTGGTTACTACTTTTTGAATCAGTGCCGACTTGGATGATTGTCTTCGAATAAATATTCTCGTCTTTGCAGCTGGGAACACAACGTTGCATTTAGTTTTGGACTAAGAGTAGTCGTTTTGATGGGATTCAGGGAACGGGTCAAGGTCCGAAGAGAGCGAAAGATGATAAAGCCTCGAAGAAAACTGGGAGTAAACATCCTCTACGCGTAGCAGGGATGAGACCCGGTGAAGGCTGCTTCCTGTGCAAGGGTACCGATCACATCGCTAAGTTTTGCCCAACGAAAAGCTCCGCAGATCGGAAGAAGGTTAGTGTTTTTTGCCGTGGCGAGGGACTCAACGTACATTTTGCTTTAAGTACGATGGCTATCTTGCGCAGCGCACATATCGTCAATTATGAGTCAGGTAGAAATAACACAATCTCTCAATGATATTTCGTATCAATGAGAGAAAAATGAAATTGTCTTTTGTTTTGAGATTCTAATCGTCTCATTTGTAGTGGAGTCTAGCATCGGCTCATTGGCAACTTCTTTCCAACGGCCTTTTAGGTTGCTAAACACTCGTTTCTGTTTTTCCTTTTGAATGTGAACTTCAGTTGTGACTCATTTGGATCTTGTGTGTCTTACAACCTCGTGGAAATAAGAAATAAGTAAGGACGAAGTTTTCGTCGAAGTTCAACAAAGAGGAGTGTTGCCAAATCTTGGTGTGTCTCCAACTTGTAGAAACCTCGAGGACACTTGTTGTGTTGCAACGTGACTCAGATTGTTATACTTGCTACTTTCTGGAGGTTTAGATTTGTGGAGAATTCTTTGCAGCTTTGCGAAGGAAATTCCAAGGAGGAGTGACGGGAATCTGACGCTTCCCGTGCAGGCATTGTTGATGGTCCTTGGAGGACTGTCTTCTGTCGGAACCAATACCCTGTTCCGCCCACTCTCTTACCACCACTGTTACTTCGACAGCAGGACTGTCCGTGTACTCCACAGTGTTACTATCTCTGACTTCTCCGAATGCATCCATCGGTTTGTCTTTGCGCTTTGTAATGTAGTATATCTCGTCGGCACCTTCGTGACGAGACACCTAGACTTCCGTTGCATCGATCTCGTACATGCTAAGCATTGCCGCTACCCATCTGCTATTTATTCTGTAGCTCTGCGAATATTGTAGATGTTACGCATTCTAGTGCGCTTCAGATCCTGCGAGAGCCTGCGTAAAAAGTGTTGTGTTGTCCTGGAATTGGAGAGCAGAGTTTCAGTCCAAGGCCACTGCACCACTGGCCATAATGCACACCGTTGCAATGGCTGCCAGCAATTTACTTGTTTAGCTTAGATTTGTCCTAACCTTGCTAATTAAGGTAACGAGGTCTATGGTCTTTAGCCTGTTACAGACAATACCAAGACGATCGGTCATTGATGAATACGCCATTTAACTTCGCCATATGTAATCTTATTGATGCCCTAGATACTGTCCTTTACATGACTCTACAAAGTCAGGTAGACCATTGACCCCGTTACAGACTGGAGTTGGGAACTTGCCTCTGGAACTTTGTCTTTGTTAGCAAGATGCAGATCCTTTCGAAATTTCGGTGACCAGTGATGGCGATCTAGAGCAAGATGGCAGGGTGGAAACTGAATCAAGCTTTCCCCTTTCCAGTCCTTAACCTTTGGGTTAAGGACTGGAAAGGGGAAAGCTTGATTCAGTTTCATGGGACTCCTTGCGGAGGTACCTGTTGGAACTCAACGTCCCGAATGTCTTCTATCTCAACCACTAGAAGAACAAGATGGAGAACCACACTGCAACATGCTCTCCTTGTGGCGTGCATTCTTCGTTTGTAGCGAGATTCGTGGGGCTTTTTGTGACAGCTGGAAACTTCGAACTGACCACATCTAAAGGACATCGTCCACTACGTTAAAGATTGTAATGGACGTTATTCCACTCTTCTTCGTTACAAGCTCTATGTGCAGTTTGCTTTCAAATTCACAAACTTTGTTTACCTCTGCATTTTTAAGTGTCGTACAAGCATTGGCACAAATATCAGTCACACGGTTAATCTTTTGCTCGTTTGCTTGAGTTCTCCCCTCGAGGAGTCAAGTAAACGAAGAATGTGCTTTAAAAGTTCTAGCAAATTCAACTCTTTTCTGTCTTCCCTTTACCATTCACGGAAGAAACCTCTACATCAGTAGTAGTTTAAATAGTAGTACCTATCCTCCTCTTACTACCACAGCAATGACAATCCCTTCCCATCGTCTAGTGCTTTTTTTGAATTATTGCTTTTTGAGGCCTTCGTTGAGTCTGAATTCAATCTTGTATAATTGTATCTGATCATTTTGACCTTTTCAACCAACTGGTTTGTTGAGTACTTCGTTTCTGTTTTACCTGATTAAGCCACGGTTTAGGTTTTTAGGTCTGAATTCCACCAATACCTTGGATGCGTTCACAGTTTTAAGTCGATCGTGTTAAGTTTCTTTCGAGAGTTAAGCTCCATTATAAAATCTGCCATGTTATCTAAAAGTAAAATAAATTCGAACTGCTTCTTATCAATCCTTCGAGGCATTTGAGTGGAGACTTAGAGGTACCAGTTGTGGAGGGTATGACTTGATAATTTGCGCAATGGGTGATTAATCATTCTTTGCTCTTCTGCTGCTTCGTGTTTATGAACTGTATTTGTGAAACTGGATCAAGCATGATTTGTTATGCTGAGCTTAATTCATATTTGGTGATGCTTTGACACAGTAGATGTGTCTCCTTTGTCGGAGAATTGGACATACGGTGAAAAATTGTCCCAGTAGTTTTGGTGGGGCTGAAGACGGTAGTTCCAAATTCTGCTACAATTGTGGTGAAAGCGGGCATCGGCTTTCAGAGTGCAAACAACCGCTGAAAGATGGTACAACCATGGTGCTTTGTCCCCACATATATGTCTTCATATTATGTTTCTTTCACTAGTTCATGGCTCATGGATGATGCTGATTATTCGTCGATCTTTACACACTAGGTTTGGCCATTCACAGTTCATTTTAAGTGAATATGTGCATTACGTAAGCTTAAGCTGGACAATTTAATTCCTCTATTCCAACACGGTCTCGTTCGCAGGAGGGACAGCATTCGCCGAATGTTTTGTCTGTAAACAAAAAGGACATCTTAGTAAAAATTGCCCAAGCAATCCGCACGGCATCTATCCTAAGGTAAGCTTCTAAGCAATGGGGAAATACAGGAAAAGATGCCTGCTGTATGGCATCTGAAGCCGCAGATCTACCTTCGTGACGTTCTTTACCACCGCTGCTAAGTGTGGTAGTTAGTAGTTCTGCATAGTTCGTCAAACCAACAATTTAACTGGTTTAGAGATAGTTTAGATCAGTCTGATTTAGATTCAGATTCTTCTGTGATCGAATCACACAAATGCCGATCCGTCGAACATGGAACACATGGATCGAACACTTTCAGAGGGAAACCTACCTCAATCACTGTTCTTGCTTCTTTCAGGGTGGTTCCTGTAAGCTCTGTGGCGGAGTAACCCATCTCGCCAAGGACTGCCCTTCGAAGACTGCAGGTCAACGGGAAAAGCTTAAAATTTGTAAGTGCAGAATCTTTTTCGTCTTTCTAGGTAGAGGGGATATAGTGACGATTGTTAAGTTCCTGCAAGTCATTTACAAATTGCTTAGTAATCTACGTATCCTGCAAGTGCTCCCTAAATATGTATTGGGGTGATACATAGTAGGATGGTCTGAACGTACAAGGCTCCTTGATTGCGCCAGTCCTGCTTGATAGCACGTTTTCATAACTACAACATACATAACCCTGTTTAGCTCAAATCTTGAGCATTGTCAGTCTGACAGGCTTCAGGACATCTTTGTTTATGGTATTTGGACACAGGTTTCATGTGCCACATTACTTAAGTGCTGTATGACTTTTATGACTTTTCTAGATCACTTCCTTTATTCGTTATACGATACAATCATGCTTCGACGATAAGCATCATTCGAAAGAAAGACGTCAACACTCAAACGATATAGTCTGTTTCAGTTTGTTGCACATAGAAGAAACTTGACCCGTAAGGTTGAGGCCAGGGTTGTTGTAGAAGGCTATTTATTTATTGTGAGGAAGGCTTGCCCAAAGACTGAACGATTTCAAGTTTTCGGGTACTCGACTTTTGATAGGTCATACCCGTTTCCTCGGGTGGGTTTGTGGTCTCCGTTTCTCCCTCACAATCATACTGCTGAATATCACCTTGTTGACCAGTGTGGCACATGGTGCATCTCTTCGTCAATGTCTATCCCCGAGTTCATTTGTTCTCCTTTCCTTCTCTGTATTTGGGAGTAAGCATAATAAATCGATCAAGTTGTTGGTCATTATTATGTGAACATCTTTGCTGCCTCTATGTTACTGTTTATATACGTGAGCTCCTTTTTTCCTTTTTCTTCTTATTCATGAATTTTCCATTATAAATCTATTTTCTTAATTCTCTGTAATCACAAACTTCTCCCCTGTATCTACGTTAGCATGGCCACACCTCTGTATTATCCTCTTCGCAGCTTCTGTTACCCTGTGTATCTACGTCAGTTGTGCTTTAGCACATTCCAGATTGAGCTCCTGTTTTCCGTTTTCCTCTTCTTTATTAGTGGTCGATTACATTTACTTTTGTATACTTATTCAATTACCTTGCAACCTCTATTTTCCCCTGTATCTACGTTTGCATGGTCATTTCAGAGGCAGCACCCATTTTGCGATGCAAGTGAGTCTTCTTTGGAATCAAAATTAAGTTTGTTTAACAGGATTTGTCTTTGTATCCATAACAATCAGTATATGTTTCTAGTATATGACAATATCCAATAAGCGCATTCTTAGTTAGTATTACAGATCGCACGTCCACGATCTTGTACGGCTCTTGAATGGACAGACCCGTACTACTCTTTTGTATGTATTTGGGTTATTGCATGAAGGTTTTTTTTCCACTTTTTCTTGTGTTTCTTGTTTTCATTATTGCCTATACTTCTGCTCTAAGACCTCTTCCTTGTAATGTTGTATTCCGTTCATTGTCATCCCAGTGAGCAGTTCGCGTGAGATCTGCATTCTTCCTTTTTTTCCCAGCCATACGACATAGACAGCAGTCGTGCAAAGAAACCGAATTGCGAGGATCCATTGCTCTCGCTGTGTTTACGTAGTCGGTGGGCAACGTTTGTTCGCTAATATTCTGCCGTTTGCTGGTGTCGAAAGATACTGGCTTTCAGCATGTACGGACAAATTAGTCCGTAATGCAGCTATTTGAACACGGAATATAGTTACCCACTAATAGCAAGTCTATGTATAGCTCTCTAACCTGGTTGAACCTGTTCCAAATTACTATGACCGGCAATGTGCTCAAGTTCACTCAACGATATGCGTGCATCAACTTTGTTGCGTACGTCCATTTTCTGGGCAATTGTATGTTTTTATCATTTGCTTTAGGTGGTAGATAGAATATTCGGGGTTCGCGCCTATTTTTCATGTCTGCTGTATGTTACTCATCGGCAGGCTGTTAACTTCCGTGTCAGTTCTTTTCATTTTCTTCGCATCATCTTATGCTTTCACTGTTCACTGTTATTGCGTTTTATTGCACATATTTCGCTCTGTTTTACTTCTCTACTTTTACGGTGAACAATCTCAAGACAGGGCTTTGCTCATCTTCAGTAGTTCAAATCTTCACAATTTTTTGTCAGTTATAATATTCGTCTCTACAGTCGGAATTGGGGTGTAGGCATTGACAAATGACCTCTCTATAGGTCATATTTCTTCTCACTGGTGATTCTCTGTAATTTCGATTGCAGTGCTCAATTGGTCTTTCAATTTACCCTCCTCTTCCATCAACCCCGTATAATTTTTTACCAGTTTCAATGGCACCATCAAGTTACAGTCTTCTGCACTTCGTTTCCAAATAATTTACTCTGCCATCGGATTTATTTACCTCCTTCTAAATTGCTACTTTACCGATCTTTCTTAACTTATTTAGTGTTAACTGATGAAATGGAAAAGGAAGTAATGGGGACACGATATGGGTGAAAGTTATTGAAAACGTATGGAAAAGTTGACACTTGTTTTGAAGTTGCTACGCCTTGCATGGTATCAAAGTTTTATATAGGCTGAGGGGACGGTTGTAGTCAGACAACGCGTGGTAGATGTAAATTGTTTGTTGTTCAGCCTATTCTCTACCTCTGTACTGACAGAACTTGGTTGTCCCTTCAAACATCTGTGCAGCGGTTGAGACAGCAAAGGCTTCGGAACCTGGAGAAAACGGTAAACGTATCGTGTTTCAGAGTGGTGATGATCTGAATGACGATTTTGGAGATCTGGATTACGGTAGCGATGGTGATGTAGCCGATGACCAAGTCGATAATAGGAAAGTCAATTCAACAAAGAAGTCCAAAAAGCGAACTCCGAAGGCCACTCCAAAGGTCGTGAAGTTCAAAGGCAGTAGCTTATTGTGATAGGAAGGGCCAAAGTTTGATACGCTCATTGCAAGTTTACTAGTGCCCAAAGTTCTTTGACATACAGTACTTCGCGTCGTCTGCCTTTCCTGCACGGAGTTTTCAAAGGTTGTATCGTTCAGAAAGAAAAACAATGTTCAAGAGATTGCGGGTACTCGGTCAAATGTGATGATGTTTGGACTAGCCTGTTGTATTCTGCCATCCGAAGTTACAGTATGCCTGGTTTAGTCCATCGGTTTAGCTTTTTACGGTATTTATCTTCAGTTGTAATGGGTCCTACGTTACTCCCTTGTGGTAAGCAGTTCTCCATAGTTGAGATCATGGGTATTAGGCAAATTTTTTGAGCACATCATGGTGTTTTATGCTGTTGTAAGTGAGGATCAAGCTTGGCTCTCGTTCGGTTGGTAAAAACTTCCTTTTGGTAGGCCTTCATAGGGATATGCCTTTCTTTCGTTTTCTTGTTCGCGGGTAGTTCAATTATTCCCTTCAGAGTGGTGTCCAACTTTGTCATTCTCCTTTCTTTAAAAGAAAGGAGAAATGACTGATTGTAATTCTGCAGCTGGAGTTATGTATGTACGAAGGACTATGTAGTCTCTGGACCAAGTGATCGGATTTTCATGATGGGAACTAAGTAAGAACAAGCGGTTTGAATCCCTTTGCACGGTCTCCATCTGAAAGAGGGATGGTGCAATCCAGTCACTGCTGCCTCTTAGAGGAACTCAACTACTTCTCTCTGTTACGATGCTACACGGCTAGCTTGTTTGTATAATGTTGCAATCTCATTTGGAAGCCCTCACGGGTCGCGGAGGCATTTTCCTCTCAAATGCTTTCAAGTGGAAACGTTGCTCTCCTCTACCGTCACGTTCGGCGGCTAATTGGTAAGGCGGGCATTTGGGAAAGGCTCTTACTAAGAACTGAATACTAAGTTGGGAAGTCATGTCCAGGACAAAGGTTTAGAATACATTCTACACACAACAGCTAGCAGTGCTGGTGTATGTAGACTATGTTCCAGCAGGTCACACCGTGGGTGCAAGCAGGGAGGAACACAGATTCCAGTTTTAGGCGCAGTAATAACTGGCACGGAAGTAAAATGGAGACGCTTCACAAACACAATATCAACTCGTATATGAGTAAACTGGTGTGAGTATTACAAGTCACGATCGGCATCCCCAGAATTGTCTTCAATTCGCAGAGCAGCATAGTTGAAAGTCCACCAATTCCTGTGAACTATGAAGATCAAACACGCGTTTTAGATCTCGACGGAGGGGTTCATTGCTATACAGGTGCTCTCAATCACGTTATCTGTATCACAGTTATGCACGGTGGACAACATAACCCGGCATGCAAATCATGCGTCTTTGATCCGCTGAGGCATCTCCCAAGTAACATCCTTTCGTGTCATGTGCGGAAGAAGTCAGGGTCTCGCCATCTTTGACGAAAACAATAACCTAGTTGAGAACTCTGAAGTAGAAGTTGACTGCTGTGTAATTCATACATTGATGCGGATGTGCAAACCGTCACATACAGGACTCAGGAAAAAGTCCTTTTCTGTTGCCGGGAAGTTATAGCCTTGTCCAGAGGATTGCACGTCGGCATCACCGTCGTGCAACAAAAGTTCTACAGATGGTTTCACGTATGCATAGCACGAAGCACTACGAGCGAGCAAGATATGGAAAGGATGGCTCAACGATCGTAAACGAAGAACAGATCCCGCTACTCGGTCTCGTGGGAGCTGCGAGATCTTGTGGGTTCCACATCTTTCCAGGGAGTACCAGAAGCATCTACAGTGCGTTCTTGAACGATGCCAGGCAGCCTCCAAATCGAGACCTTCAACTGCTGCATGAGCGCCATACGTGGTCGCCCGTATGCAAGACAAGCTTGGCATTCACGGTGACGTTTCTGGCACCCGTCCCACATCACCTCCCCATTCCATTCCGACCTCGCTTTCCATACCACATCACTCGCATAGACAATCTCGTTCATACAACTACATTAACTACCTCCCGTCCATAGGCCGACCATTCGAGCTGTACGAGCTTCCAAAGCCTCCACGCCTCACAGCCCCAAACCAAAGCCGTCGGTTATACGTGAAATGAATTGACTTATAAAATGCCGGCCCCTCGTTGCTCCACTTCACTCCGCCCGCCGCGCCCAAATGCCAGTCCGTTCCTACCGGTCGCGAACGTGCAGATTTCTCACAAACCTGCGATTTAAATTCCGGGGGCCTCCTCGCTCACCGGCTCTGCGGGTCAGGCGGGTCACGCGCAAACGTAGGCGGCCTCCGTACACGCACATACTGTACAGAGACCGATTTTCAAGTCTTGAAATTAGACGATAAATGTTCATTCTGAGTCAGTCGAGGATCTTGAGATGACAGAGTTTGATCGAGTCGGCGGTGGCATGAGATGCAAGCAAGCCATTGGAACGAGTGGGTTCCGTCGATGGTATGGACCGGCTTGAGGATGGAGGAAGGAATTGATGTTTGAGGTATACGAGTGTGCGCCGACCATGTTGTAGAAATCATGTCTCTGCAGGCAGCCTGCAGATATATTCGTGTCATACGGAAATGTGATTTTCAAATGATGGTGGTGATAAGAATAATAATAATCTGGAGGTCGGGAGTCGTCAAGTGATGGATCGTTTGATTGATTATTCGTGGCTCGAGGACAGGGCACGTAAAATGAGTTGGGAGGAGTACCTAAACACAAGAGCAAATCTCGTCCGGACGAGGACGGACGTTCGTTTCACATGGCCGATGTATGCTCGTACGGGCCGGGCAGCCTTGTGTCTTGGTCGTGGAGGCTGAAGTGAGCGATGAGGGAAAAAGACACTGCACCTGGGGACGGAGCGCGGGGTGGAGTTTCTAAGACTGTATTTGTATACGAGGAATATGGTTGGAGTCCGGATGATGGGGTTGATCATATTGGGGCCGGAGCGAGAGGGACGGTAGGGCGAATGTGGGCATGGGAGGTAGAGGGAGGAATGAAGTGGGAAGGAAGCACGAGGTATGGATCAAGAAGCACGAGATGCCTTTTGTCAGATTACTCTTGGATTGTGAGGAGACGAGGTGATGAGATGTTGGAGTAGAGGAGTATTAGTGGCATTAAATATGCTGCAGGAGCGATGGAGGGAGGCAGGGAGAATGCATGGCAATGATGATGACCGTCCTTGGAATCGTCAGCTTCATCGGAGGTGCATTGCTCACGCCTTCTTCTCGTTTACGAAAACCTGAGGTGAGCTCACTTGGTATCCTTATTCCTTTTTGGTTTGGGTATCTCATCTGCTGACGTCCGACTTTCTCATCGAATCGTGCACGGCCTTCGGGAAAGTCGCACCACCTACGCCCGCAACATATATCCCTTCGCTTCCCTTGCCTCACTGCTTACTACTTCTTCTACGTAGTCGGTCGGGTCGGCCTTGCCCACCACCATCGCCCGGCTTCCCTGGCTTTGGGAGTATTCGTTTGTTTGTACCTCATGCCAGTGAATGATCTTGAATGAGTACACTCGCCTTGCTGCCCCTCCACGCCTGCTCTTCTTCGCCCTCGTTCTGATCACAAGGCTCATTCCTTTTGCAGATTCTATCTTCTTCCTGCCTGCCTCCTCGCTCCCTCCCATCATCTCGCATTCTTCCACTCGGCTGCGCGAATTGTTCAAAGGGTTGGTTGGTTGGTCGGTCGGTCGGTCGTATCCGGATGGGTCGATCAGCTTGTCCATAGCATCTACTACGGTCTGAGTATCTCACATCACCAAAAAGATGCAGCGAGGTCTACAGCTACTGTAGGATTGATAATTAGTAGCAGTCGACGATGTGAGCGTTGCCGTTTTACGTGATGGATTTCACATCCAACTGCCCTCAATTTCTGAGAGCCTCCTTCCTTTCCCCTACTCCTTGAGCCGGTCCGTGATGGGTTCTTCCATGACTCGTATGATGCTGAAGATCATCATCTCATAAAGGTCTGATGCAGCCTCGCTTTGTAAGCCGCATCATCTGACAGGACCACTAGACACCTTCTCCCTACTTACCACCTAATTATTCATCATGACGGCAACATGTCGTAGTCCTGTCTGTGTGACATCGACCTTCGACGTCGTCCTCTCCGAATTGCAGAATTAAGTTGTGCTGAGTTGAATGAATTGTACGGGAGCTTTGAACAGTATTCCTTCACATCCTCCGCATCGCTAGCTTCGGTGGGCGGTAGGAAAATCAATTATGTTTACCTCCATGAATACAACACACAATGTCACGATGCAATTTCCATCGTCATTAGAAAATTTCTGTAATTGCACTCACAAAAACCCCTTTCCGTTCTCCACTGCCTTCTACCAGTTTCAAAGTATGGGTACACGCATGCCAACCGTGAATGAACTGGACGGTAGCTTCTTTAGAACGAGCATAACATTAAGTGTTGTCAATTTCTCAAAAGCCTGCTTATGATCTAGTTACCACCGCGATTCTGAGGAAGCGATTCAGTTGGTGGGTTGTGTTACAGTATATCAAGTTACCATTTCGTTCATGTAGAGCGTACGTAATGGAAAACAGTCTCTCTCACTCAGCTCTTGCTGCAAGTTTGTCCGGTCCTGTAAAGTCAGATTCGATGCTCGTTCAGTTGATCCTATCGTTCATTCCCATTTATATACTCCATTTGTATTGTTCCGTATGAATCTGAACCACATATGCGAGGGATGAAGAATGGAAACAGAGCCAGGTTGGTTGGGGCATCTTTCAACATTACCAGATATACAACATTCCTGCTTGCGGGAACCAACTCATCAGACATGAACAAAGCTGAGCTCCGGTGACATCTGTACTTATTTTCAGAATCTGGAAAGAAGTACATATCAGGATGTCGTCCCCACAGGAATGTATGCTTTTGCACTTCTAGTTTGGACTACAACTTCAGCAATAAATTTTGGTTTGTTTGTATAGACTATGCTGTGATTTCAGGTGCTCTAATATCTCAAACAGTTCGGTCAATGAGTGCAACAATGTGAAGTTTCCTCTTCAAAGATGAGCAGAGGTAGTGAGGTAAGAGTCTGCAGATGGAGAGAGACTGTGCAGGACCCACTCTAAATTTAGAATTTGATGCTACATTCTCACCATGAAGTTTCTTGCGGTCTAAAAGGGCCACTGCCAAAGATCATTGCCGACATAGAAAGCATGTGTGCATTACTTTGAGGACCAAGTTTGTGATTTGCTGTGCAATACAGTATCAGTAACTACCGAGTAGCATGAACGAGTCATTGATATCCGAATCCCCTTGTCTTCAATGATTTATCTCTGCTACTAAAAGACAAGCTCCATGATTTTTACACATGCAATATCAGAGGCTGAGAGTTTCATAATGTATAAATTCATCAGTCTTCGCAATTTTGAAACTAATCTTCTGCTTCGAGTATATGCAGGCGGCTTTTTCTGGTGCTTGTCAATTGACGTATTGATAACGATTAATCAAGTCTGTATATACAACTATTTCATTATTTTTCAAGGTGCGCGTTTCAAAACTGTGGGCGCGAAATAAGTATTAGATTGTCTATAGATGATATATTTGCATTTTGAGATAAAAAATGTGAAATCCTATGAACTTATAAGGTAAGATTGTAGTTTTTTCCAGTTACTACGATTCTAGCTATGCTGCCAATGCAGGGTTTACAACAATCAAAAGAAATGTGTTGGGATCCTATCACATTTTATTGTGACACAATCTGATGCGTAATGAAGCATTATGTGAAGGTTGCATTCGGAACAACAAAGTAAAAACTAGTGTCAATCTTTATCCTTCTGTATGAAGAATCCAGTAATACTTTCATTATAGCTGATGTAGTATATAAACCGTGAGGGGTGATACTTTCAGCAGTGAATTCAATGATAGGAGATGTATAGATATAATATTAAAAGAATAATCAAAAGATATATGAGGGTAAGTTGAAATATTATGTCACATAAAGGGGTGTAAACAACTATTATCTTAGACCTTATAAGCTACTTCTTTCATTAGAATTACAATACAACTTTCTAGACTAAACTGACTTTATACTCATTCAAACCAAAGGAATAAAATTTTTTAGGGGAGATTTTATACTACTTAAACCGAAAGACGAAAGAGTTAATATATAAAAACGATACATAGATTTGATATCATTAACTAATATTTTATTCAATATAAAAATATGTATCTTAAAACTCAGGAAACTTATTAAACAGTATAACTAAGTCATCATCACATATTTTGTGATTATGTTAAATTTTCAAGTTTTAATATACATTTATTTCATAAAACTTAACTTGACATGAAGCAACACACAAACATAAATTGTAGCAAAGTTTTAAGATATAACTTACATAAAGATTACAAGTCGAAAGTTATTTTTTTTAAAAAGTTTATATCTCATAAAAAAAAAAAAAAACGCAATGATATACATTACTTTATGCTTGTTTGAAAGAGTCATACAAACTATAGAATTCTAAATTTTTTTTCTTCAAAGTATACCAAAATGAAATTATATTTACATGATAGATGATATTTTTATCCAATGAACCGTATACTAGAGAATATAAGCTACAAGATTGAATATAGAAAAATATACATTAATTATCATAAATTGTTTTTTTACATGATATCTATATGCAAGAGAATATTGTTATAGATCATCAGATGGCAAACATCTTCTAATCACAAATTATATGAGTACTTACAAGTATTCGGTGATAAAGTAAACCTAGTATAGTCTTTTATTATTTTTTAATCAAATTTTAATTTCAAGAATATTACTTTATTATTAATATTTTGAGTTATAAACTAAACTGTTCAAGAATATATATATATATCTCATTCAACTAATTTTTTTAGAGAAATTGATCTCAAATTATATTCTTTGATTTTAATTGTCATATCCATTTCATATTTTTTACAAAATTTATATATTTGAAAATATTTTTTAAATATAATACCACACACAAGTCAATTTTTTTATAATTTATTTTTATTCAAAATGAATTAAATTTATATGTAAGATCTAATTTTAAAATTTTATTTTTATAGAAAAGTCTAAAAATTAAATTATCAAAAGGTATAACATTCTGGTGTTTAACCACAATATAATCTTAGAACTTATTGAGGAATATGATTAACATCTCATTAATATTATAAATCATCAATATGACGTGTGCTTTATGTTCCAACAGTTATATTGTGATAAAATCTTTTAATGCCTTGAATACAAAAAAAGACACTATCATTTGTTACAATAAAACAACACATAATACCAAATTCAATTCACATCATAAATATAATACTGTTGATTTAGCAATAGTGCCATTTTATATTATGCACAAGATATTATAAACAATGCGATTATACACAAAATTTTAAGTTCATCCCAAGTGCAATGACCAAGATTATTGTATTTAATATTTAATTAATTTAAGGCACTCCAAAAGTATTACTTGAATTTCATATTGATTCGCGTGATCCAATGGATGTTGAAAACTGACTAAATTGGATAGAGAGTGGTTCAAATTTCTTTGTGACACCCTAAAACTCTATTTCTGTTCTCATTGATTTTATTGAACTTCAAAGTATGCATTCCACATTTTCTAATAACTATTGATATGTTAATTAGTTTAAAGTTAGACAGTTTAAATACAATTGGAAATTTTTGTAATTATTCTCAAGTACATAAGTTCACAAATATACATTAATTTTTATATAATATAAACGTTAATTGAATAAGCAATTATGTTTTTATATATTTTAAGCTTAAATGAAAATTCATCACAATTTTATACATAAAATAAATAGATTCAAAAATACACACATAAATAATTTGATTATGAAAATTAATAAAATACAAAGATAGTATGTATAAATTTAACATAGATAAATTCACAAGTACTTTAAACAACATCAATAACATTGAATGAGTTCATATAGGACTCTAAATTTTTTTGCAAAAACTGGTAAAATGTTTTTAGTAAAAATGTATAATAGAAATCAATTTAGAGATTTGCTCATAAAAACCCCACAATAAGGGGTGAATTTAGCAATATTTATAAATTTGTGATTTAATTTTTAAATGACTTCCTTATATGTAAATAAATTGATTATCAAAAAATACAAAAATATTAAAAAAATCACATTACATCATTTCTTAAAATAATATTGAACAATATATGTTAAATTTTAAGCATATAAAAGTAATGGGTCGTTTTTTGGAATCACCTTGCAGTGTGTCATCTCGTTCTTTCATATCCAAGTTTAACGTTAGTTTTTCCTTACTAATGATACTTAGCATTGTTTGTAGGCTCAATCCAATTCTATAGCAATCAACAACAAACTCCACGTCATGTGTCTCAAAGTCGGTCCAATAAACTATTGGACTTTAGATAGATTTGGGCCGGTAATTGCAAAAATGGATGGATATAAATATATTAAATATAATAATTTAAATATGTTTTTTATTTGAATTATTTTTCTTAATTTAAATTCTTAATTAATAATTTTTTTATATAAAATATTATTTGATGAGCAAAATTTATATTCTTTTCTATTTAAAAAAATTGATTTTTTTTCTCCTTATTATAAAAATTTCATTAAGTTGTACAGCTATTATTTAACTTTATTAAAGAAGTTTTTTAATTTGAAGTTTTTTTTAGCACAAGTTTTTTTAATTTTTTCTTATGCTAACATATCTATATATTACATTTATCTTTAGTGTGATTTTTTCTTTTTATATATGTGTTTATTATTAAATATTTCTCCTAATAAAAGATGTTGAACGAAGGATGTTGAACGTGAATTGAATATATGAACTTCATGTTGTCATCTTAGATTTTGCAATAAATTGTGAGAATGCTTAAAAACATTACATTTTGATGTGTACAATACTATACTATACATAAATGCATCTTAGTGCAAGTGTGGATGAAAAGTACTTCAATTTTTCATTGGAGAAAACCACATTGCTTCAATTTTTGACAAACTTATCAAAAATTCATTCCTTGAATTATTTGATATGAAACAAATAGTGCACATGGATTGAAAAAATCCAAAAATCCAGTAATTGGATGATGAGGATTCCAAACAGATAAGTGCATTACTTCTAAATCTATATTTTAAATTAAATTTGTATGATATTTAAAAATATATTTATATATATCAATATCATTGAATATTAAGTTTAATATATATATATTATATGCACATTAGACAACTTGATTGAATGCTCAAGAGTATACAAATATGATAACATGCATATGATTGTGCACATGAATTTGTGAAATCAACAAACTTTGCAAAAGTAATTGAATACAAATTGGAATTGCTCACTGCTATTTATCATGTACAATTATGCATATATTAATATTTGTGTGAGTTTCTTAAATTAACTTGATTTAGACACATTAGTATTCATTATACTAGGTGGAATCAAATAAGTGCTAAATTTAGCAAAAATAAAACACACAAATTATTTGAAATGTTTTGTGGATTGATCGAAGGTGTACATGTAAATATTGAATAAAAAATAAAATTTGCGCTAATAATGAAGGATGAGGAAAAAAATCTTAGAGAAAAACATAAATTGATCAAGATATGCTGAACCATCTTGAAGGCTTTTCTTGAATCATTCAATTATATCAAACTTTTGAAGTAGTGAAAAACAATCTATTACTCAAATTTTCTACATACCAACATGTGAGTTGGTATATACAAATGTGACAAAGAGACAACTCTTTGAACTCTGAACTAGTTATCAGTGTTTAACTAATCCAGTCAAGTGCAATCCTAATCACAAACTTTAAAAATATCCAAGTATGTATTGTATGTTACTGTCAAAAGTTGATATATCAAATTCCCTGAAAGCAATAGCTCTTGTATATTACAATCTCATGTTTAGTTGGAAGTAAATCTGGGTAATTTAGACTCTGTGGTCTTTGATGTTTTATTTTATGCAAACCTGATGATGTATGATAATGATGTGTATGAATGAAAATTATGTAGTAGATGTGAATATTTTACACATTCATGTGAAACAATATCTCACGATTGATTTGTACGTAATATCTTTATAAATGGAAATTGCATTTCATTATTTTTTGATTTATCCAAAAACTTTGTGGTAAAATTTTTAATTAATTACATATATATGTATTTTTGTAAATAAAAAATTGTAATTTTTGTGTTATTTTAATTATTTTTTTATTTTTTTAAGAAAATAATTAAAATTTTTATCTTTTATAAATAAAATAAAAGAAATTAAATACAATCTAATGGATTCAAAATATATTGAAGAATTTATTACTTTCACTTTTATTGTCATTATGTTGTAATGAGTTGAATATTGAATAATAAAATCAGATTGTTTACTTTATCTAGACAAATTTCAAAATATTATTCAAATATATTTAAAGACAAAATTCAAATGACATTTATTTTTGCAACTCAAATTTGTATGCTTCTTAAAATTTGAATTAATTATGATCCATTGAATGAATTTTTTGATTAAATTCAGAAATTGGATATTCAGTTTTTATGTTTATATATGTATTTTAGAATTCCAAAATGATGATTTTACAATTTTTTAAAAAATTTGAAAAATCTAGAGGGAAATAAAACTAAAAATATATTTATTTAAGTTTTATAAAACTGGAGGAATGAAATATATTTCAGTTTTAGTTGAACAACCTTGTATATTGATTTGTGATGCTGTTTATGATTTGAATTTCATTTATGATGAATTTTTTACGAAAAAAAGAATAATAAACATGATATGAAGTTGTAAAAAAATTATCGTTATGTGAACAAAGATGAACATCACATTTTTTGAAAAAAATATATTTTTGATTTAAAATATTATCTATTGTATTA